TATTTCATTTTTCAGATTATAGCTACCTTTTGTAAAGGGTGCTTCAATAAGGACGTAATATTTCAAGGTTCTATTAAACATGGTATTTCGTAACAAACTGAGATATTTATTGCATTATGATGTATATATACACTTTTTAATTATATATGAAACAACACATCAAGTAAATGACTGGCACGGCTGGCATAAGCGCAGTCTTTAATAAAATTTGTGGTAACATTTTTGAACACATGTCGTGGTATCTCGTTGATACAGCGTCTGATTTCAGCTTTCAATGCTTCGGTGGTTGCAGGCTTGTTGTCATAAACTTGTGACTCGGGAGGTGACTCGACCAGTAGCAAACTCGTGCAAAACTGCCAATGTTTCATAAGTAGTATGGCATGTGGCACCATACTGCTGAAACCATATGTCATTAAGAGCCATGACTTCTAATTGTGGCACAAAAAACTGAGTAATCATTGCACGATAATGTTCGCCATTCACTGTTACCCGCCTCTTCCTCAAAGAAATAGTGCACACCAAACAGTGACACGTTTTGGATGCATAGCTTTTTCATGAATTACTCTTGGATTATCTGTGTCCCAGATGCGGCAGTCGTCGAGATGAAAATAGGCCTCATCGCTAAAAATGATTTTGTCTACAAAATCACCATTCACATACTGTTGGCCAAGGATCCAATTGCTAAACTCTCTTCGCCGTGCATGGTCTGTTGGCATAAGCTGTTGAGTCAATTGGACTTTGTAGGCATGCAGGTGTAATTCTTTCGTTAGAATACGGTGGAGAGTGGCTGTTTTAATGTCCAATTCTTGAGCGCGATGACGAATGGACCTCCCTGGACTCTCGGCTACATTTTCGCGAACCGCTGACATTTTCTTCTGAACAACCGCTGCGAGCTCGTCTCTTATGTTTCACATCATTAACAGAACCAGTACTTTCAAATTTTTGGATTATACTTTTCACAGTGCATGGGGTATGAACATTATTCCGACCGAATATTAACTGCACTTTTCGAATCGTGGCAATTAAACTTTCACCACTTTGGTAATAATTTTTAACAATTAGGATACGCTGTTCTATTGTGTAATGATTCATTTTCATAAACTCGCGCCTGTCTACTATCCATCTGTCATGTCACAATCATTATGATATTAAGACTGCCAAAATGGCGCTAAATTCAAATATTGCGTTCTTATTGATACACCCTTTAGTTGTCTTTGAATGATGAGTAATGGAAGGGAATAGCATATATTCTATAACTATTAAATGTAACTGCGCTTCAAATAAAATTCAATAACCACTTTTTCTCATAATTTTATTGCCACCCAAAATCACATTTTTCAAATCGCCGAACTGGGGTTAAGCTCCTCCTGACTGTCTTTGTCCAAACTACAGCTTTCGTACCCGTGTGGGGACGTCACGACATTGCTGTATTTCTCCTTAGATGGACCGGCGCCGGATGTTCTCAGATACGATATGAAATCGTTCCACGTTCGTGCGATCTTGTCCTCCATCGCAATAAAATGTTTGCTGTTGGTTAATCTCAAAGAATATGTGGTTTGCATGATTTTTTCTTCGAAATCTCTCGTTACCACCGCCATTTTGTCTTCTACTGCTTTTAGGAAGTCGTCCGCATTGATGGTCATAGTAGACTTCGCTGGAGCAGATTCTATAAATCAGATGTTTCATATAAAAGTTTCCGAATTTCTAATAATTGATTCCTTGAGTTGTGACCATAGACTCACCGGGTGCTGTGCAACCCGACGGCAACTCGAAATCAGCCAGAGGACCGTATTCTCGTTCCTCCAAACGCAAAGTTTTTCAAGTCGCTCAGCGAATATGACGTCGTTTGCACTTGCTTTCGATGTGCCTGTAAAAATATGGTATTTCCCGATTGTTTTCGAAAATCGTTTGTTGACTTCAAAACGACTACTAAGAGTTTGGTGTCTTGCTTAGCTCTCACTGGGTTTTTATTTACGAGTATATCTAGGATGTTGAGTGTTATTGATACGACGTTTTGGTAGTTTTTTAATAAATTCCCAGTACCTAGTGGCATACCAGTTTACTGGCGTTAACTTAATGAGAAATATTGGAAAATTATTAAGGCAAAGATTCGACTCATTTGAATTCTCGGACATTGAAAAAAAATTATAAAACAATACCGTCCAAGAAAACAAGGTTTACAGAATTTGGAGGAAGTGCTGCATCCCTTGTAGTCAGTACCGCATAGATAGCACGTAATAAGTAATCGAACAAAACAAACAATAATGAACTACTTGTACTTGTAAAACTGGCAAAAATTCATATAATATTAATTAAACACTGATGCTTTTATTAGACAATAATCGGTTGTGTAATAACCTACTATAATGCCAATAAATAAAGCAAAAAGTCTTCAAGTTAATGTAGTTGACAGATGCTTATACAGGGTTTTCATTTGAAAAGTTCCCACCATGGATTTATCGAAAACCACTGATTAAAAGAAAGAACGCCGAGACACGTCAAAAGATTTGTCAAGGAGGACAACTTTTTAACCGAAAACTACTTTACCCCTTTCACCCTTGACCCCGAGGGGCAATTTTAAATGACAAAGGGTATCGAGTAATAGCTTGTGTGAAAGGTCTTCCGAAGTCCTTTATTTTGATGTTTAATTTAATTCTTTATTTGTTCAGATAGAAAACAAAAACACACGAAAATATCACGTTTTATTTCAATAAGTGTTCAAAATGTAAACCGTTATTGACCAAACATTGATATAGGCGATGTTCAAATTCACTATCCCAAGATTGTCACAAAGGTATCTGACAGCAAATTAAATTCTTTCTTTCCCTTAGCAACAAATAATAAAACAGGTATAACAATAAATACATTTCGCCCATTATGTCTGTGATGAAAAGAATGCGGAAAAAATTCGGGTTGTTATTTGGTTGTTGCCACGTCTAATCTTCCGACTTGCTGTGTATGTTGGCAGTTTTCGTTTTAAATTATTAAATTGTAGATTTGGCAAACCCTAACGGGCAACATTTTGAACAATTATTGAAATAAAGTGATATTTTCGTGTTTTTCAACAAATTAAGATAAATAAAGATTTTTCTAATTTTCTCGAAAACGACTGATTTTCAAAAATCAAACGTGAAAATAAAGGATTTCGAAAGACTTTTCAAACAAGCTATTACTCGTTACTCCTTGTCATTGAAAATGTTTAAGGCAATGACCCTGGGGGACCGAGGGTGAGAGGGGGTGAAGTGGTTTTTGATTAAAAAGTTGTCCCCCTTGACAAGTGTTTTGATGTGTCTCGGCGAATTTTCTTTGAATCAGTGGTTTTCCATAAATCCGGGGTTTGAAGTTTTCAAATGAACACCCTGTATAATGTAACATTTTTCTAGATATTGTCTGCATTGCATTTCATGTCTAGTGGAAGCTACCAACTTGATGAGACATAAAGTAACTCTCAGCCGGCCATCTCTTTCAAACGAGAGTATATTGGTAACATTGAAGCAAGCACCGTTGCCAAGATGTGACAGGCGGATTAAACTTAAAGCGTTCGCTCAGCAACGTGAAAATGTAAACTAAAAACGCTTAACACCTTTGCCGTACAATATGATTCGCTATGCCATTTGAAGACGTATCCCTTTCAAGCATCAAGCTAAGGAACGGGAATACCGGTCCAGATTACGACTTCAGTTATGTTGATCAGTTTCACACCAAAAGCGACTACTAAGCAACTGGTAGCTGCGTTTTGAGGTTGTGAAAAGTTACTTAAGTAAATTAAGAATGCGGAATATAGAGTACCTATTTATTCTCGGAGAAACTTGTACCAAGAGGTAGTATTGAACAGAGAGTCTCAAGACATAGCCACAATTTCACGATGCAAATTCACTACTCCGCCCTTTTTGAAGAGTTTTGCCTTCCACGCGGTTAGATTATACTACTCGGCCGATCGGAATTTCTTGAATAAGAAACTAGTACCTTTCAAGAAGCTAATTAAAATGGGGCTAATGAGATAGCTTCAGAAATTGTTTTTTATGTATCAATTTGATTTAATATCATTCAGACAGTATTCAATATTTAGTGTTTTTCCTTTTTGACTGTAGTATAGATTATTGTTGATATTTTTGTTGTATTTTTCTCTTTTTATGTAGATAGATAAATATGCTTTATTTTCTATTACATGGTAATATTTTGGTTTTAAATCCAAATTTGTTGTCACCTACGAGTATAATTTTGTTGGTTTTTAGAAAGTATCTTTATCTAGTTTGAACTATTTTTTCTATTATTTTTGCTGTAACAGTAATTAAACTTGTGGGTCTATAATTTTCTGGTAAATCGCTTGAACCTTCATAGGATATAGGAATAACTATTGATGTTTTTTAAAATTCTGGGTAAACACCTGTGTTAAGAGAAATATCTATAACTTTTGTAACTTAGTGTTTTTCATTTTTGATAGATCTTAATACTAATTGCAGTTCATAAATGCCTGTAGGATAAAGTAAAAATTTCTAGTTTACATTCATATATTATTATTCATATGGTTTAGATTTGTTAACGGATCATTAGTATTTTTAGTTTTTCTGCTATTGTGCAGTAGTGATATTTATACAGTATTTTTAGGTGGGATTAATGGAGTGTAAGTGTAGCCCTGTGGCTAAACATCGCCTATCTGTTGTGCCTCAGTAAATTCTGATATATCGATACGTATTTACCAAAGTAACGTAAGTCACCAAAAACGATTTCGAAGAAAGAACGTGTTTTTAATTTAACCTGTTTAAACTTCTTTAAATTGTGCAAAATTTACCAGGGTGTTTCTCTGAGGTCTATATTTAAATAAGAAAAATGATTTTTGAAGTTTTTCTATAGTTTTAGTGGTTAATTGATACTTACGTTACTTTACGGGATCAGAAATCTCGAAGTCTTGATCAAAAATGTAACGTAAGTACACAGATACGTCAGTTTGGCGGCAAATTGTAGCACTTAAAGTATTTTGGAAAGAATTAAAAACTATCGTTTATTATTAAAAAACACAAAATAACGTTACAAAAGAAAATATGAAATTCTTACTAATAAAAAATATATATTTTTTTAAGTTTTGGAGCTTTCATCTTCATTGTCATCCTCTGCATCAGTTTCTGCTAACTCATCTGGAAGAGAAGACTTACATTTTAATTTAAAGAATTCATCGTGAAACTTGGCAGGTATGACATGTAATTAACTAACGGCAGAAAATATTCTTGTACATCGCATTCCTGTTCAAATTGAACACCCACTGTCCCATTTGAGCTATCAGTACTTATTGATACATTTATTTCTTCTTGCATAGTATGGTTACCATCATTTTCATAAGGACTCGAATTGTTAAAAGACAATAAAATTGATTGATCTATTTCGATTACGTCTTCATTTACTAAAGTAGTTTTTAAAATATTTTCGGAATTATCTAGATCAAAAATATTGTCACTTGAAATAATGGACATCGGCATAGACCCGATTTCTTCCTCAAAATAAACATTATTCGATTCATCATTTTGGCTAAGAGCCGCCAAAATCCTTTTTGTTCGTGAACTGACCATAGACATAATCTGAAAGTAACCGAGCATTTATGTTTACAATGTTTCATAGCTTCTAGAAAAATTAGTATAGAAACAAATACAACAGTCTTTCTCTAACTTCAACCGATTCATTCCTGTAAATTTCTCACAGGCTTCGAGGTTATGACAGAATAACTTCTAATAAATAAACGAAATTAAATATGAAATGGGAGCTTTATAGGTAGGTACATGATATTAGTTAATATTTTTAAATTCTAAAAACGTTTTTCTAACTTCAACCGATTCATTCCTGCAAATTTCTCATAGACCTTATCACCTTATCAGGTTATCACACAATCATTTGTAATAAATGAACGAAATTAAATATGAAATGGAATTGTATAGGTATGTACCTACATAATATGAGTTAAGATTGTAATATTTTTGAATTCTAACTATAAAAAAATGTCGTTTACTTACCTAAAATCAATAAGTAGTCGATGGTAGCACGAACCTAACACTGTCGTAAGCCAAACACTGACTGCGAAAATCTGACGTAAGTCGCAGAAACCGACAGGGACATTATTAATGGCGGTAAAAACCTTAGCTTGCATTACTATGATGGAAATAGTGTTAAAGTTACGTTTCTTTTACGGATATGATTTGAAAAATTCTGGACATGTTTTAAAAAAAAGTTAAAAACAAAGGTTTAAAGTAAAATCTAGGCTTCCTACACCTTGGTAGTACCTTCTCATCAATAAAAGCCTTACGTTAATGGAAAAACATGATTTTCACCAAATGTCACTTACGTTACTTTGGCAAAAATGCATCGATATATATATATATATACAGGGTGACTTCGAAGTTGAGTCATTTATTTTAACAGTGAGTAGATCTGATCAAAAGAAATGTTTTTTCCTTTAACATTTTTCTGGTAAAATTAAATTAACAAAGTTATAGCCCTTTAGAAGTTTGAATACCGCCCTGTCTCAATAATAATATTATGTGCTCGTGTTTGGCAACAACGGATATAATCCGCCTTATCCGTTCATCGCATCGGAAACAAAAAAGCGAAAGAATTTGAAACGATGTTTTTACTACAATGTACAATTTTATTCAGCTGTATTCAGTCGATGTGTCAGTCGGTAACGCGTGAGTGAATAGTGGTGTTTGTTGCGTGGCTCAAACGAAATAAAAAATGGCACATGTTTACGAAAATGCTGAATGTAGTACAAAGGGCTCGTGAATCAGGTGACTTAAGACCTCACAGGGGAGGGCATGCCGGTGCTCCAAGACCGCACGATCAAATACAGGTCCGCACTGAAATACTTGTCAAGAGGATACTTTATAAAACAAGGTAACATTTTTTTTTTAATTTTTTTTAATTTTTACACACATATTTTGGTTTATCTTCCTTCTGCAATCATTATCTGAAAATTAATGACTCAACTTCAAAGTTATAATATAATATAATATATAAAATGGCACTTTATCCTCACCGATACAAAATATTGATTTAAAGAACAGTGACGAAGTGATGGACGTGTCAGCATGCTTTTCACCTGGAAAACATTGACACAAACTTAAAGAGAGAAAAAAAAAAAAACTTAGATAAACCTTATCAAGAGGAAACATCAATTACTGTGATACATAAGAAATTTAGCATCCGACTGCTTTAAACTCTTTTAACCTTTTTTTAAATGCTTAGGCTATATCTTTATACCACTTGATAAGCTTAAGGGTGCCCAGTCGAGAAACTGCGTTGAACAATGCTGTCAATCCGCGGGATAAGTAAGATGAGTTTATTCTAGAGATCTTTGTTCGTACTGCAGAGGAGGCTTAGTTTTGTTAAAGATAATATGGGCGCTTTAAGGATAAGGGTCTTATGTACCAAAGATAGGCAATGCAGTTTCCTCAATTTGTTCATCTTAAACCATCCCGATTGGTCAAAAGCGCTACTAATATGATCAAATTTACGGATTCCATAAGAAAATCTGATGCATGAGTTTTGTATCATCTGAATCCGCTCGGCATCACGTTGTAAAAGAGCAGGTCCATAAACAGAGTCACCGTAAGATAATTTTGACAGGATAAGGGACTCGCAGAGTTTAAGCTTGAGCTGTGTCGACAGGACACTTCGACTCGGGTATAACTGACGAAGCACATTATAGGACGCATTGCATAGTTGGTTAACATGTTTAGTGAAGCGTAGCTTGCAGTCAAACCAGATACCAAGGTTTTTGCATTCGTTTACGAAGGATATGTCTTCATTATTCACCATAATATTAATGCGATATTGATTTATTTCACGATTCTTTTTGGGCCCAAATAAAATGCAGCATGATTTGCCAGGATTTAGTTTTAGATTGTGAGTACTAGATATGTCAAAAATAGACTGCAGGTCTTGATTTATTTGATGTTGGCCAAGCATATATTCATCAGGATCGAAGCAGTTATAAAGTTGGGTATCATCGGCGTAATGATGAACGATTGAGTTGCTGGCGGTTTCATGAAAATCACATATATAAAGAGCAAATAAAAGGGGACTCAAAATAGATCCTTGAGGGACACCAAAATTTCTGAATAAAGAAGTTGATATATTGTTTTCATATATGACAGACTGTGAGCGATCAGTTAAAAAGCTCTTAATCATCGTGCAAGCCGATGATGACAGGCCAAAGTATCTAAGCTTTTTACAGAGAATATTTGGGTCAACCGTATCGAAGGCCTTGCTAAAATCAAGAAGAACTAAGCAGGACAGCTTTCCTTGATCAACCGCGCTATAAATATTATCCGATATAGACAGGAGCGCAGTGGTGGTGCTATGTAATGGTCTGAAGCCAGATTGGGAGGTGGTCAGTAAATTATTTTGACAAACAAATGTGTGCAGCTGCTCATGTAGAGCCATTTCCAAAAGCTTAGATAAACTTGGTAAAATGCTTATAGGACGAAGATCAGAAAAACTTGAAGGATAATTAGATTTAGGCAGAGGGAGAACAAGAGCATTCTTCCAGGAAGAGGGATAAAGATTATTTGTTATACAAAAGTTAATAATGAAGGTAATATACTTGAGCAAATGCTTTTGTATTATACGGATCATATCAATTGTGATGCCATCTGAGCCTTTAGCATGACTTTTGATGCGATTAATAAATTTCTCTACAGTGGCAGGGGAAACTGTCGTGAACAGAAAAGTACCACTATTCTTGACGTTTTCATATTTGTCTAAAAGGTTCAATTGAGTTAATGATTTGGTTGTTTGAGGTACGTTTAAAAAAGCACTATTTAATGAATCGAGATCCTGAAGATGTGGAGGTAGACTTATGGAGTTATGTTTAACGATATTCAAAGATCTAAGTATATTCCATGTAGTCTTCGAATTTTTATGTCTCATAACATAATCGAGGTAGGCTTTTTTCTCTCGCCTAATAGCACTAGAAACATAATTTCTAATTTTCTTATAGAATTCCCAGGCAGCAATCGTTCCTGTACGTTTAAATTTTTTATATGCGTCACTTTTTGTTCGCATCATGAGTTTTATGTTGAATGTTCGCCAAGGAGCTGGTGGCTTGGTAACTCGAATGTTTCTGACAGGAGCATGCAAGTTGAAGGTGCACAAGATATTAGAGCTCAGGAAGTCAATCATTTGATCCACATCTCTCAACGTATATATAAAATCCCAGTTTATTAAAAGTAAATCATGGTAGAAATTGTCTAGGCTAAAGGTAGAGTAATCACGATATGTCCTCAGTTTACATAGGTTGCTTATCTCCGATGCATCTACATAAAATATTAGGGCTAGATGGTCAGATATTCCATCTACGTCAACAACTTCATAACCACTTATTATATCAGCAGAGCTAACCATGAGCAAGTCTATAGCTGTCTGGCTATTGGAAGTTATACGTACTCAAGTCACCTGTATATATGCAGATGATGGACGTCCAGAGCGAGGTTTGTCATCAATCGACATGTCGACATTTTTAAATCAAGCAAACCAATCGTACACTTGAGTTTTTCGATAGCATCATCTTTGTAAGCTATTTTCAACATTAAAACAGTTTCAGCAGCATGTTTTCCAATTAGAAAGCGAAATTTCACAGCTGCACGTTGCTCACTGAAGCTTGCCATCGTAAGAAACGAAACAAGCACCTCCTCGTATATATATATATATATCTCCGTTCTTATAATCTCGTTTCTTATTTTGTCCATTTTGCTTACCCCTTCAGCTCGTCTCAAGTATTTCATTTCAACTGCCTGCAGTTTACTTTTTTGCTGTTGCGATAGAACCCAGGATTAGCATCCATATGTTAATATAGGTCTATATATTGTATTATACACCGTCATTTTTGTTTTCTTGAACATCTCTTTTTTATTGAGAAAAACTTTACTCATCGCATAGTACAAGTTGTTTGCCTTTCCTATCCTTTAAAAAATTTCTATTTGATTTCTGCCGTTAGGTTCCAATATAGCTCCCAGATATTTAAAGCAGTTCACCTGTTGTATAACTTTAGTTTTAAGTTTATGTAGTCTCATACCATTGTCTTCAAGTTCTTCATTCGAAATGTTTAAATTTTCCTGTGGACTCCCGACACTACCAGTTACCAACACCAAATCATCTGCAAATGCGCACTGCTAATTTCACTTTTTGCAGCTTCCTGTATCCAACAAAAATTGTTTTTATTCTTTGCCTGCATAATAGAGGACTAAGCCCTGCACCTTGACGTACTCCCTCTGTAGTAGCGAATTCTTACGACACATTTCAGGATATTACTCGGTTGTTAGTCTTGTGATATATACTCATGATCACTTCTACTAATTTCACAGGAACATTTTTTCTCAGCAAATTCTCTTTTAACTTTTTTCGTGGAACTCTGCCAAAAGCTTCTCCAAGGTACATTAATTTTCCTTTTGATAAAAATTTACTTATCAGGTTTTTAATGGTAAATATGTGATCCGGAGGGATTCTTCCCTTTCTGAAGCCACTTTGTGTTTCAGATAATTTCGGCTCTATATCTTATAAATCCTTATTGAGAAAAAATGTACAAGTAACGTATTTCACAAATAAAATCTATCCAGAACAATCAATACGTATGTAATTTATTATAGATGCTCACCCGGACGCTAGGAACTCTGTTCAAAAAACAACCGAACTTACACTTTATTGACAATCACGCATTATAGAAATTCCTCGAACGCTGAAACATCTTGCACTCAAGAGCAGCTTAGGCTGGAAATTATGACAAATACAGTGATGCCAACCGCATGACGCTAAGATACTTCCTTGTCGCTCAGTTCAAATAGTTCGGGTACTTTTTGAACAGCTCTCGTATTAACTCGCTTGTCACTTGTATAGTTCACGACAAACTTACATTTTTATCGCGAGACGTTACAAAAGCCATAAAACTAAGAATGCGGCTTATCTGTACATCAACTGTACACCTAGTAGCTTGTGGGGGTGTTGGGCGTCGTGAGAAGGGGGGGGGGCTTCGAGTCGGTTAAGTATGACCGTATCGAAACAATGCGATTTAATTTAGATTCACAGCAATTATATTTAACTATTAGTGCTTTTTACATTATTGCACTTAATTATATTTAGACCAGTATAGTATTAAGACCATATTATACGCATGTCGGTACCAAAAAATGTAAACGAGCGCTAAAAGTTTGTCATGAACTATATCAACTGTAGCTTCCCTGGAACTGCTTCTCTAACTTGATCACTTCAAAGAAGACAGAAATGCGATGGATAAGTGATCATATCGTATTATCTATGATTTTTTGAGGATTCGATCGGAACGTTAGCTGAAGTGATACAGTAACACCCATAGGTGACATCTTTCATCAATTAATGGGCAATAGGGTGTCCCTTATTTTTCAAAGTTTTCATTTCCTAATGCATACTCCCCAGTTTTTTTCGTGTATAAAATACCCATCAGAGCAATTCCTAACTGTGTGAAGAAACTGACTGATCTTTACCAAGCTTGGAGGGAGTTGCGGAAAACTTCCAAAAAACATCAAGATGTTTATAGAAAGAGTGAGGAAGAATTTTCAAATAACTTGGACAACTTATTCGATATTGCTCACGCCTATCCCTTGGAACAAATAAAAATTAATTAATCGGTCACTATACGAGACATAGTACAGAGTACAAAACCATATGATTTACCTACCATTTCCGATGAAAGCCTGGAACAAGCTTCCTCATCAACAGCTCAACCTGTAAGTTATCCGACTATAAAAAAAGGAGAAGGAAAGACTTCATGACGCCCAAGTTAGTTGCAGCTGTAGATAGATGCCAGTTAAGTATTCGAGACTCAGTTTATGTACTAGAGGCATTAAGACTCAGCAGTGAAGACTTTTCCATCAATAAATCGTCTATTCAACGCATGCGTACACAGATTCGAAAAAAAGAGTCCATACAATATAATTTCCACAATAACATGCCTGAAATTGTTACTGGTCATTGGGATGGCCAATTATTACTTGGGCTGGATGTAGGGAGTTGTAAAGAAGAAGGGTTACCGATCCTCATCTCGTTCGGAGATAACGAACAACTTCTTGCTGTACCAAAATTGGAAAGCGCCTCGGGTAAGGATCAAGCTAAAGCTGTGTCAAACGCGCTGTATGACTGGAACCTTGATGATAAGGTACAAATTATGTGTTGTGATACAACAGCTTCTAATACAGGGCGGTTGAATGAATCTGTTGAAGCAAAAATTAAAAAGAGAATTGCTGCTTTTTGCTTGCCGCCATCATATTTACGAATTAGTTGGTGTATTAGAATCAAAAATCGAACAAGTCACGAGCGGTCCTGATATTCCATGACTTAAAAAATTTAAAGATAACTGGAAAAACATTGATCCTGCAGCAATCTAAGTAAATAAACCTCGACTTCATTCAACAAAACTTGAGTAGCACCAAAATTAAAGAATTGTTAACATTTTGTAACCATGAGCCTCAAAAATGTATAGTACGCGAAGACTATCAGGAACTGATTGAACTATCTATCGTTTTCTTGGGAGGAGATAACGAGAAAAAGCTGAAAATCAAACCTCCTGGAGCAATGTATCAAGCGAGGTGGATATCGAGAGCCATTTACTCACTGAAGATGTGTTTACTACAATCTCAGACTAATATGTGCTCCAGAGAGAAAAAATCACTTCAAGATGTTTGTTTATTCATTGCCGCTGTGTATGTAAAACCGTGGCTTCAATGCAGTTTGGCGATAAAGGCTCCAAATCAAGATCTAAGCTTTTTAAAAACCTTAAAGGAATATGAATGTATTGACCAAACTATTCCCAAAGCAGCTCTGAGCAAACTTAGCCAACATCTTTGGTATTTATCAGAACAAATCATTTTAGCAGTTTTTTATGAAGAATTCGATGAACAGACGAAGAAAAACATGATTTTGAACCTTCAAAGAGAGAGTTTGTTCTTTGGAAAGAGATACATTCCATCACAAAACGAGTTGTCCAATTATTTGTGTGGTGAATGAAAGTACCTTTACTTGCTGAACTGTTTTTTTTTCAGTTGCTTTCGTACTATGTATGCTGCTAACAAATCGTTGCAGGGAAATCATTGGGTGATTTTGTGTCAGCAATGAGCATAAATCTGTTTTTTCGTTTGAAAATGGACAGGAATTTTCTGGAGAAACCCGTGTCTACCTGGGAACTGATCCTTCCTTTCTGGCGACAAAACGAAAGGCCTTTTCTTTAAGAGCAGTCAATGATACGGCAGAATGGGCTGAGAAACTGATACAGGATTTCCATTGTCTAATCACTGCTGAAGAAGAGCAAAAGTAGTTTTTGCTACATTCTGTATAGGAACACAGGAAACTGTACCCCAACTGTAAAAAAGAGACCCTAAAAAAAGCTATCCTGAACGATCACTTTTATATATGTTAATAAATAAATATTACTATTTGAGACTTGTTTTTAGGTATTGTTTCCAAAAATAATTATAATTCTCCAGATTGAGCTACGTAACAAAAACAGTTGAAAACGGTTATTTTCGAGGTAAACTCGGCACGGGTTAATATTGCCGCAGGTAAATAAAAAATTTTTTGACTATGTTTAAAGTTTCGAAAAAACTTGGAACGTATACGTTTCAATAACTCAAAAAAATGTTTTCGCCAATATAAAGGACACCCTAGTGGGCATACTCAAACTGACTAGCGATGGCAGCGCCAGCACCCGTTAAGCAACTGATCATGTTGTCGTCACCTCCGTGTGAACACTCGTTTTTGCTGTCGGTAGTTGCTTTCTGCGAGAACGGTTCCTAAGATGTACCTGATGCTTCTGAAGCTGTTGGTTGAAACGGTGTTATTGCTGGATAAGATGTCTTCAAATCAGCGCTTCTAGAAGGCTTCAAAGAGGAATCAGTCACTATGCTGAAGTCTCCAGATGCTGACAGATCCTCGTCATAAGACTTATTGGTGTAAGTGCTGGTTATAGGAGAGCAACATGAGCATTCTTCGAACCGGCTGTAATACATAAAAAATGGTGTCAAGTAGGTTGACTCTGCACTTCCTAAGAAACGCTGTCATCAGAGCATAAAAAATTATAATATTCAGCACAAGTTGGTCCCACTGAGAAAAAGTTAGCTTACCATGTATAACAAAAAACTAAATCGATCAAGTTAGTCAGGCAGGCTCATAGAATTCAAATTTGCTCGTTTAGCAGGCTTTTCCATTCAATTTTGGGGCTGTTTAGGATTAAACTACCTGAGAAAATATGCTACTCCTCGCTCTTCCAAAAGTTTTGGGGCAGGTCGCTTTCACACAAAGTTATCTCTTGTAGATGGATGATCCTCTCCCTTCCCTTCAGAAAAATTCCTGCAGGCGCATATGATCGTAACTATTTGTACATCTGGCGTGGATGACGATCAACGGTCCACATCCATTCGAGCAGCGGAGGCCGACTGCTACACACGCGCATTGGCAGGATTGCGAAGCATGTAAGATCGACGCGCGAGGGTCAGAAATATTTCTCCATCTTTCTAATATTTGAGGATAAATGTTCGTGAAGATCCATGATCGAAATATGTCTGTAGAATTATCGCGGCTGGAGGCGTATAAGTATGCCAGACTCAAAAAATACGACATAGTAGTAACCTTGTGTGAAATGTTCATCTAAATGCGACGTACTTTACTTTTCTAGCGGGGAAGGATTAGCGGACAGACAAACAAAGACCGACTGAAATAAGTGACATTGTTTTTCGTGACCTACACGTCATATAAATTCCAAAAAACAGAATATCTATCTTTCGAAATAACTCGGCAAAATAATTGAGGTATTAGTTTCAATGTTGCAGGCCCCTTTTTTCAACATGTCTGGAGGAGTATACTTAATACTTTTCGTCTGATTGTTTCATGGTGTGTATAGGGATGACCGAAAATAATGTTTTCACTTTCTTTTTTATAAAAAAATGCTTTTTTTGTGCATTGTATGCATTTTTTCTTCAATCGTAACTTTTTAACAAATAATAGTACAGCTCTAAAATTGTATGTAAATATTCCACCTTTATGGCAGATTAAAGTGAGTGGTTACTTGTTTTCTCATCAGTTTGCTGCAAAATGAGGTTTCAAGAAAAACAAAGATGTTTCGAAGAGAGAAAGTGATAATAATAAAAGCAACCTCCTCCTTCATTCTTCCAGAACAGTATAAGATTCACATACAATTTCGGAGCTATACTAATATTAGATTTGTTAACAAGTTACGATTGAAGAAAAAATGTACAATAAAATGCAAAAAATGCATCTTTTACAGAAGAAAATTGATAACATCGTTTTCTTAGACATACCTTTACACACCATGGAATAATCAGATGGAAAGGATTTAGAGTACTGCTCTAAACAGGCAGTTTTGTATTCATGCTAGGACTTCGAATATATAATCTGGTTATGACTTCTCGTGTATTTAACTGCGAAGATTAAATCGTTTCACCAAGTAAAAGCACCTGTAATCTAGAAAATTGAGCTTACGTTTGCGGGAAAGCTATCTTCCTGATAGGCACATTAGCGTTAGCCAAAAAGGTTCTGAGTGGCGACCTCATGTTCCTGATGTCGTAACTTCTGAGTTGACCTGAGGTGGTACTGCAGGCCATTTCGTAGCAACCTGGGAGGAAGGCCAAGCTACAGAAAGAGCAATCGTAGTCCAACGTGGCGGTTTTCGTGTAGCTTCGTAGATCGAAACTGGAGAATCTGCCGTCTGCCCCAACTGTGCATACCAAGTTATTGTTGAAAGCTATGTCTGCTACTTTCCCGGTGTGAAGCCTGTCCCAAAATTGAATTATTACGAAAATAATTACTGCCGAATTCAACAAACTCAACATGTCGAACTGATAACTATCATCTTGTTAATATTTATCTTACCGAAAAGTTATGTTTGCTTTCACCAAAAACAGTCACATAAGTAAAAAACGATATCAAGTAGATTGACTCGATACTTTCCATGCTCCCGAAACAACTTCTAGTACAATTTTCCATGTAGTACAATGACATCAAAAAGACGTAGGTTTTTGTCAGAAACAGTAATGCCTTATTTGGACGTTCCATGGAAAAAGTTTGCAGCAGTGAGCGTATCCGAACACAGAAGCCTCATTTCTTTGAAGCACTAATGTAAAACTGTTTGTCAACAATTTTTGATAACTGATCATAATCGCTCTTGATAAATACTTGTATACTACTATATAATATTACGTCAAATACCATAATTTTCCCAAAAATTCCATCCATATCTACCGAAGGAAATGATGACGTGGTTTTCCGTGATGTACATGTCACGTAATATACAGAAAACATATTTTCGAAATTTTTCACGATTACACTACTTTCTCCGCCAGCAGGCGTGCGAATTAAAAACCCCAAATATACTGGTCGTTTTTCTGATGCTGCTAACTTCAAGCTTGTGTCAAGAAAATATGAGTTTCGTCCTATGGAACACTCTGACAACCACCGATGACTTGACGAGATCTTGAACGGATGCTAGTTTAAAAAATGGCATCAAGTAGGTTGACTCTGTACTTTCCACGCAACGCTGGACAAATGGACTTCATACATTCATTCACTACATCATGTATAGTATTTAGAGTCAACTTTTATAAGTTCTGGTATCTTTATTGTTTACCGACTATGTAAATTCTTGTACCCTGACAAGATTAGCCATGACAGCTGGTCATGTGATATGATTTGAGAAAAAGTATTGCGAATTTATTTTCAAATGATCGGGGACAATTTTCGTACACCCTGGTATTATTTGCTTGAGGGGAAAGTACTAAAAATAGATGAAGTTCTTCATTCCACGACGTATCTTCATGCTTGCAGAAGACGGGCGCGGACGCGAAGGTCTATTCGTTATTTCACACCAGAATAACTACAGCTATTCTGTTTTCACCGTATGTGAGTACTTATATGTAATAAATTATATTGCCACTAGTAAAGCGAAAGGGCGTCATCGACGAACTCTTCTCAGCTGTTCAGGTAACAAAGTCGCGTGGATGTTCGCCCGGCAGCGGCTTCATACTTTATCTTTATACGTATTATAAAGAATATTTCTATCGCTCTGTCGTAAGAGCAAAAAATATACGTGTGTCATGCCTTACAGACACATTACTGGGGTTTAAATTTTATAAATATACTAACATCAAAAGATTGAGGTACATCCCCAACTAGCATTTTGTTAAAATGGGCTACCACCCTAGAAAAAGTTACATATACAAATATTTGTCAAATTTAAGTAATTAGGTGTATATCCTTGAATGGCCTCAAAAAATGAATTGTCTTGAGAGTTAAATCCTTTGCGAAAAATTGGTAACTAAGGGCCGTATCGTCAGTCGTTTCTACAATTGTAGGACGCTTTTATGGCCTCCTTGATTGTCATAGTTTTCTACTCGTCCCTTTCAGCGTTCTATTTTGAGGTTATTTTACTAATATCTGTTTCCACCAAATTGTCCATGCTTTTGATTTATATTATCTTTTATATAGGCTGATTATTCCCTACAATTCAAGAAGAAAACATAGCCTGACAATAGGAGAGCGCTGATGCTGGCACGGGACAGTGAAAATCAAGGAGGCCATGAAGGCGTCCTACAATAATATTGTAGGAATGACTGACGATGCGGCCCTAAATACCAAATTAGGGCACTAACAGACATTTGAGCAAGAGGTTAAATTGGTTGGTGCAAAACAACAAAAAACGCACCTCTAAAAAGTACTTAATGAATGCTTGATCTCAAAGACAAATCCAGAGATTATCGCTTACCTAATATTAACCTAAAATATGTACATAACGATAGGTAAAAATTATCTTATTAAGGACCATTAAAAATTACTTGTAAGTTTGCATCATACATTGGTAAAAAAGGATGTTTTTAGTAAATATTTTTGAATTGAACATTTTAACTTTCACGAGCTGTCTGGAATTTTAAAGCGGAAGAGGCATACCTCACAATACTACCGGGTTACTAAAAGAAGCTCTGCTATAATTGTAGTCACCGTTATTGGCAGGCCAAAGTAAGACTACCAGTATCCCTTTATATATCTCCAACTCCCTCATATATACACATGCAACCTATTCCCGTGTTTGAACGTTTGTTCGGTAAACTCAGAGACATACATTTTTTAGTTGTGGGTCTCCGTCTCCAAAACTTTGTCGTTACGTACGAGTGCTCTTCTGTCACATTTGTCAGAGTGACAACTTACTAGAGATCAGCGTGCTTTGTGAGTTGTCCTGTTATCAATTTTCAATATAAAATTGTACAATGTCCGGAAATACGATCAATGGAGAAGGCCGACAGGTCGTGCTAAATTTATTAGAGTATTTCCAGGAAGAGAATGAAAACAGCGGTCCCCTGTTACCCACTTCATGCGTACTGGAGAGAGTAGCAGATGCGCTAAAGATTAGTCTGCGCAGTGTTCAGTGAATAAAATCAGAAAATAAGAAAGGTTTGCCCATAGTAACGCCTGCGGAAACTCACAAAATCAAAAAATGCAAGACCGATGATGTAAGTGATGCTGTCAAGACAGAAATTAGGAATACTCTCTACGATATGAGAAGTAAAGGGCAACATATCACGACCTCTGTGCTCAATCAGTAGTTTAAAAAAAGGTTCATATACAATGCCTCGGATTCAATTTTAAGGCGTCTATTGAAAGCTTGCTGTTTTTCGTTCAAGACATAGGATAACCGCTGACTCTTGTGTCAAAAATCAGACATTGTTTCGAAACGTATCTATTTTATGAGACATTATATGAATAACCTGGATAATACAAGCCCTCTCCAATGCGTTTTCTTACATAAAACGTGGATATTTGCCAAAGGGTCGTTTAAACGAGTTTGGCAAGAAAAGAAACGTAACGAGTTTTAAAAGAGGCTATCGGGGTACTAGCACGCGGTATGTTGTTCTCCATGCTGAGGGCAAAAACGGTTTTTTGTGAGATACTGCATTGTTATTTGCTACAAAATGAAAAAGTGCTGACTACCACGATTCCCTGGACAAAGATTCTGTCAAAAAATGGGTATGTGATAAGCTGATACCAGTTTAGTAATCACGGATAATGCCTCTTATCATAGTGTCTTAACAGGAAAAATGCCCAATTCCAGTTAGAGTGAAATGCAATTGAAGCAATGGCTGCCAGACAAAAAGATACATTTTGATGATGACGCTTTTAAACTCGAGCTTTTAAACCTATGTCGCCTTAATAAACCATCGGCACCAGGATATTATATCATAGACGAAATATTAAATGAACGTGGACATCAAGTATTGCGGCTCCCCCGTTACCATTGTCAATACAACCCTATTGAGTTAGTCTGGGGAATATCCAAACATTACTATGATCGTCATATTGGGGAAAATGGCTATGGTGACCAGTGGCGACGCGTCCATGTAACCATTGTTACCATTGGTAACAGTTGAACATCTTATAAATAAATATTTTATGACTAAGTACTGTGAAATAATTTCATTTATTTGTTTACCAACAGCGATATGTAATAGTAATTCAGTAAATAGCAAATTAGCCCCACGAACACGATGAAGCTGACTCGCCTCAACTTGGTTGTCGGTTGTTACCATTTGCATTTATGGATACACTTGGTAGTCTTTCGGGGAGCGTCGGTACCGGCTCGTGTCTGATCGCTGTCGCCCGAGTGCGTGGGGCGCTGCGACTATTATGTGGGCTTGTTACCATTTTTTGATTTGGTTACTCACTTCTCACTCGTTAGTAGCCGTTTTGGTTACCAGCTGTAGTATGCGTGCAATTAAACATGTATGAGTGTCGCTGCGTAATCGATCAACTACTTGAAAAGTCATTCTCATGTATAATTTTTAAGAAAAAAAGGAGATCATTGAAAATGGAAGACCAACGCCTATTTTAGATAATTTTAAAAAGGAATAAAAAAACGTCGTTTGATATTTTAAATTAAGTTAGTATATGGAAACTCTTGTTTATGTGGTTGTAAAAAAACAGATTGTATTGTTGGTGATGTTTTCTGTTTTATACAGAATAAAATGCAACGGAGTCAACGATTTAAATAGTTTTAGGGCTCTAAAGAGGAGGCATGAAATTTCTCCGTTACATGTGAGATGTGTAGCCAATTTAATTCAGTTTGGCAAAACAAGAATCGAAAGTTGTCTTAACCAAGCTTTTAAGCAGCACACTTCTAGATACCGTATGTTTTTTTGGCAAAACAGGAATTACCGTTCATTTTGAAGGGGACGACTCAGACAATAGAGGAAATTACAGGGAATTGTTAAGATTCATTGCCAAAATAGATTAAACATTTTCCGAACATCTAGAAACGACGACTGTTTTTTCGGACGGCTTGGATTAGTCATAGCATAAGACGATGAGGTATATCAAGTGCCCCAGACGCTCAGCCCAGGAATGTTAACCTTAATTTAAAAATAGTTTAAATAACTACCTAAAATAAGCAAAAACTTTTTTAATAAGATTTTTCACATCTGGTTTGGTAACAGTTTAGGAAAAGTCACGCGACACCACTGATGGTGACAAGGAAGTTTTGAAAGCTTGGGACGATGCTCTGGCGAATGTGACTCCTACAGTTTGGGCCAAGTGTGTGGAACATACCGAGGACTTGATTAAAAACGACTAGAACAAGCATCATTGTTTAATAGAGGAGACAAATATAATCTTCGCTTGTGAAGAGATTAATTGAAAAATTCATGAGACTGGATCCGTTGGAGACGCCAAACACACTGGTCGTCCAAAAACAAGCCGTTCAATGTGAATATCGAAGCAGTGCGTGAGAGTGTTGCGGACAATCCAGGAACCTCAATTCGACGTCGTGGACAAGAATTGCAAATGTCAAGAACCTCTCTACAGCGTATACTCACCAAAGATCTGTGTCTTCATGCTTACAAACTTCAATTACACAACAATTGAAGCTTAATGACCATGCAGAGAGAAGAGAGTTTGTTGAATGGATTATTGAACATCAACAAATGGACCCTGATTTTCAAGCAAAATCATCCTAAGCGATGAAGCACATTTTCATCTTGATGGCTTTGTCAATCGCCAAAATTGCCGCATTTGGGGTTCGGAGAACCCACGTGTGATTGTCGAAAAAGAAATGCACCCACAACGCGTGATTGTCTGGTGTGGATTTGGGCTGGAGGCATAATTGGGCCATATTTTTTTGAAAATGATGCTGGTCAAGCAGTGACTGTTACTGGTGCTCGATATCGCGACATGATTACACAGTTCTTTCTGCCAAAATTGAATGATATTGATGTACCCCATATGTGGTTTCAACAAGACGGTGCCACATGTCATACAGCCCGTGAAACAATTCAATTACTGCATGAGACATTTCCCGGTCGTGTACTCTCTCGTTCGGTATCAAAATTGGCCTCCTAGATCGTGTGATTAACACCATTAGACTTCTTTTTATGGGGTTATTTGAAATCACAAGTCTATGTCAACAAGCCCACAACCACCCGTGCATTAAAGGAGGAGATTCAACGCTGCATCAACGAAATTCAGCCACATTATGCAGAAGGGTCATGGAAAATTTCGACAAAGAGTGCGCATGTGCATGCAAAGCCGTGGAGGCCATTTGTCCGATGTGTTATTCCATACATAACCCTATCCTATGTACTTTATGAGTCAATAAAAATATAACTATTAAAAGACTAAAAATGCATCTATGTATTAATAGAGAGGAGACAAATATAATCATTCGCCTGGGAGAAAGTTCAGATGACTCTGATGGAGAAATCCAATAATTCATACTATTATTGAAACAATTTTGAAAATTTATAGTTCTTAATATTCTGTGTGCACCTTAATGTAGATTGTTAAATATTTGATAGAATTGGAAGTTACAAGCTTGATATTTATTAAGGTGACATAGATTTAAAAGCTCGAGTTTAAGATCACCATCATAAATTTTTTTGTCTAGCAGTCATTTATTAGTCGCATTTCACTCCAGGAAGAATTGAGCATTTTTATTATAGAAGATGGATCTTCTAAAGCTATCATAAGCTTGTCACATATCCACATCCAATGTTATATGTTCCATCAAGTTAGCAAATAGATGTGTTATTTTGTATTATATTGTAAATTCCGTATGTATTTTATTACAATTTTAAGAAATATCAAATGGCGCGTCATACTCGACCCATGTTGATGTACTAGATTAGAAGATTTTTGAGAATTACGATTAGTAAGTAATTTTGAATCGGTTTCCCTCAGTCAGAAAAATTAAGATACGCCCATGGTACGGAGAATCGATCTGTTTACTTATTCAGATGGCGTTGATGACGTAACCGGCAAGAAGGGTGACTACAACTATATCACGATTTTTTAAGCGCGCTTGCGTGTCCATTTCGGAAGTTTTGTAGTTAGGTGCGCACCGCTCAAAATGCGGACTATGATACGTTCCTTTTTTTTTCTTTGGAACAAGCTAAATACAGGATTTTAAAAAGCCACACAATATAAACCACAGAACTATCAAAATCAAACACCACATGCTACTAATGAACGCACCTCGATATGTCTCTCTCATTAGATTAGACAACGACTGTATTTTAAAAAGAGAGAATGATCCCTGTCAGGAAATTTTCCTATCGCATGGCAAACTGATAAATACAGCCTTCTTACATCAATCTGAAAAATTATTTAATGTCAAATTGTTTGTCTAAAATTTAAAAACAAGAACTAGTTTAACCTTGATTTGGGACTTGGCGTATAAGTAATTATTAGGTCTGAAATGGAGTAAACTCAAGTATAAAGTTAAAAATGCATGCTATTTCGACCTACAGGTCGAAATTCTGAAAACAGCCATATTTGATATATTCTGTTTTTAATATTAGAACAAGAACATTAACTAATTGCTTACATATTATGTTACTTGTTCCAAAAACACATTATTTTTCATATAATTAACAACTTCGCGCCTTAAAACAAAGCGATCTTATAATTGCTGTTATCAGAGAGTCTCGTTAAGATTGTTAACAAAATTCGTTAATTTAGCTTATTTCTAAGACCCGTGAATTTTGGCTAAAATTTGTTCACCTGTGACCGAAAATCTATTTTCGAAATCATTCTGTTATAATCGCTACCAAAAATGGAAGCCATTTCATTAACATACTTGGCTATAGACAAGTGCATCACCAACTAATCTTATTTTTAAATAATAGGATACCAACTGTATGTATGAGCAAGAGAGAGAGAGAGCCACATAGCATGTTTCCTTTATTGTTAAATTTAGGCCAGACTCATGTGATTTTATAGTGCAAAATTACTAGGCTTTTATCACAATATGACCACAGTTGCCTCATCAACCTAATATTGACTTCAAAATTACTTTGGTTTTATTCCCTACTTTGGGTAAAAGCCAAACGTTTGGAAGTAAGAATAACGTTCTTTAAATATTTCATGCCGTCGCCGTCGTTTTACCTATTTTGAATTTAATTTCGATCTTTGAATGTTTTCAGGGCCTCCCCCACCTCCTTACAACCCCCCTCCTCCCCCAATTTCTTACCCCTCAGAAAATTTCGATATGATCCGGAATTTTGAATGCCAAAAAAATGAAATACCTACCTTTGTGTAAGTAAATTGTCAGTTGTCTCAGTGTCCCACATGGCTAGAATACCTTCTCTACTTCCAGCCGCAAGTAAATGTGGAGCGAGTTTGCTGTAAGTCATGCAAGCTAGTGTGGGGCTGTTCGGGATCAAAAAACTTGCGCAAGGCTTCAAAGTATGATCGCACAGAACTATTTGGCTGTTAGTACAGCCAACAGCTATAGTTCGGTCATCGTTCGAGAAGTCCAGATGTTGGATCTAAAAAAATGTCATAAAGGAAAATTTATACAGGATGTCCAAGACGTCGGCGTCTCATAATAGTTATCAGAAAAATATAAAAAAATCTAGGTCGTGTACTTTTCAAATTATAATGAAGAAAAATCAGAAATATCTACAGCCTGTCATGATCTTTTAGTTCCCATTACTGCAAATTTTAATTTCTTCTTAGACGGGTAACTAATAGTGTTATTCTACTAGCCCCTTCCCACTTCAGTTGGCCCAACTATTGAAATATTAGTTTTTTTCTTATCAAACACAAATAATAAAAATGTAGCAGGGTGTTATAGGTTTAAAATATTAACAATGAATATTTTGTTAATACATATACGGGTGGCCAAACACGTGACGTCATAAAAAAAATTAGATTCCCACATCGAGAGGAACCCAAATCACCCCCATATATATGGTCCGATTTTGTTTAGTTTAGGAGTTATGATTTTTTTTTCGGATTTTTCGAGAATTTTGAGTTCTGTGTTTGTTTTTACCATAACTTCGTTAATAATTGTGATAAATGCCTGCTTTTTTCACGATTATGTAGCTAAGACCTAAGGCTTAACTATCATATAATCTTCGAACATAACAAAAAAGTAAAAAAGTGCAACAACTTTGAACGTTTATAAAAAATTGAAAAAACATGTTCTTACTATTCGTAAGTATCTCAGGTTGTGGTCCGCCTCGGCGTATAAGTTGTTCCCGGTACAGCTGAGCATTACCCAGACCACCGTGTTTTTATTAACACACATAACACTTTCATGGCAGGCCGCATTCCAGGACGAGGAAGCAATGAAGGATATCCTACAGCTGATCCGGATCGCAGAGAAGTAGTACTTGAAGAAATTAGCCGGAATCCCTCAACGAGTACGAGATCTATGGCACAAAACCTTAGAATGCCACGAACATCGATACAAAATATTCTTCATGAAGAAGGTTATCATGCCTATCATGTTCAAAGAGTTCAAGCGTTGATGCCTTCAGATTACCAGTTAAGAGTGGATTTCTGCGAGACAATGCTGCGAAGACAACGAGAGGATCCCGATTTTTTTGATAAAATTTTATGGACTGACGAGTCACGTTTTGAAAGAACAGGGATATTCAATATCCATAATTTACATACTTGGGCTGTTGAAAACCCCACCACTCAAGGCCGTCGACATTTCAACACCGTTTAGTGTGAACATGTGGTCAGGAATATTCAATATGGAATTTATCGGTCCATTTGAACTGCCGTCAAGGTTGGATTCGGTAGCCTACAAAAGCTTCCTTGAAAATAGCCTACCATTATTGCTGGAAGATTCAAGCCTGGAAGCCAGACGGAACATGGTGTTCCAGAATGATGGTGCACCATGCCACAACGCAACGATCGTGCGAAACTACTTAAACGAAAGGTTCCCAGACAGATGGATCGGACGAAACGGACCGATACGATGGCCTCCACGCTCCCCTGACCTCAACCCCATTGATTTTTTTGTTTGGGGATATTTTAAAGACATAACATTCGCCCAAGAATGTGCAAATGAAAATTCATTGAGGAACAAAATTCAAGAAGCGACACATGTGTTGAAAACAACACACAAGCATTTAGAGATTTAAAACAAAATTTCATACGTAGGTGTACACTGTGCATTTCTGTTAGAGGCAGACATTTTGAAAACCTCTTGTAAATAACATAAATGAATAATAATCTGCTGTTCAGTAAAAATCAAACGTGTTTTTGTGGTTTTTGCAATTTTTTTTCCGAAACTAACAATTTCTATTGAGCAAAGGGTTATCCAATTTTGGGTTCGGTTCTATTTGAGCCACAATTACGGTAGCATGTAGTAAAGCTAGGTTGATGAAATTTTTACGGTAAATAGCTGATACCGTAAGGAAGTTTTTAAGATACTTACGAATAGTAAGAACATGTTTTTTCAATTTTTTATAAACGTTCAAAGTTGTTGCACTTTTTTACTTTTTTGTTATGTTGAGATTTTGAAAATACACCATCTTATCATATCGTAAAAAGCGGCCACATATTACGAATTATTGAAAATCAAATTCAAAGCAAATAACTCAAACTCAACACATTTTGGGGAATCTAATTTTTTTTTTTCCCACGTTTTGGCCACCCTGCAAGTCGAAAACCCCACTCACTCCATAAAATTGCCGCTAAAATAACACATGTTGCAATTTACAGCATATCAACCTATTTTAATTTCAATCCAAAATAAGTCTATAACGAATAGTGGTGTGAAAAATAAAAGCCATGAACAATTGTTTTTATTAACCACAGCTATCAGAATACGTTTAAATAGTTTTGGGTGTTAAGGTTTTCAAAATGGGTAGAGGAAAGGCTATTAGTGAGAAAATTCGGTTACTGATAATTAAATTTTTTAATTCTGGGAAATCAAACTCAGAAATTGCAACTTTGTTAGACTTATCGCGGTACAGCAGTGTGAGAAATATTGTTAGATATAACGTAACTGGTTCAGTTAATATTAAGCCACGATATGTGAAAAAAAGTAATATCACAAATGCCGACCGAAGAGCATGAAGAAGAATAATCGTGAAAAACAGGCGTGCCAATTATTTACAATTAAGTGCTCTGTGGAGTGACGCTGTTGGAAGGAGAATTTCGAGGTCCACAACTCATAGAGAGGCCCACAAACTAGGATTTAGCACTTGCAAGGTAAGTTTTCTTATAAAAAAAGTGAAGTAAAAACCCTAAAGTTGAACAACTTGTTTATATGCCAAAGAAAAGCCACTATTAACATTAACTCGAAGTTTGTGTTGGTGACAGTCGCAGTAGAATTATTCGCAAAAAAATGAAGCATTCCATGTTGACTGTCTGAAGAGAAAAGTGAAATTTCCAGCATCCATTATGGTCTGGGGCAGTATGTCACCAAAAGGAGTATGAAAACTTCATTTTATTGATGGAAATGTGGATACAAACAAATATTTGGCAATTTTAGAAGAATCGCTTTTACCAGTGATGGAAGAATGTTTGACATCCGGCCAAGATTTTGTGTTTCAGCAAGATGGTGCAGCGTGCCATACCTCAAAAAAGGCTATAAAATGGATGGAAGAAAATAATGTACCACTTTTGAAATGGGTTTCTAGCAGTCCAGATCTGTCACCTATTGAAACTTTGTGGCACGAGATGAAAAAGATTCTATGACAACATCCTGCTCGTACCATCACCGAACTGAGACAAAAGCTTCAAGAAATATGGGATTGTTTTACACCAAATTTTTGCCAAAACTTGGTTAACACCATGCCCCAAAGAATTTCAGCCGTAATAAAAGATAAAGGTGATGTTACCCAATGGTAATCTTTCAATTGTTGCTTTGTTAACTTCGCGCATTTATTCGCACATTGTTTATTTGTTCAGATGTTCTATTAGTGATAGGTCTAAGTGATTTCAAATATTTATTTTTACGACTAGAGTGTATCTAAAGTGTTTTTGAGAAAATAAATTGTTTTAGAAGTAAATAGTTTCGTCATGTTTAGTTTATAAAAGCATATTTTGGTACAAATCTTGAAGTCGGCTAACTGAAGAGGGAAGGGGCTCGTACGTAATGTCAGCAAAACAGATGCTAATCCCGCTTTGATAAATTCATGTGTACACCGTACAGGAATACTCCAACATGCACCTCATTTATGGGGAATGTAGATGCAATGCTCGTGCTGCAGCCAGGTTTCCGTCATCCCGATCACCGACTTTTTGTGAATGAGCACTTTTGCTCGAAGAGGGAAGATTCCCAAATCAAGAGCATGGTGAAAGAAGAATGTAATTTACTTACGAGGACGTCATACTACAAGCAGTCAAAAAAGACCCGAGTACTTCAGAACGTCAAATAGATGCAAGCACAGAAGTGCCTAAAACTTCAGCCCACCGAATCTTGCGAAAGAACGGGCTTCACCCGTACCACATACAGCGAGTACAATCTCTACAACCCCGGGATTATGTTCCAAGTGTTGAGTTTGGTCAAACAATGTTACAGAGACACCAGGAAAATCTGCGATTTTTAGAGAAAATTTTTTGGACTGATGCGTCTGCATTTTTAAAGGATGGTTACACCAGTGGCATATAGAAAATCCTCATTTGATGAAACATGATGGATCACAGTATCGTTTTAAAGTAAACATATGGACCGGGACTCTAAACGGGAGAATCATTGTACCCTTTGAGCAGCCAAAGTTCTTGAGTGGCAAAATTTATTTAGATTTTTTACAAAATCATTTACTAAAGATATTGGAAGACGTGCCACTAAGCTTTTTCAGAGGCGTGTGGTATCAGCAAGATGGCTGCCCGGCGCACTATGCCCATTCTGTTAGAGAATACCCGAGCAGATGGATACGGTGGTCTGGTACAATTTCGTTCATCTGACTTAAATCCACTTGTTTTTTTTTACTGAGGAGCGGTGAAAGAAAGAGTTTACTCAAAGCCAATCGAAAATTTAGTTTAGTGAACTAACATGTTCATACACCCGGAGTCGGCAAAAAAGACTAAAGGTGCCATACTTGCCTGGCTTCGCCTACCCACCACCTACTACTACTACTACTAAGTAGAAGTACTACTAGTGCGCATTTTGCAATCAGATTTTGCACGTTATAAGAATGAATTAAAACTATAACTTACTCCGCTCGGCAAACTTGATCTTAGTATTAAGTTCTTTGAATTGAGATCATAAGTAAACATTGTTCCATTCTCACAACCAAAAGCGATGTTGTTAGAATTGGTGCTTGAGAACGCCCCAGTTGTCACGTGACACACATCTAAATCGAAAGCCTCTATGTAGTCGTCTCCTCCTACAGGCGAGTTCATCACCACTGCAGTTCCTTTGTTTTTTATTGCCAGAATCTCGTTACCTAAGGACAATGTTAACTGGTCAAATATTTTTCCACCAATAACCCGAGGAGTTATTACATCAAAAACATATACAATGTCAAAAGAACCGATAAAATGTCACCTTGCTGACGTAGTGTACAAATAGTTCATTCCGCAACTTCTCGCTGTGAGCGTTTTCAAAAGCGTCATCTGTGGAGGAATGACTCAATGACACGCTAAATGACCAGCTGCAAGTCAGTTCCCCAGCATGCTTTGTTGGTTGCAGAATGCCGACGTAGTCGTTAGATGCAACACAGAAAACTGGTTAAGTAGCAAGATCGCATCTGGATGATTGTGTGTATTGGTGTGCATGTGTACGAGTATAAAACAGTGATATTTGCTGTGTGGGAACACCATTACAGAATATGCTGCCCATGAAGTATATCTATCAGCTGTACCAGACGAGCTATTTGTGTTGTACTTTCTAAAGAGAGGTTATGTTCAAAGTTATAAATTACGTTTTTTGCGATTTCAAAACCTTTGAGAAGTATTACCGGAAATCACCACTACGGCCGCGCTATGTGTAATTAAGCCACATCAAAGAAAAATTAGGGATTTTCTTATCTCTGTATTAACACACAAATCCTCACTATGCACTTATGCACTGCGGTTTCCTTCCAGCTATAGTATTCAACTTACAACTTAGACCTTTAATAATACTATATCTGAAGCAGAGATGTTACAACCAATCAGAGCCAAACATTGACAGCAGAACCGTCATGACGTTTAGGCATCACGTACAGCTACAGAACGAGTACTCATCAAGTGAAAAACACCTAGTTCTAAGCTGGCATCGTGTAGAAAACCTACATAATGTCACTTTCTAAGATACGTAATACCCTGCTGGACCCGTATTTTACTTAACTTAAAAAGCGACCTATCGATTTTTTATGACATATAGTTTTTTTGTCATTGGTCCCATTCATCATAACGTAGCGCTAGTGTAGCGATCACCTTGAGGCGATCTAACCGCTGAACGGTATATTGATACATGTCACAGAGGTTGTCAGCTTACGGATACAAAATTAAAAATGATTAAAAACGTCATAGGTAAAGAGTTAAACAAAACTTTACCATTTTATAGCATGAAATGAACCTCTGTTAATTCATTAATTGAATAGATGTTGTTTTATACTCGTAAGTTATATTTTCCTTATTTCTTTCCATTTTTCATGTTTGTTCATCAATTTTGAAATTTCCTAGAAATGATTTCTATATCGGCTTTGTTTTAGCAAGACCCTAGGTACACAGTTTTCAAACCGTACAAATCAAACACAAGACATTGAACATCATATGATTATCACTTGATCAAACACGGAACATATCTTGGTTATGCTGAAAAAATGGCTACCGCTACGGTAGCGCTCAAAGTAATCATGTGCGTGAAACAGAAACTAAATAGATACGAATGATGTTAAAATCACAGTTTTTTTAACTTCTTTTACTCGATAAATGATATAGTATTGACTAAAAAAAAAAGCTACCAAAAAATTGCTATTTTAAGGTCAAAATTTTCATTTCTGTGACTGACAGCCGTAAGAAGGATATAGTGGTCCGACAAAATATGTACAAAGCCAATTCATTAACAAAATTATTATAGATACGACAATCTAGATACCTTTTTGGCGTTGATGTGTTAGGATTGAATGTCTAACAGTAACGTAAATGTTGGGGAAGAAACTGTGTAATTATTCATACATTTAAGCATTTCCAAACGTAAATCTCTTTGAATCGGTTAGCGCTATTGCGTTTGGGGTTATGTATGGCTGTGGGGTTTGATGTTTTATCTGATTCTTAGGATATACATCATTTTATTGGAATAATCATGTCGACTGTCTATACGTACAAGAAGTCGATAGCAACCATGTGGCAGTTGCGTCGAGCAATTGGCAGGACCTGGGGATAAGGTCAAAGGTCCTGCATTGGCTCACGGCTACGGTGGTAAGACTCAGAATACAGTATGAATGAATGCGTGCCATGTATCGGAAAAACTGGATTACCCGAAGCTCGCCAAAATTCAAAAACTGGCGCCGCTAGGGATAATTGGCGCGATGAGGACACCCCCTTCAGCAGCCCTTGACATTGTTCTGGGACTGCCGCCACTGGACTCCTATATAAAGCGGGAGGCCATGTCGGCATACCTAAGGATACACGATGAATCCATGACGGCTATGCGAGAACCGGTGGCTGGTCATACCAAGATCATGGATGTGGCGGAGAGCGTTCTTCCCATACTATCATCGGTAAAAGCGGAAAGGGTCAAACTTAGAATATTCGCTCATGGTCCCTTCGAGGTAAGAAGGGGTGAATGGAAAAATAACATTCCCGCCTCAGTGTCGTATGCTTCACGTATGGATCCTTTTCCAAGAAAACGGGATCCGGTGTGGCGGGACTATACTTGAAAGGTAAAGCCAAGCAGGAAATCTTTGCGCCTGGAATCTGTACAACGGTCTTCCAGGAGAGATATTTGCCATGTTAACGGTGGCATACTCAGCGGAAATTCAGCAGTGCACCAAACAGAGCATATACATATGCTGCGAAAGTCAAGCAGCTTTGAAGGCGGTGGTATCCCCGAGTACAAGATCACTCTTAGTCAAGGAATGCACAACTGCCCGTCAGAGCTTAGTCCAATTTAAAGAAGTGCCCCTGCGTTGGCTCCCCGAACACAGCGTAGTTTCGGGCTACGAGAAAGCAGATCGCCTGGCTAGGCTGGGGACCAGAAGCACTTGCATCGGTCCCGAACCTAGGCTGGGCATAAGTAGGAGCCAGGCCCTGACTGAATGGGTGTATAGGGACCTGTAAAGAACGTGGCGAGAGAGAGAGATGACAGCAGACAGGCCAAGGAGTTCCTAGCGATCCCCGACAAACGTGGAACCGCTGGCTGCTGGACAGGTGTATGTGATTTTCTAATCACTCAACCTTTTGGTGGAGGTTCTCACCGGCAACCGCAGACTGAATGGGCACTTATCGCTTTTAAAGATGGAAAGAGGCCCAACATGCCCCAAGTGCTGGGAGTAGGACGAAACATTGTTCCACTTTCTGGGCTATTGCCCTGTATATTGTGGTCTAAGGGCTGAGATATTCGGGGCCACGGAATTTGTTGGTGAAGTTGCTTATTCAGCGGAATCGTGGGCATCTTGAGTTTAGTATATCTTCATGTGAACTAGAGTGTTGGTACATTCGAGGTCGGCGAAAAGAGCCAAATAAGGCTTACTTGCCTGGCTTCGCCTCCCCACCCTTACAGGTACTAATACATAGGGCAATGTGTTTATTTCATATTCCATCCGTGCGACAATCGCTTCTTCATACACCACAATCTAGGTTTGAATAGTTTTTTAATGTTTTCTCCTACTAACAAAAAATTCGACCCTAACCTCACCTTAACTTAAATTTTGTCTTACCTTCACACGACCAGGAGATCGTCTTGATAGACATGCACTCTGCAGGAGCTGCCTCGTACCCACATATATATGTGATACTGGGCCATTTATAGAATTTAAGGTCTTTCGAGCACGTCGCTAGGGTCATCGTTAAATTAACGTCGTAAAATACACGTGAAATACACTGAATTTTTTATCAAATTTGACGGTTTTTTGACTTACTGTTATTTATATGTCATGAATGGAAAGTGTCTTAGTGTAGATCTAGCATGCTGTACTTGTGTATAGCTCAAGCTATGCGATCTTTAATGTTTATATACGGGTCTGAAAAATGAAACCTTGATCCAGCGGAATAGCACAGCAACCCTCTGTTGCGTGATTCATCAGGACTACACAGTCGAGCAAGTTCGCACACATACCAGGCCATGCCTCGCACTGTGATCAAAATTAAATTGTAAATTCAGGCCAGCCAAAATTATTTCAGTATACAAAACCGATCAAAATTATTTTTTGGAGTTACAAAAGAATTCGAGTAATCAAAGCAATAATGCTTAAGCTATTACAAATGATTTACTTCTTTTCTTTGCTCTACTCGTATTTCTTCCTTCCTTTCTTTCCTTCTTTCTCTTTTTCCCCTAAACATGTTTGGTAACTGGGTAGCCAGACCTGACAGAATAACAGACCGACGAGACTTTTAACTAAGAGCAAAGACGAATAGTTATGAAATCTTGATTGTTGAAATCCTAGATTTGTACGATAGCTCGGAAATAGGTAAAAATGCAAACACTGCATATAAAAAACTGTTTCCCACTCAACTGGCGGGAAGTATTGTAATCTGCGAAAATGAGATGTTATGTACATGTATTTTGTTATATGACATCACGAGAAACCATTTGTGGCGGTCTGTCTGTCGGTCTTTGTGTCCGCTAATATTTGGCCCGATATAACTTGCAAAGCACCCTCGAATTTTGATGAAATTTTGTAAGAAGATTAAGGCTATGACAAGAACGGAAAAGCTTTGAAGTTTTTGAAAATCGATCCAGCGGCGGAGCTACAGGCTGAATACCAAAAAAATCGCTCATACTTTGTTTTTGATGTTTTACAGATTCCTGATAATTTTCAGAAAACATTTTGATATATTTCAATTTTCTGACAGTATATTTATATGCTTCCAACCATCGTAATTTTACGCACCTATAAGACATATTGCACACATACATTTCCCCTTACATTTGCACTCAAAACTTAGAATGATAGAGAAATATTCTCAACACACGCGCCTCTTTGTATATACGTGTCAGGATCTGGCCGATGTCTGACCTATGAGTGGCTGACGAGTGGCGAGGTATGTCATAGCAACGTTGCCAGATCGTCGATGCAATCGGTAGGGCCGGGAAGAAGTTCTTAGACCGTAACGTTATCAAATAAGGGCTCGAATGTCTTGATACGTTCAATTTTATTGTTGTACATGCTTGTGGCTAACTTATTTCTAACCTGTGCCAGACTCGATCCCTTATGAACTGATAAATAATTGATAAATAATTTTTGAGAGTCAAACTTTACAATGTCGACTTTTTTAGAGTAGAACAGATTTTTAGGACTTTTATAATAAACATTTGCTATTTTAACTCGAGTATTGAAACCTGTTTTCATTCAAAAATTGATTAAGGTAGTTTCGCGATCGTACGATTATGTTCTGTGTTCGTGTAGAAAGGCTTTTAGGGTAACATTGATTAACGTATGATAAATCAAGATAGCTAACCATATACTATATTCCGGTGCCTAAAATACACTAGCGCCACCTATAATTCAATTGAATTCTTTATTTGTTTCAACTACACAACATTTACACACGTAAGTAAGACAGTACCAGGATACGACAATGGGATCATGTAGATTGACTGTATTCTTCCCCTTCCGCCTTCCAAATAACCTCTACTATAATTTTCCATGTAGTGTAACAGTATCAAAAAGATGTAGGTTTTTTCATCATTAATGCACTATTTGGGCTTTCCATAATAAAAATCCTCAGATTGCATCAATGAGCGCGTCCGAATACGGTTAGCCCATTGGAGCTCTGGTGTAAAACTGTTAACAATGTTTGACAACCTCATTAAATTACACTCCAAGCAAAATGCTCGTATATATACATAATATTGCGTCCTCCTTATGTGCGTATTGCGTCACCGTCTACCGAAGATGCAATATTTTCAACCCCGTGGTGCTACCGATAGGTACATACACGATGCGTTTACTGGATATATTTTTAGATTTAGGTGCAAATGTACGAGGAAATCTATGATGTGTAGAATATATCTACTAGTTGCGTAGAATTACCGGGGCCGGAAATGTATTAATATACTATCATTAAAAAATTGCTAATTAAAATATGCATTAGAAAGGCGCCAAAATGGGATTGAAGATCCTAGCGCCTATGAGTCAGTAGAAGAACTTTCTTTAAAGTGGATTTCTAAACTCATTTTTGTAGTCTGCTACTGTCTTGTAGAGGGAGCTACAGTATATTCAGATAAAGATAGACCGGACATAAACAAGACGACGTGATCATCGAACGCTGTAACATTCGGCAGGGACGTATTAAGAGTCACGCAGTACATATTTTAGATAGTAGATGCTGCTTTGCGTAACTTTGTAGTAAATTAGCACAATTCGATGTGTATACGATTGGTGATGGATATAGGATCATGTGGGGGTGGGACAAGAAATATATAATGATGTAAATATACGTTTCAAAATTTTCGCTTCGATTTCTAGCTTCGGATGCCGTCTGATGTTTGGTGAAATACAGTCGAATATAATCTCAAAATGGCGTTTAAATTAGCCTAAATTAAAAATAATCGTATATCTCTTAAAATTGCTTTTAGAATATTGATTAGTATATTTTTTGATTTCTAGGTAAATATGTAACTAAATTAAAACGTTCAAAACGTAAAAAAATGTGCATGGTTGAACATTGTCAGAAAGTAGATTCTTGAATAGGTTTTGCCAAAATGGGTTCAAAAATGTCAATAATTAATTAAAAAATACAGTAACTTTATAATTACTTATAACTTACCGAATTTGATGAACGACATCTTTTATTGGAAAGATGAGCTTGATGAGCTTTCATCATCGCTACTGCCTGAAGCACCAACGTCAATAATGAATGGCTCGACTTGTTCCTCTAAAATATTGTCCAGTTCCCACATTCTCTTTTCAACTTTGTCTTTCACGTGCTTAATACAGTTTTCCCATTTTTGCGCTGTTATTAATTCTAGTGCTTCTTTTAAAAGTCCTTTGAGGTCACAAAATTTAAAAGTTGTATTGTGCTTAGCTATATAATTTTTAACCTCTGCCCATATGAGCTCAATGGGATTGAGCTCGCAATGGTATGGAGGTAAACGGAGCACAGTTTTATTTTGACTTGCTGCCATTTCGTCAATGGCGTATTTTTGATATTCCGCCTTGTGATCCTTGACAATTCTTAATAATTGTACTTTCAGCATTGCTTCTTCAAAGTTGATATTTTTCGAGCGGAGCCAATTTTGAACATCAACTTTCCTTGAAGCCGTTGTTGGGACCTTCTCCATTCTTCGAGAATGATAAGGCGCATTATCCAACACAATTACTGCGTTTTCCTCTAAGTTCGGTAAAATTTTTGAAAACCACTGTTCAAAACGATTCGCCATTTATTTCCTCGTGGTAATCTCCAGTTTTCTTAGACTCAAAGCACCACAGACCGTCAACAACAAATCCATCCTCACTGCCAATATGGCAGATAATGAGCCTTTTCCATTTACCTGGAAATCGAAGTACTAACTGGTGTAGATTTATTTCAATAAGCGAACCTTTTTCAAATGTTTTCATCACATTCAGCGAAAAAACATTGAGACATGAGTATCAGATTGCTATAATTGGGATTATTTAGTCATATTGAAAGAAAGAATATTGAACGTCGTATGATTACTCAGCGCTTCACAATTTAATTTAAAGTTATAAACCTTTAAAAAATGAATGATCAGGAACCTGAAATACGCGCAAATATTAATATTAACAAATTATAACTTTATAAAGCTTAAAGTATGAATTAAAATGATCAGAAATATTAGGAACGGTACACAATATAAAACTTAGTAACTTTTTTTACGTTTATAATATTCGACATATTTTAAGATTATATTAAAAAATTATTGAAATATCGAAAACACATAAAAACATGGCTTAAAAAAGTTCTAACAAATGAAAATGACAATAAAACATCCACGCATTTTATCGAAAGTTATAAAAGTTTTGTTACTTGTAATATGTTTTATCTGCCCCCTGGAATTAATGTTTAGAACCTTGTTCCCAAGGTTTGAAAAACATCCGATTGTTGTCTATTACTCGTATTTACCTGCTGGATTTTTTAATCCGGTGGACAGTCCATCTAGAAAGGCCCTCCTGGATGAAGTTACAGAATCATCAACCCATACTTTACTTGTAATGTGTCCTGCGTTTACCCACGTTTCATCAAGGTAATAAATCTTCCTGTTTTGATTTCTATATTTCCCAATTTTTGTTAAATAATCCCTCCTCCATAGCACAATTTCTCTATCCAGTAGTAAACTATTACGACCCCGTTTTTTCCATTTGAAATTTAAATGCTTCAGTAACGCATGAAAAGTTGATCGTTTGAAATTTGGCAACGTTGTATCTCCATTTACCTCCTGCAGTACTTTATCTATAGTAGGTATTTCATTCCTAAAGAAGAATTCATGCACTTTCCTCCTAATCGCATGCTTATCAGCTTCATCCAATGATTTAACAATACTTTTGCGATGTTTACTGGTCATTGGCTCAGAAAAGGTGTGATTTTTTTTGTATTGTCTTAACACATTAAACACTGATGCGCGACACACCCCAACTTTGTGAGAAACCTTCACAACAATTTCTTTGATGGTTGATGCCTCGTTCTCCTCGCGCTCGATCTTATATATATTCAAAATGACCTCTGCCATTTCTGCACTCAGGTGTCTTTTTTAGAGCGTTTCCTAGGTGGACTTCAGGAGTTTACAACTTCATCGGCAGTATCTGTACTACTGGGCATTTTGCGCAAGCAGTTGATAACAATAACAATCAATAACAAGGTATAACAATAACAACGACAAACTCAACAACTTAATAAGATAACAAACGAAAACGTCCAAAGAAATATCAAATTGCAATGATGCACACGACATACATAACACGTCTGAACCTGAATGTGACTCTGCCTTGATACGACTGCTCTGCCGCTCGGCATAGGCATTTAATTGCGAATTGACCAATGAGGGCTCCTGTTTTACGTCGAGACGGCGGCGTTAGCGTGAAAATCACCCGAACCTTTTGTTTACATCCGGTCTATCTCTTATCTGAATATACTGTAGCTTAGTGTTATTTCTATTTCACAGCATATGTTTGGATGTCCTCAGGTGCAATACGTTAATCAATGTTAGCGGGTGACTTATAGGTTTTAGGATTAACTTCCGGTTTCAACTTATGACGTATTTTCATGGACCTCCGTTGCTCATTCCATTATTCTTTTGTTTCAGGAAGCATGCCACCTGCTGCGTGACACCCGCCTCTTTTAGCCACGCCCACATCTGATTGCTTGGCCACGCCCACACACGATGACCCATGCCTGGCTGCTCGGGCTGCTCATCCTCCTCGTAACACTAAGCACCGCCTCCTCAAACGAGGAGGACTTCGCTTTTGACGCCACCGATGATGTGGAGGTGGAATTCGATGGTGAGGATGGCGATGAAACTGCAAAAGAGGAAGGGCTGGCGGTAGTCGGAAGGGCGTTTAGGTACTCGGTGCCGCCCTTTGAGGAGACAGGGTATAATATCGATCATTATGAGGTAAGCACTTAAATTTAGGATACATCTACCATATATATAGGCCAGGATTCCTAGAATCTGAAAGAAAAGGATTTGTAGTAAGCTGTTTTACAACAATTATATTCATGAGGGTATATGAAAATGCCCCTCATGGAGAGAAACAAACAACTTTGCTGGGTACAAACAATGTTGCTCGCTAACTTTTTTATTAACGTCAGAGGTAGAAAATGTATAATATACTTAGGAATTATTGGTTTAGGCGGTCCAAAAAGGTTGTAGTGTGTGAATATACCTTCAAAATAAGACCTTACACAGCCAGTTTGCTGTAACGCTTAACTTAATACAAAAAAAATGTCATAAACCGTCTATTTAAAAATTAAGTAATTAAATTTAAAATAAATAAAATAATAATTTGAAATAACAAAAAAAGCCTTTGTAGTGCTTAGCCAATAAAGTAAATTTTAATAGAAAACTCTCAACACTGCAAATTTCTAATCATTCCGTTATTTGTTTTTTAAGAAACATTTGCCTTCTTTGACCAGCTGTTCAGAGACTTCAGTCAGTCAAATGAAGATACTTAACTGATTCTCTCGCTAGAGACTTCCTTTAATATCGTATCGATACAGATACAAGATTTTCTTATACTCACCAGATAAAAAAATGACGTTAAAGCTACATCTGTTTTTTGCTTATACACAATTAAAATGAAGTCCATTGTTTTTGACAGTTGTAATTATCCACTGAAAAGCTGATGAAAAGTATACACGAAAAAATGAGCTTTTTGAACCTTTTATAAGGAATTTGGGGCACGCCAATGCCAAAAGCAGTCTCAAACGTGGCCATTCAGGATAATTGCAGATGACCTTAAAAGTATAGGGCTCATATATGAACTCTTCTTGTTGGAATGGAATGTTCTGTGCTGATATCTTTAGTTTTTAGTCTCATGGTAAGCCCATCGCTTTGAAATATACTGCGAAAGGTTGGGAAATCTCGAAACAGGAGATACTACAGACAAAAATATGTAAATTGACCTATATACCTTAGTCCAAAAGTTGATAGTTTGCGAGATACAGGGTTTTTTATTTTTCCTTATTGTTTGAGAATTATTTCAGGTTTTGGCATAAAACTCGGTACAGGGAGGTTTTCCAGTATGAGAAACAAGAATCCGTTATTTTTTATGGCCAAACTTCTAGAGGGCGCCACTTAACAGCACTATTTCAGTTATCATAACTTATCATAACTTTTTTGTGCTATCCTGTATACAACCTCCCTATACCGAGTTTTATGCCAAAATCTGAAATACTTCTGAAGCAATAAGGAAAAATATACAATAAAATTGTAACTTTGACACCCTGTATCTCGTAAACTAACACTTTTGGACTAAGGTATGTTGAGGTCAATTCACATATTTTGGTCTGAGTATCTCCAGTTTCGACATTTTCCTAACCTTTCGCAGTATAATTATTGTTATATTTTTATATTACACTTTGAAGGCTAAAGTTACATTTTTTCTTGACTTAATAAAATATTCGAGGGTAACAGCTTGGTTCTGTTCGTATATTACTAGGTAATACAAATATTTGATTCGTAATTTTCAAGAAAATGATCCACACTGTATACTAATAGCCAATAAGCTGGATAATTTATTCTAAAATTGTTAACAAACGCATGTTCTGTGTGAGGTTCAAGGTGACTCTATTTCAAGAACTCCTTATCTATATTGTTTTGTTTCCTCATCTGTATTGTATTTATTATGGAAAGTGCAGAGGCCGACGAAGATAAAGAAACCCAACGCATAGTTTTAACAACAATCGAGGTATTGTTCTAGTCCCGTCGATTTGGAGCATTTGAGGCGTGTCAGAAATGCACCTTATTGCATCTCAGTTGAGATATATCTCTCGATGAAAAGATTCCATTCATGGGTGCATGTATTTACAATATGTTTTGCGCCTTCACGCAGAATGATTCAAGAAACAGTGCTAATCATCATGCAAAACACTGCAGAAACTTCCTCTAAACATAGTGCCTATCTAAATCGAGAAAAAATCACTGTAATGGATAAAACGACCAAATTGCGATATTGTACAATCAGCGAAAATCAAAAGCTGTCCAATTTTGGGCTATAAAACAAGGTCGAAAACCGCTTTAATATAAACTAAGCCTAAAATACTCTTCAGGGACTTGTAGGGAAAGGTTTGACCTTTCATTTAGATTTAGACATTCTGCAACCTCAAAAATAATAATTTTTATGCTGTTTCAGGTGCTCATAACTCGAGCACGTTCAACTTTAGTAAACTGTTTCTAAGAACATGATTGAAGCCTGAAAAAGGTTGTCTGGTACGAGAGAAATATTTTTATTTGATTTGTTAAAAAATTGTTCCTACAAACTTACTCCGGGTTATCAATCGCAAACTCTTGATTCATGGAATCGGATATTAGAAGAGACAAAAATCATATTTGCGAAAGAAGTTTTCCTACTAAATTTTTTCTATAACCACGGTTTTTGGGCGCCTCTTGATGTGAGTCTGTTAAGTCTGTTATAGAATATGCCAGTCAGTAACCCGTAACCAATTTTAATGATCAATTTTCATAAACAAATTACTTAAAAATGATCTCTGCAGAGTTCTGGCATTTATGAAGCTATATACATTATGGACCTATGTTTGCATTCTGTTTTTGATGAAAACATTGAGTTTCGACTGAATTACAATGATATCAAGCGAGAAACAAAGAAAGGTTTTCACATACATAAAGTTTGGTTGGCCAAACATAGTTAAAGAGGAACTGCAACCATTTTTCAGACGGCGAATGGAGCGTCATATTGAGAAGGACTTAATACTACGTGGTTATCATGTAGTGACTTCAAGTCTGTAATTAAGGAATTTCAGGCATCGCAAGATAAAACTACTCGCGAGGTCAATTTTCTGGTGGTCATCACCAGACCATTATATTGAAAACTGTTGTAAAGAATTGCTATCATTGTTTTTTTATACTCAGAATAAGGAGAATCCTGCCAAGTGAACGGTGGTTCCGTTGTATTTTCCATCAAAATCTTGGCAAAGTATCTATATTGATTATATGGGACCATTTGTAGCACGGCTCTTACTTGGTTCTAGTCGATAGTCACTCTAAATGGCTGGAAGCTTTAGAAACAAAGTCAATCTCTGAATCTACCGTGATCACTCTTTTACGAATGGAATTTGATAGGTTTGGGGTCCCAGGAGTTGTTATCACTGACAACTATTCTTCGTTTACGCCAGAAGAATTCCAGGAGTTCCTGGCGAAAAATGGGGTTCAGTTCAAGAGTGGGGATGTGTAGTCTCCAACAATAAATGGAGCGGCAAAAAATGCTGTCAAGACAGTAAAAAGTGCTTTAAAGACAGCACTAAGCAACGCATCACCAGAAAAATAAAAACACGTCAATGCTAAGCAGGATAAACAAGTAGAATCATACGATTGTAAAGAAAAAGTAACCAGAACCTACAGATGATGTTTAGGTACGTAAATACAGACAAGTAGAAGCATAATGGGTGAACGGCACAGTATTGAAACGTTTGTGTCCAAACGCTCAGTGTCTATATACCTCATTTGGGCATAGCAATGACCAAATTCGAAAGAGCGATGTGGAAGAGCCGACTTGGGACTTGATTCTTTGTGAAGCCACTTTTGAAATTATCATGGCGTAGTCGAAATTCTGAGGGCATATGAGTGACGTCATACTTTGGCCACGCTTAGATAACAGTCAGCTATGAAACTCTCATGTGTCAGTGTTGAAAAACGACTGTCATATCGGCAGAGAAAATCGCATGTAAATTTCCTAGTAAAGCGATTTCTGTTCAGCAGCAGCCGGTGTTGCAGCGTACCATGCCAGCGGCCGCAGATATGCTTTGCAATCGTAAAATGACATTCCGATATGATCTGGCGTAGTTTGTGTGACTCAATAAGAAAAAAGAGTTTGTTTATCCAAAAAGAAGTGACGGGGTATTGATGACTATTCATAAGAAGCTTAAATTAATTTGTAACGTTAGAAGTATACTAAGTGACATATAAATCCGAACACCCAGTTTAAATGGTTTTATTTTAATAAAAGTTGGTGAATGTATTTATCTTACTGTAAATAACAAGTGAAAAAATTTTCAGCCATTATCAGATGGACATTCCGGTTTTTATACTGCTTTTTTTAATTCACTAACGCTCTAAAAATGAATATTTCAGCCGCAGTAAAGAATCAACGTTGGCAGATTTTGGTTCTTGACATCCTTTACGATCGGTTACGATGCCAAGAGTACGGAGACCTGTACGATTTCGTCAACTTAGTGAGTTTGATAGGGGCCGTATAGTGGGACTTCGGGAAGCTGGAATTTCTTTTCGGACAATTGCAGTTAGAGTGCAAAGAAGTGTAGACACTGTGGTTAGGTGTTGTCAGGCATGGCTTCGAGAAGGCCGTACGCAAAGAGCAAGGGGCACTGGACGCCGCCGTAGAAAAACAGACCGTGAAGATCGCCGCCTAAGATTATTGGCCTTAAGGGACCGTTTCTCCACTACCAGGTCCATTGCAAATGAATGGTTTGCAGAACACGGAAGACCTATTGGCATGCGAAGTGTTTACCGACGAATGAGAAGTTTTGGCTTGTTTTCATACCGGCCACACTGGGTCCTCCCTTTAACTCGAGAACACCGACGTAATCGCCTTGAGTGGTGCAGACAACGGTCACTCTGGGATCAGGAATGGAACAGTATTGTCTTTAGTGACAATTCTCGATTTTGTTTAGGCATGCACGATGGTCGTGCCAGGGTTAGAAGGCGACGTGGTGAAAGGAGGAATCCACAGTTTTTTTTTGAAAGACATGTTCATCACACTGTTGGAGTTATGGTTTGGGGTGCTATAGCTTATGGTTCCAGGTCACCTTTAATCTTCATCAGAGGTAACATGAACGCGCAGCGTTATATCCACGAAGTTCTAGAACCCCATCTTTTACCCTATCTTGACACCCTGGTAGATCCAACTTTCCAACAAGATAATGCCCGACCACATGTTGCAAGAGTCACAATAGACTTCTTTCAACATAATGATGACACATTGTTACCATGGCCACCAAGATCTCCCGACTTATCCCCAATTGAGCACGTGTGGGATGTGATGGGTAGGAGATTGCTCAATTTGCAACGTCCTCCTCAGACTCTAGAAGCACCTGATCAGAAGCATGCCTTGGCGCGTTGGAGAATGCGTAGCACATCAGGGTGCATCCACACATTATTAAAGGTCAAAGGGCTTTAAAGCAGTGCAATCATTTTGAAATTTTTATCATTTACCTATTATGCTTCATTAAGTACTTATACAAAATTTTATTAAAATAAAACCATTTAAACTGGTTGTTCGGATTTATATGTCACTTAGTATATATACAATAAACGGAAAAATATTTACTTCTGGTATGTATTCTAGGGTGCTACGGTATAATCAGTCCATTTCATTTTCAATGTCCAGACAAGTACAAGCTTCCCTCAATCACAAGAAATCCGCCGAAACTGCCACCGAAACTACGTTTGTAAGTTTTCTCAGTTACAAATCATTGAAGAATTCCAGTTCAGGCTCAATTTCAGGCTGAATATTCAAAAAGTTTATTTGTATAAACTATTTCCATATTTACTGATCTCTTGGAAATAGTTTTTGTTTTTGGTCTTTGAATAATTCTTATAAAAAGCCACTAGAAAGTATCCTTGATATTTCTTTGGGAACACACTTTCAACTTGAAACTCAAGCTTTCGATGGACTATGCCATCATCATCAGGAGCTAAAAACAACATTGGGAAATAGCAACAATAAGCAATTAGGAGACGTTTTATTACTTACTAAGTCGGCGAGATTGTTGTTGAATTGTTCTTAGAAGAAAGTGGTTCGATTAGGAAAATTATTATGGCAAAAGTAAGTATATTTCGGTTTATTTTAAATGCTTCTACCAATACAAATTGATTTTAAAGCTGTGTCATAAATGAATAGTCATTCATCAATACTTTGTCCCTACTTTCTGTACAAACATATTTCTTTGTATCATTGGTTCACACACCCTACACTAGATCATATCGGAATAGTATTTTTACGAATCAAATGACTATCTGCGGCCACTGGCAGGGTACAAATCAACACTGGTTGAGCTCTTAAACATCTTTCATCGTAGTACTAAGGAAATTTGCATGCGATTTTTTTCGCCGAAACGACGACCGTTTTTGACACTGACAGAAGAGTTTAATAGCTGATTGTCGTCTAAGCTGTGATTTGGTGACTGTTAAAAATAAATTTCAACAGTCGAAACTATGATTGCGGCTGCACTAATTTGTGGATGACGTTTCGTTGTCAATTAGTAATAATAATAATAATAATAACAATAATAATTATAATAGGCCTTTATTTTACCTGGCGGGTATCATCTATAAAGCTGCTCCTACCACCGATAAGGTGTAGTAGTGTTTCTGTCTCGGTTTCGTTGAGTAATTGTTTTACTTCAACATAACGGCCTACGCTTTCGTCAACTACTGGATATACCTTAGAAGTCCTAACATTGAAATTTGAGTTAACAGTCGCTAACGATTTAAAATCAAATCCCTGGAGTGCGATAGTCTGATTGGAACGGGTGAATGGGACAGAAGCAGATTGAGTAGGTCTACACAAAACTTTCCAGATAGAATGCAGCTAAGTACTGTGGAATCACAGGTCAACGATGTATCATCATCTAGAGCAAATATCAATACTGCAGCCAACTTGCTAAGATTGGCACAAACGGCAGAAAGTGACGATCTAGAACGAGAACGGCCAAAACGGGAACCAAAACCTGTCCGAAGGCTGATCGAAGAGATTTTGTTAGAAACTTTTGAAGATGTGTGGATCGACTAGGCATAGGCAATTAACATCCTATGCATGCAGAAAAATATTTGACATAATTTGTTAGATGTATTGTAGATCATTAGAGTTGTTTTCATGAAACTGCGTTTACAAGATATTACTCTATCAAATTTGGTCCATATTTCCAGTATGGAACAAGTTCTTTTTGATTGGTGGATTTTTTGCCCATAGCAGCAAACTTCGTGTGAGGTCTCAAATGAGAAAATAGATTTTTGTAGCTAAACCGAGTGATTTATGAAGTATTTCTTAATTTAATATGTCAATCAGGAGCCCATCTTACATAAATCGTATAATTTTTCTCTAGTTTGAGAGATATTTTGCAAGAAATCGACTGAGTTCATTTAATCCATGACCTTAAAAACGCCTTCTCATCACACGATGGAGTAACGCATCAGAATTGGGCAATTCTCTATGAAAAATCTCTCTAATATTTTCATGGAAATTATGATGGTAGCTGAACTGATTGTGTTTGCTTTACATCTCTATATATAATCAGAAATATAACGATAGCCACCTACAAATAGTTTGCCAAAGCTGATTTCATTGTCAATACTTCAAAAATGACAGAAAGACATTTTTACATCCATAATAGGCATATATTGAATTGCTTCATCACGTAGAACAACAGAGAGGTGTCATATATGCACTTATAGGATATCAATACATGTCTTTCTTTGAAAAGATCTATTTGAGGATGTATGAAATGAATACGTTCAGTAACAGCCTGAATACCTCTTCTGTATTATGCGCTTTGACGGTCTTATATTTTACTGTTATGCTCCATCAATACAAATACTAATTTTATCTTTCACTAGCACACACATGATGACCAACATCAATAGTCCGATTGTATGTACCAGCATAGATACAAATATATCTATTTGCATTTGTTTTAACAGAATGCAAATCATACAGGGGGATCCGAAAAACAGTGGTTATATTTGTGTAATTTGTCATTTCAAAAATAATTCTTTCCGACATGTTTTTTTTTTAAATGCTGCGTTAAAGGTAAATGCCTATTGTGGGTATACATTTTATACACCCAATTCTACGAGTATCCATCACGTTTTGTTGTCTACTAATGGGAACAGCTAATCAACAAGTGACATCTTGGTATTAGTCTGTAAGGTTGGCCATGATGAATCTGATGCAAAACTAGAAAAACTTAACTGTAGCGTTTTGTTTTTACAGTTGTTAACAAGCACAAAATGAATTTGTATCGTACCAAAAACCAAAACAATATAACCCCCTCTGTCTACCTGGCCTAGGCGGATCCGTCAGAATTATGTGTCATATATTGATATGGGGAATTTTGAAATATTACTAAATAATGAGATGTTATTCTACCGTAATGGATACTCGTGAAAAAGACAATGGGTCTATTGAATAAAAAAAATTATTTTCGTGCTTGATAAGCATTGAATGAAGTCAGTAACTACTTCATAAAGAACAGTCTACTCATGGTATTAAGTAAACTCATTCAGTTTCAAGTAATCACTTGAAACATAAGATTTCACTTGGGTTTTCCCAGTACATCCTTCTTTTCAGTTGAATAAAAGGAAGAATACTTTAAAACTAGTAAGAATTAAATTAATGTCTGTTAAGGTATCTCCAACGCATACTTTTATCAGAGAAGCATAATTTCAGTAATGGTAACCCTAATAAAAGTTCATAATACTAAAAACTACAGAGAAAGAAAAAGCATAAGCCTAGCAAATTTAAGGTTTCATTGCGTTTTGAAAGCGAAACTGTAGACTATTTATCAGAACATTTTTACCGCAGACAGATGAAAACAGAGGAGGTGCACTCACCTCACAGCAAAGAATGGAAATGTTTCTGCGGTATCTTAGTGACCCTGGATTTCAAACAGGTATTGCTGAAGATTTCGGCGTTAACCACACGACAGTATGTAAAACTATAGATTATGTTGCTGACAGAATATTTGAAAAAGCCCATCAGTGAAAAAAGTTCCCGCCTGACCTGGAGGGCTTCGAAGAAGCAAGAAGAAAATGCTCAAATCGATTTGTTACACCTACTGTCATCGGTGCATTAGACTGTACTCATGTCCAAATAAAAAAAAACTTCAGATTTTGGTGACGAATATGTCATTTGAAAAGGATCTGCGAGTATAAATGTACAAGTATTTTGTGATTACAAGTGTAGATAGTCAGTGGCCTGGAAGCGTTCACGATTCCAGAATTTGGAAACAAAGTTCAATATATAAAATTATGACTAGATTTCGAGGTAATTTTTGCCTTCTCGCGGATAGTGGAAATCTAATTCCATGGTTATTGTGTCCATTTAAAAACCTTCAAAACAGAAGAGAGGAACTATTCAATATTTCTCATTCCAAAGAAGGAATCACAATTGAAAGAGTATTTGGGCAGCTGAAACAGAGATTTCTCATTTCACATCATAAAGTGCAAGTATCTTTCACAAAAGTTCCAAAAATTATTGTTTGCCTGCGCTGTTCTGCATAACATTCGCAAATATCTGACTTTGCGGTCGAAGAGAATAAACTGCCCCGAGGACTTACACTTACATCAAAGAGCAGATGTAGAGGAAGTAGTTAGGCATTCATCAAAAAGGTGCGGCAAAACGTCAAGCAATAGTGGAGACAATGTATAACCATATTGTTTAAAATGATTCTAGTTTTAACTTGAATTTGTCATCATATGGTGTTATTTATCCATTGTTTGGTCACTTAATTGGCGCGGTGAATTTTTGTGTAATACCACAAACAAAGTGTGCTTTATTTATGATAATATTGGAATAAGTAACAAGTTTCTGTAGTTATATTATTTAATTTAGTGAATCCTTGTAAACAAAATCAAAAAAATTGTTGAAATGAGAATGAAATACGTGTTTGTATATTACTATCCTAACCGTGTCGAACTTCTTACATCCAGAACTGGTCGGTACGACCGCTCCTTTGTCAATAGGGTGTCGAGGAACAATCTACCTGCGGAGGCTACACAACTGCTTCGGTATAAAAAAATTACAGTATCCTGAAAATTCTGTGACTCATAAAGTTTTGCATTGACCGTTCCATTTACCTCCTCTATCCTTATTTTTAGTCCTCTTATTACTTTCTTCTAGGTGAAAAGACCTGGTGGAAAAGGCCTACCGTCATGGCTCCTCTTCGACAAAAAGTCCGGAATCTTCTGGGGTGTGCCTTTGCACCAAGACGTCGGAACCTTGCCCTTAACTGTGCGCACCATCTATAAAGACCTGATGGAACCAAGAGAGGAACAGCTGAAGATTAAAGTGACTGAAAAAGAAGGAAAATATATGGATGGAGAAAAGTGCGAGGAGGGAGAAGACCATACAATGCTGACACTGTTGTTGGACAGAAACTTACGGACCATCAAGCCGAAACAGAGGGTGGTAGCTGTCAATAACATTGCCAAGTTTTTTGGCTTGCCATATGTAAGTTAGAATTTGAATTGGAAAGTCTGTTATTTTATCATTGGTTAACAGAACTCTATAGAAGATATCCGAGAAATTCCGGTGGCAATAAGGTACCCAAGCAACATTGACTTTATTTCCCGAATGTGTGAATGTTCGGTTTGCCGCTTAAGACTATGTCAGATGCATTTACTATTTCGAAAAAATTATAAATGTTCCTAAAGACTGAGGAAGGGACAAGACACATAGATAAACTCATTTGATCAAGAAAATATATATAGGATACCTACCACAAAATCACTTTATTGACACGTATTAAAGTTGTTTGCGGTCTACAATAGTCATTCTCAATAAGGATGATATACTCTGATAAGTAGGTGACATCATTTTCTAGAGGTAATGTCAAACTAATACAAAAAATTATTTTCATACAAAAGCAAAAGCTACACCTATAAAGGCAGTAAAGTCATTAGCCACAAATTTATTTGCTTGCTCAGAGTCGCAACTGAAACGTTCTGAAACTGATGTCAGTCGGAGGAGTGTATGTTCTTCGCACTGTTGTCTACAGTAGACCCAGAACAATATTGTTCTCTGTAACATTGAAACATTCATTTTGTGACTAATTTCCGTTTGGAACCCATTTTGAAATTTAAATGGCTTATAGCTTTCTTTTCGTAAAAATGTATGGGATGTCGTGGTTGTTCAAAAACGCCATTCAAAAACTATAGCGACATATGTCAGCGAATTGTCGAAGAAATCAACTTCGGAAGTAGATACCTACGCTACGGGTGCTTTTTGATGATTTCTATTTATGAATGTGGCTTAAGTACCTTACTGCCCTAAACCTTTTCATTTTTCAAAAATATTCGATAATTTAAATATTATTTCCACTCATTTCCTACTTCGCGTAGTTGGTACTAATTTGACGCCGCGATTCATAAATGCTCTATTTACGCCCTATACAGGGTGATTCACAAGTCGTGACCAAAAATGAAACATCATACACATGTCCGCATTTTAAGGGAGGTCTTTGGCAAGGCGCGCACTGAGGTAGTGTGGTAGTGGTGAGGTATTGGAGTGGTGAGAGGCATAGGGATGGTAAAATTTGGCGTGGCGATCGGAATAGCGGCGAAGTGGTATGAAAGTGATATAAAGCGCACTGAAGTGGCAAACAAGTCAGTTGATGTCACCGGTTTACCATGTCGTCCTCAGAAGATGAAGATACCCTTTTATTTATGCAACTTGTTAATCTAAATGCTATAAGTCAGGAGACGAAGAAAAAACGGCATTGGGTTCATCCGCTGTGGCAAAAAAATAAAAGTTTGGAATTTTTAATGTTTATAAAAAGGATTTGAACTTGGACGACCAAAAATTTAAACTTTTCTATCGAATGAAGAAAGAGACTTTTAGCAAGTTACTGACTAAACTACGGCCTATGCTTCAAAAAAAGGATACGAACTTCAGGAAATGTGTTTCTCCGAAGAAAGCGTTCTAATAACACTGAGGTACGTACAATGAAAAAATATAAATACAGATATATTTACTATCCAAATACAAACTTATTGTACAACATTATTCTTAAAAAGCAAATTCATGATCTGGTAATAATGGGTTATTATACTGAATATTTGGTAATAATGTATCTTGTGCTTGTGTAGATGTCTGACGTACTGTTGAAAACGAAATATCTTCATATGTCCGCGAATCAGCTGTCTCACATTGAGGTCGAATAGAGCTGGTACATGCTGAAGAGGAACGGGTAGAAGGTATGCTGTCTGCAGCAAGCGATGAATAACTAGACGTTGGGGAGAAGAGAGGTGCAGAAATATGAGACACTACAGGCTCATCCAAGATTTCACCGGCAAGATTTAGGACTCCCACTTTATATTTTCTTTTCTGCTTGTCTGTCATTTTTTTTAAATCGGGCTATAGACTCAACAAAAACTGCACATCGGCATCATCATTAGTGAAAGCAGGTGGTTTATACGGTGCTTGCTTCTTTTTTTCAAAAAATTCAAAGGCAGATTTGTTAACATCTGCCAAAGATATTTGATTCGGAGTAGTTTTATTTCTTTTAGGATTATTTACACTAGGTACTGACGAACTGGATACACTTCTCTTTGTGTTTTTTGCTTTGGATCTCCAGAATCATTTTTTTCCAAACTGAGATACAATAATATTTGATACAGGCTCGTTAAATTCTTCAGGAATCGACTGTTCATCATCAATATCGTCATTTCTCCCTTGGTTGTTTTTGTAATTTCCAATTTTTGGACTTCCTAATTGTTGAGTTTCAAGCTCTTCGGTCTCTAGGTCCTCCGTAATTGATTCTTCATGAATTATATCGGCCGTTTCAATATTCTTTGGTGCGTCAACATTTCCTTTCGGTTGGCGGGACTTAGTGAACGGTAAAACAAAACATATGTACTCCGAGAGATAGTATGGGCGTTTTACCGATGCTCCAGATCCAGATGGCATGTATGTCTTTAAATGTTTCGTGTAACTTCCACGTAAATTCTTCCACCTTTTTTTGCAATCTGCGATGGTAGCTACAATAAAAACACATCATTAAGATATACAAATGAAGCGTGCTGAGCATAATGTGTGTGTGTAAAGTTTACTTTATTGCTTGCTATTATTATAATTATTAATAATATTGTTATTAATATTCACTTTTTTACGCTTTCGAACACTATTAAAAAAAAGTGAAATAACGCCAATTAATATGTAATTTTTTATATTTTTAAAACCAAAATGCCGTGATGTGGGGAAAACCACCACTTCCACACTTTGTTTGGTAAAATAAAGTACCTACTTAATTATTGTTTTTCTTTCCAGGTATTTTGCAACCGGCTGCCATCTAAAGGCACTATCATGTTATTTTTTGAGAGGTCATACTACCATTAGAGAAATAATTGCAAGAACTTCAGTAGTAATTTGGAAAGTTCTACAACCAACTTATCTTCCTAATCCTACCAAAGAAACATGGGTACAATCAGCTCGAAGATACTGGGAGTTATGGAATTTACCAAATTGTGTGGGGAGTATAGACGGTAAACACATCAGGATCAAACGTCCACCAAAATCAGGTTCCGAATTTATTAATTACAAAGGGTATTTTTCCATTGTTTTGATGGCTGTATCAGACGCAGATGGCTGCTTCTTGACCATTGATGTTGGTGAGTACGGCCGAAATAGTGACGGGAGGGCATTAAAAGAAAGTAATTTTGGAAAGAAATTAGTTAACAGCACGTTAGACTTGCCAGACCCATCTCCATTACCAGGACAAGACACAAATTTTCCATTTTATTTTGCTGCAGACGAAGCTTTTCCATTGATGTGTACTATAATGAAACCCTACCCTAAAAAAGGCTTAACAAATAGAAAAAGGGTATTCAATGGTAGGTTATCAAGAGGTCGCAAATCAGTTGAATGCTCATTTGGAATGATGTCATCCAAGTTCAGAATTTTACACACAACAATTGGTCTTAATATAAATACAGTGGACAATAAAGCAGTGTGCTTACTGCATAATTTTATTAAAAAAGAGGAAGGTATATTTTCGCGCCCGCGAGGAAAGAAAGGAAATGATGATGACATAGAAGTAGAAAATGAGGAACAGCCTTATCCGAGACTCTCAAATCAAAGAAGAGCTACCAATCCAGCAATTGCTACACGGGAGAAACTTTGTGATTTTTTTAACAGTGGACGGGTCACTTAAAAGTCAAAAACGATTTTGTGTATGAAAACAAGAAGATAACAATATTAACTGAATAAAAAGATAACTAAATAATGCCTTTAAATAAAAAAATATATTTTTCAAGGAACCACATTTTTTTATTACTTACCTCCTTCCACAATGTCTTTTGCAATTTTCGCCCAAGCCCGTTCTTGCACATGGATCATATGATAATCCTCCCGTGTATTGTCATACAGACAGGGATATGCCTCTACAAGGGCTACAAAATTAATGTTCAATTCGTGGTCGTCTCGCATGATTCACTCCAGGAAAAAGTAAACAAAAACCCACGTCGCGTCGTCGTCACCAACCGCTTGCCAGTCGAAAATAAAACTTGCTCGAGATTAGTGGCACCAGACTGACATCACGCCACCTACAAAATGCCACGCCACCGCTACTCCATTTTGATCCGCGCGTCATCATTTGTTTATATAGGCTTTAGCGATTCCACCTGCCACTTGATCACCGCGCCACTACCACGTCACTTGCTCACCATCTCAGTGCGCGCCTTGCCTTCTATGTAACATTTTTCCTCGAGACCTTCATTAAAAAGATACGGGGTAGGAAGATTCAAAATAAAAAACAATTTTTTAATATCTTCAAAACCGTCAACTGGAATGAACTAACATTTGGCATGTGGATTTATCCAAGTATTGTCCATAAATAATTACTCTTGTGCTTTTTTCCTAGAGTGCATTGTTTTCGTAAAAATAAAAAAAACGAATTAGATGATCAAATCTTTATTTCAATAAATGTTCAAAAGACCGCCATTCTGACGGACACAAGTGCGGCCTCTGTTTAATAAAAAAAACGTATTTCCTGAATTTGATGAAAGGCATTATCTATTCTTTCTTGTAACTGATCAACAATAATAAATTAATTTGTTCAGCATGCACTAGTTGTTTAAGAGCGCCCGACAAAAATAAATCCAGGGAGTTCAAATCAGTAGTCTCCGCAGGCCAATGTACGGCTTCGTTTCCATCGTTGTCTAAAATGATTATTTAATCGTGCGGTTATGTCACGACGAACATGCGGTGGGGCACCGTCGTGTTGATACCACATTCGTACTCTCTTTGCTAACGGAATATCATATAGTATGAGTTTGCATTTAATACGTCACTACACGCACCTCAAATTTTACTCGAACACACGCCCTACGCCAATTTGCTCAAATCCACTAAAAAGGCTTAACGGTTAAGAAAAGATACTAAAACATAGTAGATACATCCTGAGAACAAATTTTCCTCAATATAATACGTTTATTTAGAAAGCTTCCTGTTGTTTTGTTGCACTGTTAGCAAATTGCCGCATAGTATTGAGTATTTTTCAGAAAATTGCAGTTTTTTACTAATAAAAATGTGTTTTCTACTACAGTCAGGAACATCTTCGTCTAGGGACCTCAACCGCTCTAACTCTCGTTCATATGGGTCGTAGTAATTCATTTCAAATGTCGACTGACTGAAATATATTAAAATAAATGCACCTATATGTCAAAAATAAAAAAATGTATAACCTTACCTATCATCACGCCTGTTAGCAAATTGCTCAATTTTTTTAGTAAATAAGTCTACGTTATCGAACGCCTGTTAGCCAAATGCATATGGAAGCCGACACACTACGTCAAGGGATAGCAACAGACAGACGCGACTCATAGTCGTCATTGATAGAAGTAGGACAATGAATATTTAGTCGCTCTACCCTAGTTTCGCATAAACAAGGAAGATATTAGGTAACTTCTGTTTTTGCGGCAAAATGCAGCGGGACGTGCTATGACGTGTTAAACGTTGTGGCAATACGTGCATAAACAGTTGGCCATTGAAAATGCCACACTAGACATTTCTATAAAATCCGTGTTCAAACGAGTGTAATTTTACAGAACGGGGATTTTCTAACGCCCAAATATGTGCATTATGAGAATTAAAGGTTCCATTCCTCATAAAAAGCGATTCATCTGACCACAAAACCAGATCAATGAAATCCGCATTTCGATTATGCATTTCCAGTAACCACTCACTAAAATTTCGCCGTTGCACTTGTACTAGGATCATCCAACGCCAAATTCTTAGAAATGAAACGCGTAAAAACCTTTGGGGCAGGTTGGCGTTTGTTAGGAAATCTACGCTGATACTCCCGAGAAGCCGCTAAAGCGTACACAAAAATAATGTCGGCCTGCTCATCATTGCTAAATTCCATTTCAAAACACTCAAAAATGGAAAAAATAATCTTTTGACTTGACTGACAAAAAAATGGTAGTAGTAACGGTAGCAACCATATAACACGTAACTTTGACAAACCATCTCCCAAGACACGTGAAGTTGGTATCAAGGCCTCCTATTATATTTTGAAACTAATTGTATCTCGGCTCTTCATGAATGATCTGATTTGTTTTATTTTTACGAAAACAGTGCATTCTAGGAAAAAACAGAAGAATAATTATTTGTAGCAAATAAGTAAAATTCAAGAAATTGCGCGTTTAGAAAAAAAACAGTGCCTTACTATTTTTATTTGGAAAAATAATGCCACTAATCCCCTGCATCTCCGCAACTCGTGCACGTAAATTTTAAGTAAATGTGGATAATACTTAGGTAAACTTCCTACCCCTTATCTTTTTAATGAAGCCCTTGAGGAAAAAATGTTTGATAGAAGACCCTTAAAATGCGGTCCTGTGTATGATGTTTCATTTTTCGTCACGACTTGTGAATCACCCCGAATACATAAATAACTATTACTTAATACTTAATTTTTCCAGAGTGCCTTCAGACTACAGCCTCCGCAGTCCCTGACCACCTTAACATCGTCAGACGACCTCAACACTGACCCCAGCATCATCCTCGCTGGACCCGGCGATTCCCCCACGCATCCAAACCTAGCAGGCTCCGCCCTGACAGTACCAGTGGGATGCGGCGGCCGCTTGTGGGTGGCTACAGGCAACTTGGTGAAACAATTGAAGGAAGAAGCACGGGATGGCACTGTGGCGGAAGTGCTGGGCGTACCGGTGGTGGGATGGAGAGTGAAGAAGGTACAACCTGCTAATGAGGTGGAGGAGTCAGGAAATCTGGATAGGAGGAAAAGAGCGGCTGAGGCTTTGCCAGACGATGACTATGGTAAGCTGTGGATTATATTGATATTACTTCTTACACCAATTAGTGATGAAGTACTGCCGTCGTTGAACGTATACTTGTCCAGAATTGCATAGAAAGTACAGAATCAACATACTTACCATTTTTTTTGTCTAGGAGCAAGTGGCGACTACGGCGAAGAATACTACGACGACTACGAAGACTACGACGGTCAAGACGACTTGACAGGGGACGTAGAGAAACCTCCCACCAACTCAAAATTATCACCCTCAGTATCTACCTCAACAGTCCGTACTACCTCCATATCGACAAACACCACCATGGCGAGTAACGTACAGACTCTCCCAGACACTGATGTAATAGAGGAAGATGAGTACGAAGATGAAATTGAAGAGGAAGGGGAAGATGTAGAGGTGGATAAGAGTGGAGAAGGCGATGCGGCATTACCTGAGACGAGCAGTACTGTCAGCAGTAGAACTGGAATTAGTTCGACGGAGAGTTCTACGCACGCGCATAGACATCATCACGGGGAGTTGAATCCTAGTCTGTCTGTAAGTATCACTTTAGTAGTAATCCGGCTTGATGCGGGCACCAAGTTCCCAAAACTAAACAAATGTATCAAAAAAATGTCCGAGTGCCCCGACTTGCTATTTATTTTTTCCCAACTGCAAAGTAGAGGCTCGTATTTCACTCAGTCCTGGAGCCCCTTCACCCGCAGACCCCAAGCTCCTTTGTACCTAATAGGGAATATGCATAATTCCATGTCACTCATATCCGTCTGTCGGTTTGTCCGCGAATCCTAAAACCGTCTATAACTTATTTACATGATATTACTACTATGCCAAGGACGAAAAATCATTCTGCTTTTTGGAAGTCGGCACAGAGGCGGTGGAGAAAATGGCCAAAAACTTCGTTTTTTTTGAGGTTTCAGAAGATCCTGACCATTTTTGAAAAAAAATTAGACCTTAAAAATTTGAGGATGGGGTGTAGGGCGGTGAGGAGGGTATATCTTAATTTCTTGATGTTAGTATTCCAAACGTTCTATTTTAAATCTTATAATTTTAGTTAATAAAAAATACTCGTTTCGATGAAGAACAACATTATAAGTACTGGATTGCACCTATGTGTAAAAATATGACGCGGAAAGCATATTCCCCAAGATATCAAGATAAGGGATGTGATGTAAATTATAGAAAGTGATAATATATTTCCAAAAAGTAATTCAAATTGTTGTACAGGTCAATTTAACGAAAGTACAAAACACAGAATAGCATTTTGCCCAAATATGATTAGTTTTCATTTACCTTAGATTACAAACAATATGTATCTTTTTTCTCTAGTCATTTAAAGAAGATAATTCTATAATATTAGATTCGACATTCCTTTAGTTTTTGGGTTGCGCCTGTGTTCATTTATTTCCATTATATTATGTTGACAGCCACGGACAGTGAAAACAAATGCCTGTCATTTTATGTACGACAACAAAGATTTGCCTGGTCACGTCACACCAACTGCGTTGCGTTTCGATATTTTAAATTTGCCGCGTATTTTTTACGTTTTTTGTTAATTGGTACTCGTCATATTATAGAGCTCAAGTGTAAAATTATATATGGATATAGACCATAACTAAAAATAACATTGAATCACATGCATATTCCCTATTCGACAATCTTGATTCCTATAAACTTCCTGATTCATATTGTTCGGCCCATATCGACATATGAGCAGCCATACCAGTCGTATATCGATGTTTCCGATATACATATCACTTTCGGCCTATCCGTATATTCTTTTAATTTTTCTACATCTTTGCTATATCTGCAGAGTTCTCGCGATCATCACACCACGCACAAAGTAACCAGTAGCGGACATACTCCAAGCACTCCATACAGCAGTACTGGGCGTACCAGCACCACCACAGTCAGCAGTAGCTTGCCCAGCAGTACGACGACAATCAAAAAGATAGAACAGAAAGGGCCCGATTATGTGCTCAACTACGACGACTACGGAATTGATAGTTATGATGAAGATTACGATAGAGGAGAAGAAGATCCTATTGAGAGCAAAACCATTGTGCCTGATTATTCAAGTAAGATTTTTTCTATTTATTTTTTAATTTGTCATTGCGAACTCATTTCACAAGAGGTTTAATTCTGCTACTGCCACACAGATAGCGCTATAATCTATCCAACGAACGTACGGAGCAATAAAACAAGTGACAGGGCAGCATGCTTTACACCGCACAACTACCTGCAAAACTGATAATGCGTTATCGCCAGTGGCGTATAAGTTTTAAAATTAATTGAGGTACCATTTAATTTATTTTCACTGTTTCTTCTATCTTTTCATTACTTTCAAGGGACTGCAAGGTTTATTACATTGATATATTAAATATGTTGCCTCAGTTTATGATTCGTTAACTTTGCATATTTATTATATTACAAAAATAATTTTAATACGTGGGAAAAAATAAAGAAAAGGGCTCAAAAATTAAATTCTTTTTTAGATTGGGTTCTGGATCTTTTTAATATAATACCTAATAATGAATCTACCTGCATTCATTACCACGTTTATCTAGACGGCTCTATCCGGATAGACTTTAAAGTGGATTATCCAAATCATGTGTAATCCTGACCGTTTATTCAACCTACTTTGAAATGTATCCCGATAGAGCCATAGAAATAAACATGGTAATTATATAAGTATGTTTAGGCATTTAGGTCATTCGTCATTATCCAGTAAATATACAAATTATATACGTTACATTGACACATATGATCTCGTCCTTTTCTTTCAAGATGCTATTTCGCTTCCTTCCTACAAAACTCATATTATACGAATAACGAATTTCAGGTGATTCATCTTAGCAACATTGCAAATTTAGTCTGGTCATAAAGTATAGATAAAGAATGATAACAAACATAAAAAACCCTAATCTATTTTTGAGTGTGAACATTTTACGGATTTTTTAGTTTTGTATATTACTTTCAAGGAGAAATAAAAAACAAAATAAGTTTGTTGTTGTTCAACACTTACCCAACGTCGATCTTTTGAAGTCTGGCAAGTCGTCGTCGACGTTTATGGATTACAAAATTATGTCCAATGTGGGTGGTTCGTATCGAAAGAAAAATTCGTGGATTTTCTTCGGATTAATGCCTTATTTTCTTGTGAAACGTCCAAAACTACTCTGGCTCTATGGTAACCTTTGTGAGGAGAAAGACTGTTGCTTCTTTTGTGCTCTGCCAAAATTTTATATTCACTGCTACTTGATGCTCCTGAAAACAAATTAATACATTTTGCATATATTATATATATATATACACCTTGGGAAAAAACATTATTATACATTATGATGAGGAAGAGAGATGGAAATATACAAAAGTATGTAGGTGCGTGAAAGACACTCGATTGTAGGATTCTATGTGGCAGCATCGGAGTGTGACGGACAACGGGGTAAAGTAGAAGAGTGATAAAAGAGAGAGATGGCAGAACGGGCGCTGGCGCCTACCGCTTAGACGGATGCGCTCACAAATGCGATTTGTTTCTCCCATTCGCAGAGTTGCCGATACCAATATGTCATATTTCTAAGAAATCTAAGTCTACCCAAATTTCGGGAAAAATAGCTGCGGATTCCACATAAGAGTATTCCAAAAATGAAAAAAGTTCAACTATTAAAATTGTATTAATGTTTCATGGTTCAAATCATATTTTTCATGTTTGTATATTGTTGTATAAATGATTTTGTAATCGCTATTCTTGTTGCCAGTAGAGATACAACAGTATTGAGAGAATCATGGACCGCTAGATAGGGCTACAACTACTATATGACTATCAAATAGTAGTGATAAACAGGGTTTTTTTATAGCACAGTTGCCTGGTGTGGCGAATTGCGCCATAGGGGCGATTTGACCACTTTGAAGGACAACTATAACGGTTACTACGGTGCCCGGTATTCGGGAATCTGGCAATACCTGATGATTCCTAACGTTTATTACGCCAGATTGTTTGCTGACTTGCGCAGTACAACATGACAATCAACGTGACTGAGCACCTGGTAACCCTGGTTTTAGGTGTTATATTTAAAGAGCTTGGGGCAGTTAGGTATCTAGGTCACATTGTTTAATGTATTTCGAGAAATCCGTAATGTTGAGTAAATACTAGATCACGTTTCTTGCTTAGTTTGCTGAAAATGCTACAATAGACGTACATTTGAGAAACAGAGATTTGGTGACGACAAAATCGTAAAAATATAACGCATTTTCGTAAAATAATTTCTTTGTTGAAAAGACTGTGGCTTGATGACCCATTGAACGAGTATAGTGTCCCGCTCCGCTTTGAATATCGAAACACTATACTCCAGCAGCATCAGCTTCAATGTTATCTTTATGAAGTTCTAACGTCTAGGCCATGCTGATTAAAAGCTTGAATGAATCAACACTCAACTCTAAATTCCCCACAATTCGGGAAGCTCTACTCAATTGGCAACACAGCGTATCTGCCTATTATTCTCGTTCGTGATACAGGTCTGCGGTTAACGGTAGGAAATATGTACGAACAGCGATGAAAGTAGACGAGTCGATGCGCTGTTGGCAGCTCTTTTTGTCCGTTTTCTTGGTCATTGTCCCTCGTCTAATAAGGCACTCACAAAAATAAATGAAGCACAAAAAAATTCAACCGCACGTCACAGACCTTCGGAAAGAATTGAAGTGCTATTGTGAACTTGTCGGCTTATCTACCGAAAACTGACCAATAGGAACGAGGCGCGTGCCGGTTAGATGATTTGTTACTCCCTAGGTTCGTTGGATAAATTATGGTATCATCCAGATCATTTTTCGTTCCCGGTTGGCTATCTTCAGGGAGAATCCGTTAATCTATGGTAATAGTGAGCCACGGCTTAGTGAAGCTTTGATGCGGCCATTAGGAGTAGGGAATTATTGAAAATCTTATACAGCCAGGTAGTATCAGACAGTATTTTGACATTGTTGACATACGCATGCACAGTTTGGGTCCCAATTACTGCCGCCACTAGTGAAAATAGTGGCTGCCTCTAAGTAGGGAGGAATACAAACTGGCACAGGCGAGTCCTTATTAGCCGTTCTTGACAACTTTGACATTCCTTGCAGATCTCAGCACTGTCTAAATCTCTTTTCAAGTTGGTGGTTGAGCTTTGGATGGTTTTGGTTATTTGTATTTTGATCCTCATCTTCCCATGTGATTTTCATTTCCAAACGACAGGCGGCGGTTTGTGCTATTTGTGCCATTTGGTTACATGGTATGATATAAATAGGTTATTAAAATTGATGAGGTAACAGCTTAATATCCATTTAACATCGACGATAAATCAGAGGATTTCTATATAAGTTTGTGGTCAAATTTCAGGAATTGGACTTCAAATAAATCCACGAACTTCTTGGTAGATTTCTTCACGCAATAGGAACATGTTTTAATGGTTGCCAAGTTGGACGACAAACATCATGGTACCAACCTGGTTCTCGTTTCCATGAATATCTTTTTAATTCAAGTATAGAACTTTGATAGAACTACAGTATTCAAAAATATGGTTTCTGTTTGTGAGATTCGGCTCAAGATCAAAACCACAATAACTAAAAATGTTTCTAGAAAGAATTCGTGGTGTGGTTAGAAGCACTGTGCACTAACAGATAATCCATGAATTTGTTCACTGATGCAAACGGTGCAAAGCATAATCAGGATGGCCTTGAAGAAATCTTTCTGAATAAATTCGTGAACAAAAATTGTTAATGTAAAACGGATATAAGACCTTGTCTAACCATCAAATCAATAAATGTATTTTTATATCACATTAGTGGAAGCACATTGTCAAAATACTGCCTTGACCTATCAGTACCTGGCCATAATAATTCCCTATCATCAAAAATATAATAAAATAACTGTCTTCAGGTAAGAAAAAGCAAACCGTTCCGCCATTCGAAGACACCGAAAGCATCACCACGGAAGAAGCCACGCCGAAAACGACAACCAAAGAAGTGGTAATATCCGACACATCTCCCTCTACAACATCAACCAGCACCTCTACTGCTACCTCTTCTTCTACTTCTACCACTGCTACTAGCACTACTGCATCTACAACAACCCTAACCTCATCTAGCTCTACCGTCACGAGCGCTACTAGCGGGCTAACTGAAAGTAGCGCTGCTACCGATAGCGCGACTAGCGGTAGCGCAGTTGTATATACCGAAAGCGTTGCGTCGGTCACCACGTCACCCGCTGTTCACGTGACTAGCACCTCGTTTTCTGAAGCACCATCGGTCACGGTGACACAGTTTGGCGAAGATGTGGTTGAGTCGGAGGTGTGTAAATGTTATTCTCGCACAGCAGTGCTGCCAGATCTACTGTGTTGAGCTTTCGGCTGCCGCAAAATGCTTGATTTATATCGCTTTTTGTTTAAGTTTCAATAACATAGGACGACAAGATTTTTACCCAGAAACCAGAGTACACTTCCTCGAAGGTGTTTGCAAGAATCATAGAAATCTCAAACTACAAGCCTTGCCATTTCAAACACCCGTCGAGTTTGCTAAATATCTTTTTTTTGCTAAGATATGGCACTATGAAATTTTCATTTATCTGAATTTCACTATATTTCCTGCTCTACACGTTATGGTTACGTGTGCATCAAAGTTGTGGCTTTACACCGAAAATTAAATAACAAATTTATAACCCACCCCCCATATTTCGGTATTAAATCTTTAAAATTAAGATCTGCCATTTATTTTTGCTTTTCAGACGTCTCGTCTATCGTGTTCAGCTTTTTTGATCTGGCAGTACTGTGGCACAGTGACACGCGTATAGTAGAGGACAAAAAGGATTCTGTGACGTTTTCTCCATGTCACAGGGAATTGGAACAAGGTCCAACTATGCAGGGCAATGCCTTTGAAGCCCCTGTCAGCTCAAGTTAGACCACTGTATACAGGCTATTTCCTAACTGAATGTCAATATTTAAGGGCGCGATTTTTGAGTCGTATCTCAAGAAGAAACCTTCACATGAAGGTATGTCCATTCGTAGTCTCTTATGCCCAGCAAAACACAACATGCCCAAAAGCGAGATTGTACAGGTCCGTATTTTCCTCAATGGTTTTGGAATAATCTAACAAAATAAATGATTTTTATAGAAAGAAGTGCACATGCTTTTCACAATTCTTTATTCGCTGGAAGTACTTGAATCATCGTCCGAATGGTTAATATTAATTATTATAGGTTCAATTTGAATATCGATCATATTGTCCAGATCCCATATCTTTGTTTCGATTGTCTCTTGAACGTGACGGATGCAAAATTTCAATGTTCTCTTGTTTGAAGCCACATAGTTTTTCATATTTGCCCAAGTCATTTCAGTGGGATTTAATTCGCAGTGATAAGAGGGTAGCCTTAAAACGGTCTTATTTTGGTTTTTAGTCATTTCATCAATAACATTATGATTATATTTTATATTTGTGCTGCCTGCCTAGATGGATAAGTTCTGCTTTGACCAAATTTTCATTGAAACTCGTGTCTTTTGATAGGGGTCATTTCTGCCTTCCTTGTGGACAGTGTAGGAATTTTTTCTAGTGTGGTATGCAGCATTATCAAGTACAATGACGGCATTGTCGTCAAGCTTTGGGACAACTTCTTCAAACCAACGTTCAAATTAACTCCCGTCCATTTCTTCATGTAGTCGGTCGTTTTCTTTAAGTCAAATGCCCCTGGGGCAGTGGGCACAAATCCATCTTTACTGACAATGTGACATAACAAATAGTTTTCCTTTTCCTGGAAATAATTATTTCATGTAGTATTCAACAAAACTAATAATAATACAAGCAGAGTATCTAACAGGTGTTGGTTCCAAATCTAGCAGATATAGCTAAGTTTAGTGTAGGTAAGTTTTCAGCATGGGCTCATAGATTCAATCTACTTAACACCCTTTTTACAACTCAAATGACGAATTGGTTAGATACACGTACCTGACGGTTTCTTTAGGCCAGAGGTTAGTCCATCTAAGAAGGCGTATCTTGTTGATTTAATAGTGGAGTCAGCCCATTCTTTAGGTTTTGTATCTCCTGCATTTATCCAAGTTTCATCCAAGTAATAAATCTTTCTGCCCTGGTCGCAGTATTTCTTTATTGATTTTAAATAATTTCTTATCCATAAAATAATCTCTTGGCTGTCCCGTTTTCTATACTCGAAATGAAGTTCTTTGAGTAAACTATAGAATGTGGTCCTTTTGAAAGTAGGTGAGTCCTCATCACTATTAACCTCCTGTAATACTTTGTCTATGGTGGAAAATTCCTGCCTTTCAAAAAACTGACGAACCTTGCGTCCATTTTTTCCGATCAAAGTTATCAACTGTATCCACTTCGTGTAATGCAGCCTCTGGTGTGGTGGAGACAATTTTTTATTTTTTTATATTATTTAACAATGTTGAAAATTGTCTTAGGACGTAAGCCTGTTTTGTTCGCCACACGACTTTCAATATCAAGAATTTTTATTTCAGGTAGCTCTAAAATTTCGCCCTTATCAACATTAAGTACAATTTCTTTTGCCTGAATATTCAAATGTCCCTTGTCACGTTTTCGGCGAGGAGACATAACTGAAGAGGAAGCATGGCTGAAGGAAGCAAAAATTGCTGTTGTCGCCTCTGGTAAACTTTCTATAGGTTTTTTGGGTCATTCTGAATAAAAAAAGGTTCCTATGAACTTTTCCCCAAAATTGATAGATTCCGAGATATCAGCGATTTAAGATTTTCAAAATATGCCATTTGCGAGCCCGAATATCATTATAAATAATACAAAAATTTTAATCTTGCCAAGGTTCCTAAATCTTCAAACATCGGGTAACAAAATCCCAAGGCGTTCTAGGGGATATCGTTATTACAAACATTTGCTTTCTGATATTGAATTTATTCAAGATTTTCTAAGTATATGTTTGTTTAGGGTAGGGCAAAAGCGATCAGCTCTCAACCACATCAGTAAAGTGGTTTTTATTTACAGAAAAAGTAAGTTATCAATAGTTGTGTTTTGTAGCTACAATTGGCATTTGAACATCGTACAATATGTTGTGAAGTATCGCTTGAATATGTTCAGTATACCACTTGCAGTGGTGATCTAGGATTCTGAAGCGAACTTGAGTATTTGAGATGATCACAATAAATAAAAGTGTTAGAAAAACAACACGGTTTATTAACTCTTGTAGACAACAATAACAATGACAAATGACGTATTCCACAGTACATACAATATACAGAGTGAACAAACTGCAAGGAATCAAAGTCTCAAAACAATACGAAATATTCAAATCCTAAAAATAGCCACCAGGGTGTACAGAAGTCTAAATGCGGTGGTGGTTTCTTGTCGGTGATGAAATCAGGAAGGCCATGCACGAAGAACTAGAAGTACAGGGCGTCAATCAGAAGAGCGGCTCCACGTCAAGATCGCCTAGGCTTTTGGCTTTACGGGATCGCTTCTCGTCCACTAAGTCAATTACGGACCTGTGGTTTGGAGAGCATGGAAAGCCTATTACAATGCAAATTTGTTTATTGCCGGATCAACAGTTTTGGACTGACTTCATACGATTGTCAGAACGGCTAAACTGGGATCCCGAATAGAATGTCTTTAGTGATGAGACCAGATTCTGTTTGGGGATGCATGATGTCCGTGCAAGGGTGAGACGGCGTCGATGTGAATGACAAGATTCTCAATTTTCTATCTTCGTGCAAATGTACCACACTGTTGGAATTATGGTGTCGGGGGGATTGCTCTTAGAAGAAAGTCACCCTTGGTGTTCATCAGAAACAATGACCGCCGTGAGTTAAATCCAGGAGGTGAGGAAACCACATGTTTTGCCGTATATATGGACGCTCACGATCCACTTTCCCAACATGTAGCCTGAATTAGGTTGGTCGATTTGTTGCCTTGGCCCCTAGATCTTCCGATCTTCCACCCATTAAACACATCTGGGTCATTATGGACAAATATGACTCCCATCCTCCACAGGCTCCTTCGGCACGAGGTACAAGTAGCCTGGGATCAGATGCGTCAAGAAGAAATCGATCATCTGGTTAGGAGCAATCTCAGGCATATTTCTGAGTGATTAATGCAACATGGAGTCCCGACAGATTATTAATGTTGTACATTCTTTCAACGGTTGGATTTTTCTGAAATTTTCATCAATTACTTACCCAACCCTAAGAGACATGTAAACAAAAAACAAACGGTTGTAATAAAGTCGTTAATCCTGTTGTTCTTTTTTCAGTTTCACAGATAGAAAATATCACATTGTTCCCTAACATGGAGAGAACATTGCACAGTTATTTTTGCTTCAAACTGTACTCTCGGTTTTGTTTATTTGTTGTGTTGTCGGCTTGCATGAATAATAGAGCAATGGATATAGTCAATTACAAAAAATCCTGAAGTTTTTAAAATTAGTCTTTTTGTCAAACCCTGCTAAATGTTCAACTGAAACTAAAAGTTAAACAGTGCTGGCCAAAGTCATTTTCTCTTTTAGATTTCCATGTGTGTGAGAGAGAAGAGCGAGAAAAACGTGTTAGAAAGAGTGCGCCGTATATGCGTCGTCACCACATTGCCTGGCAACGACACAATCACTGTGCGAAAACCTAAAAAAAAATTGAAAGCGAACGAATTTTTTTAACTATTTTGACGTTAACACATTGAACACCAAGATCGACATGCACTTGGAACTTTGCGTACACTATCTTTACCAGGGCAGAATATTAAACTTGAAGCTTTTGGTGTATCATTCGACACTATTTTTTAACGGCAGAAGTGGAGAGATCATCCGATGTGTTGTGGTGAAAATATTCGAGCATATGAATGTGGATCAGAATAATATCATTTGTTGTAACAGAAACCTGTCATTATTGCTTTTATGCACACCGTGAGTTTGACGGATCACTATTTTTAGCTTCGCTTCTTTATTAGTAACATTCTGCCTTTCCCCAATTGGAATAAATGATGTATGTGAACCTTGAAGACCTACCAGACAAAATCTAGTGTTGGTGACAGGTGATCGAAAATGGTGGAATCAAAATACCCTTTAAATGCTTCCTAGAGCAAACTGATCTCTGATCTCAACGACTCCGGAATCCTACTATGACCCGCCCGACATTCCGATTCCCGTTTAGCGACTAACTGATCTCTGCTCGACTTCCTTGGAAAATATCCTTGACATGACCTTGAAGTAATCTTCAAATGCCTTATAGTGACAAACTAACCTCAGATTCAAAATCGGCGAACCAAATAATTGCCCTTTCCAATGTCGTTGCCAAGCAACACGTTTGTATGGTGCACTATTCCTAACAGACTACTCTTGCTTTTCTCTTTTGTACACATATATACCTAAAAAGGCAAACGGCTTCGGCCAGCACTATAATATGTGTAGAGAAATCAAATTGGCTCCCATAATGTGATGAGTAATAACGGTGTGTTTGTAATATTTGTTTGTCTGCTTATACTTTTTATATACTTGCACGTTTTCCTGAATTGCTAATAAGCTTGCTTTCATTAACATTCATTGTTGAAACGCTTCAGAAAAAGGGCTTAACTCACATGCTTGATTATCCGTTCCTAACTGATTTTTTTTTTGCTTTGCTTTTTATATCGTTTTATAATTAACAAGTTACAGATATATTATAAGTTAATACGAATATACTGAATTATTTCTGTAGGGAACAACAATCATAGATACGGAAAGACCAACAACATTAGGCGAAACAACGATTCAACAGACGGTATCCTATCCGACTGTTTTCAGTTCCAGCACAGCTCCACAAATTTTAGCGAATTCGAGTACTGATTCGCCTACAACATCAGAAGAAACTACGTTTAAGGTAAGGACGATGTTAGTTGCAAAATGTTAGCACTGTTATCACCATAAGCAACCCGAGGGCAGTCCACCTTCGAAAATATTGTATACTCAAAGGTTCACCACTATTGTGCGTTTCTTGATTTTCAATTGTTTTCAATTTTCTTCATTAATTTAATTTTGTTATGCACGGGACTATTCAGGTTTATAATATACCAACTATAATGTACTCAAATCCCATTTACGCGCCATCAAAGCATACATGATCAATAGGAGCGCGCGAATTTAAACATCGCGCGCTAGTGTTTATTTTGACAAGGCGTAAATGATATTTGAATACATAAAAGTAAATCTCATTAAAGTGAACAAAAAAGTGTATGTAAACTTAGGTATTGCAACGAAAACGTCGATTTTATTATTTATAGTCCAATTTATTACTCTCACGCTAATTTATTTCAACACTTTTAATTTATTATAAATATATGACTATGTCGGCTAGGCTATAGTATTAGGCGTTGTTGACTGTCGCCCGACTATCTCTGCTCTGCCCTCTGTGCGTGTATGAATCGACGAATCAGGAAGCATTCTCGCGCTTTCTAGATAAAACTCGAGTCTTCGTCGAAACCTGATAGATAGCGGTATATGTTTCACAATGCATGACGAACGATCGTGACGTGTAGTCGCATAATTGGTTGCCTGAATGTATATGTTACGAGGGTGTCTCATTGTTGCTCATAATTCCAGTTACGATGGTGTTACACTATCCCCTCCTTAAGACCGTTTCGTCACGAAATGGATTCCCTGGGTCATGGCGATATCTGCAGATAGTGCCCTTGGAGCATCTGGGCTTTCTGTTGAAATGGCTTGGCACAGTCTTCTCCTGGGTCCTCTCTGCAGGAAGGCGTCGCTACAAACCAGGATTTCCTCGCCCGTATTCATATTCCGTATGGTCCTTCAATACACTCCAACCTTCATTCGGTCACTAACAATTTTGATTTAATTCCGCACTTTCTCATAAATCTCGTCCATGCGTCTCTCCAGGCCCGATACGTAGTCGCCACCTGCCACATCCGCACTGGGCCGACTTTCCAAACTGCAGGTCACAAGCTCACATTCGTCGCGATCTGGGCCATTGACTCGTTGACTGCAGCCCGATACGCTATCAGGAACATGGGCAGATACATGTCCCAATCATACTCGCAACTGGACACCACTTTTGGCAGGTATTTTCCATTGATTCGATTCATCCTTTCCCTGATGCCCAGCTTCCAGAACCAGAATGTATCTTTTCCCGTCTCCGATTCTGGAAACGGCCCCGAGATGTCGATGGCTATCCTCTCGAATGGCCTATTCACGTTAAACCGCTCTCGAACCTTTGCAATCGTCTTCTTGACGCCCATTTGTCCACGTTATGTTATCTCGTGGAGATGACGAAGAACCTCGGGCACCCCAGTTCCTTGTCACCACCAGTTGCAGCCTCCACTGTGACCCATCTTCTTTCTCCTCGACTACTTCTAGACAACATAATTTTGTTTGCAATAAAGTGGTTTTTGATACGGCTCAAAATCTGCAAGTTCTATTCTTCTTTATGAGTCCCAGTGGATAAAACTTGAGCAATCCATCATTTTACACCTTCCAGTTTATTTCTGTGAGCTTGACATTCGGTTGATTTTTATAGCTACAGACTCTGGCCCATGGTCATACCCACAAAGAATTCGGTGTCGTACTTGGTTAAAATTCTGAATACTTGGTTAAAATTTGATAACGATGCCCCTAACGGTAATTCGGTTGAATTTTACAAGAACAAATCAAGTCCCTTAATTCTTATCGTCGATTCAAAGAGTTTCATCCACAGATTACAGGTTACAAAAGAAAGGGGTTGGCTTGCTAGCCTTAACGTCACTGCGACACAAATGGATCTATTGTGACCCCCATATACACTTTCTAAACCACTGTGTCCAGCCTTAATCCTTCAATCATACAGCATGCTCCGGAGCCTTGACATGTAGCTTTCTGATCTTGGGTTTGTGGTGGCTAAGCCTTGACCTCAGTGACACAGGAGATGCACTGGATTTTCCTCCTACTCTCTCATAATTATATCGATTTTGGCCTTCCTGTTAAATCTGAGTAAGTCCTCTGTAAGTGCGGGCCCCTGTTCTTTGATGATCTCGTTTTCCTGCCTTTGCCCTAATTTAATTGGCTGTTCCACCATTCTAGGGACTTTCCGTTGGTCTGTTTAGTGGGTGTTCTCGTCACGCCACAGAAAGGCTCTGGACCTATCAGGCGATTGACCGCACTCTGTCTGGCTAGCTCATCGGCCTTTTCATTTCCTTTGTGTCCTTCAGGTCCTGTTACCCTGATCAATGTTACCTTGTTTCGGTTTCCCAGCTGTTTCAGAGTGTTCACGCAATCCCATAGTAGTTAGTTCAGACGATGTTTGCAATGATCTGAGCAGACGCATTCCTTATTAGCTCTTCTGCGCAGACTTGTATGGCCGTCACACCAGCCTGAAATATTTTTGCGATATTACCTAGACTTATAGAAACCCCAGTTTTTGCCTTTTCCCATAAATCCCAGCTTCAGCTAGTTTCGTCTAAATCACTCAAGTAATTCAAAATAAATCAAAATAGGATCATAACGAAATCTGAAATTAAGAACGTAAATCTTAGTACCAACTATATACACCTAAATAATCGGATACATAATAACGAGATTGAAGAATTAAAAGAACTTAAAATCGAAAGCTTACAAAATTAATACGCACACTAATTTACAAGCAATTCACTACAAATCTGAAAAGTCCATTCAGTGCATCCGAGTTACGAGGTTTAAACATAAGACCACTCCACAAATAGTTTTTTTCTTAATTTTCAGTCAACAACTATAAGACAAGTCTCGCCAACCTCACCTAGTAGCACGACAACACTCAGGGATGTAACAGAAATAGATTTTTCCGACAACGTAGAACCGTTCATAGAGAACAGATTGAAGCAAATGTCTGTAACAGCAGGAAAAATATTCAGATTCGTTATACCATTCAACACATTCAAAGACTTCGAGGATGAATACAATCTTACCTACGAATTGTTGGATGCCAATAATAGGAGTTTGACTTATTCTAACAATACCTGGCTACATTTTAATCCTTACAGGAGAGAAGTTTATGGACTGTAAGTATTTTAAATGAATCTTTAGAGTACAGTATTTATTAATGCATACAATTCTAACCATCGATTTTCGATAGAATAACATAGAGCCTAAAATATCCCAAGTACAGGGTGCGGCAGAGAGGACGGACATTTTTGGGATGGGTAGTACTCTCCGCCTCCGTCTACGAGAGAGGTGGGGAGGGTGCCGTTTGACTCGTGAGAACCTAGCATTATTTTACCAGTTATGTCGTTATGGAGCCTTGGACGGTGGAGCACCGCGTTTTCGCCTATGATTGTTTCGTCCGAAATAATGAGTCGGTCATCGTCGTACAGCGTGAGTTTCGTCGCCACTTCAACATTCATCGGAATAGAGCTATTCCCTCTCGAAACACCATCCTTCGTTGGGTTGAATCACTTCGCAGGCGTGGTGAACTGATCAACAGAAGACCAAGAGGAGCGCCGCGAACAGTTCGAACTCCTGAAAATGTTGAACGCGTTCGACAGGTCTTTCTTCGCAGTCCGACTCGATCTGCCCGGAAACATGCTGCTGCACTTCGCCTTAGTGATCGTTCGGAAAGGCGATGGCATATGGATCTCCGCTTTCACCCCTACAAATTGGCCATTGTGCAACAGTTACAGTCTGGAGATTATGCACAACGAATGAACTTCGCACGTGAGATGGAAGCACTGATCGAACAAAATGAGAACCTCATGTTTCACTTAAACAGCATGGTTAACCAGCAGAATTGTCGTTATTGGGCTAATGAAAATCCGCAACAGTTACACGAAAGACCGCTGCACAGTCCAAAAGTGACGGTTTGGTGCGCTGTATCGCAAACTTGCATCATTGGCCCTTACTTCTTCGAAGACGGTAATGGTCGTGACGATACCGTGAACTCAGAGCGCTACGTCGACATGATCACCAACTTCTTTCTCCCTCAATTACGACGGCGACTTGTTCCAATCCGACGTGTGTGGTTCCAGCAGGATGGGGCGACCGCCCACACAGCCTGAGCATCCATGGACGTTATTCGCCCTCTCTTCCCTGGTCGCCTTATTTCCAGGTTTGGCGATGTTCATTGGTCTCCTCCGTCCCCAGATTTATCCATATGCGATTTTTTCTTATGGGGACACCTCAAGGCTAGAGTAATACGCGAACAAGCCCCGAACTCTGGACGAATTGAAGGGCGAAATTCGCGCGGAAGTCGCCCAAGTTGAGAGAGCGATGTTGGAGAGTCTACGCGAACTTCCAAGAACGCCTCCAGCACTGCATCACATGCCTGATGTGATTTTCCACACTTGACTGTCTAAAAATGCTATTTCCTTGTGATTCCATCAATAAATTGTTTTTCGAGTAAAAATTAACGTTTTTATGATTTTTAAAACCATCCTCTCTGCCGCACCTGTATGTATGTTTAGTATCAAGTCACAATATCGATGCATGAATGAATCGGCGTTCAAAATCTCATAAGTGACACAATTGGAGTTTTTTTGAGAACTGTATCAGACAATAAACTGAATGTCATTCGCGAATGTCGCAATAGTTCATTCGCATCGCGAATGTTCAAAAATGAATTGTTCATCACGTAGTGATACTTATTCGCCCGTGAACGCATAATTTGTAGCGGAATTTATATTAGTGCTTTGGGATAAGCATTGCTCTAAAAGAATCAAATAAATATTGCCTACTTTTTGAAATGACCATCAGGATCCCCGCGAGGTGCATGCAAAAACACCATAAGTAATTTGACCATGTTTTCAAGTGAACCTGTAGTTCCCGGTATTATTTGGGGGGAAAATCTATTGCCTATTGGTTTATAGCAAACAAGCATTTTAGAAGAAATGTGACTTAGCTGTGGTACTTGGAAAAGACAACGGAGTTGGCTGAGATGTTAGTTAACTCTCACTTCTGCATCTGTGCTTTTATATAGCGGTCAGCAAAACATGAAGGTTGATCAGCAAAACAACCACAGAATAAGTTTCAGATGTTACATTAAATTTTGAACACCTGAGGCCGGAATTAGGGAAAGAATAATAGGATTTTGATAAAAGTATTTCCTTATTTCATCTATCTCCGAAAATACTCTGAATCGTGTAACTTTCTAAGTGCCATTTTCTTAGTTATTTAAATGCTCAACTTTGACACATTCAACCGACTTCGTATCTCTTACCGTTCCAGAGATCTCAATTCTGGAGGCCGAATTTTAAACACCTATAATATTTATACGATTCACTTATATACTGACGTAGTTTGTATAGTTCACGATAGACTTATTGTGTCTGTTTACATTTCTTCTGCTTTGTGGTACCAAGACGCGTATAATATGGTCATTATATGCTACAAGTCAAAATATTGATGAACTCTGCTTCATCTGCAACTATAAATGAAGCGACTCAAGCCACTCGATCCCACCTCCTTCCTGCGCACGGACCTCCACAAGCTACCAGGTGCGTCCAGGCAAAACTGTAGACAGACACTATAAATCTGTGGTGAACTAAAGATAATTGATAAGAATCAATTTTCCAGGCCTTTAGAGGAAGACGTATCAAAGTGGGTGTTCTGGGTCCAAGCCACTGATAGAGACGGCGCGTCAGTCAGAGAAAAACTGAACATTCAGGTTCAACAGCACAAACTGAACTTGATTTTCAACCAAGAATTTTCTTTACACATCAGAATTGAAAAGCACCAGGAATTTCCACATTACGTGGATTGGTCATTGAAAGTTTTAAGAGCCTTAGGAAAAATATACAACACCAATATGTCGGAGATAACAGTGAGAAAAATCAGCCATTCGCAGGAGTTGGTAGTGTTCACATGGTCAAATGATTCGTTGCCTACGAATTATTGTCCGAAAAGTGATATCGAGGATTTGTACAAGGTTAGTAGATCATTGCCGTAAACTATCGGGATAGTACCTACAGCGACGCTAATATAATGTCTAAATATGCTGATTTCGTCCGTCCGACCTCAGATAGCCAATCCTTGGCAGCATTTTTTTTGCTTTTTTTGCAACTTATCCTAGGCCTGTGCTTAGTCTCTAGGACAATGACGAAAGCTTAGCAACTACCCTTTTTCGAGACCTGAACTCTATCGAAGTAAGACGCCCAAAGCGCATCTACTACCAGATCGGACCACTGCGAGAGTGTAATCGCAGCTATCGGATGAAACTGTAAAAGATCTCAAATCTGGTTTGATAGCCCAGACATCACTGTGACCGCTGGACGCTTGACGATTCGGACGGATAGTAAATTTGGTGTACTCGTCAATTGAACAACTAATTTAGCTGACGTCGTAGTTTTAAGAGAATCGGGAGGAAACTTGCCATATGTATGTCGATGAGGTGCGCCGATAGCACCCGTGACCTCGTACTCGGGTTGCTAGGCAACTTCTATCTTCTTCTAACACCCGTATTACACGGGTTCTCATCTCGTACACATGACGACATCAGTGGCATTTGGTTGCCAGTGTATACTTTATCTGAGTCACTTGAAACACTGTGAAATACCGGTGCGTTTTATATATCTATATTTAACACGCTCTGTTGCTGCAAAAATCGCCAAATTTCGCAGCAAATATCCCCAGTATAAGAGATCAAAGGCAGTTTCACCGGTCCACGTGGAGTAAAGCACGCCTATGCGTGGACATAGCCAATGAGAAAGCGTGTATTTCAGAGCTCCGAATAAGTGCAGGTGGCTACTGAAAGTTGAAACAGTTTAGCCAGTGCCGTGTAGCGGTGAATAAACGTGTTTTCTTTAGTCTGTCCGTGTTTTTTCATAGATTTTATATAGTTTGTGTGTTTTTGACTTTTGAATACTCGGTTTACTTGTTGATTTAATTGTTGTGTTGATTGTTCTTGTGTGTCCTAAATATGGCTCTTTGGAGACCTTGGGAAAATGCTCCAAGCCACGAGGAGATGGTTGATGAACCTGTGCAGGCAGAATTCTTTCATAAAGATTTAGAGGAACAGACCCAAAGAGTAATCCTAAATATGTATGATTGTCTGAAAAACGAAAATCCAGATTCCTCGCAAAATCAAATTTTAAACAGAATTTGTATCCTGACAAAAATCAGTCGGTCTACCATTTATCGGGTTATAAAAAGGGGAGATGTAGTCAACCATTCCTTCCACAGAAAGCGCATAGGGCAAAAATTAAAAAGAATAGACGTGGGTTTTCAGGAAGATATTCGTCGTATAATATACGGATTTTATAAAGAAAATTTGGTGCCCACGTTGGAAATGATACGGGATAAATTAAAAGATTATCCTGAAGATTTTTATAATTACAAATGCTTAGACTCACTGCACTGTATTGTAAAACTGTGTGGTTTTCAATACAAAAAATTAGATAAAAGAATGGTGATTATGGAGTCGTCTCGAATCGTTGAATTGCGCCAAGAATTTTTGCACAAAGTTAAAATCTATAGAGAGCAGAAAAGAAATCTGATTTACCTGGATGAAACGTGGTATGATACCCATGATGTTGTGCAGTACGGCTGGGTTGACGACAGCAACAAGTGCATTTTAAATGCACCATGCAACCGTGGAAAACGAATCATTATTCTCCATGCTGGCAGTGAAAATGGATTTATACCTAATGCCTTGCTGTTATCTGCCAAAAATATCAAAGAATCATGTGCCGACTATCATGAGGACATGACCTCCGACTTATTTGAAAAGTGGATAGAGCAGCAGTTAATACCAAACATTTCCCCAAATTCAGTGATTATTATGGACAATGCGCCATACCATTCCCGACAGAAAAACAAAATTCCGAATACAGGCACAAAAAAACAAGACATTATTGATTTTATGAAGGATAAGGGAATGGAAATACCACAAAAATCAACCAAAGCCATATTATTGGATCTTATTAAAAGACAAAAATTTGAAAAAGAGTATGTTGTTGACAATCTGCTTCAGCAAAATGGCCATGAAATATTACGTCTACCTCCCTATTACTGCATTTTTAACCCGATTGAGTTGATCTGGGCTGCTTTAAAAAAAAAGTAAGAAAACATAATCAGACCCCTCAATTAAGTGAATCGCTATTGGCCACAATAAGAGATGCAGTATCTCATATTGCTGCCACAGACCTATGGAAGCAGTGTTCTAGGCATATTATTGAAAAAGAAAATGAATATTGTGTTTTGCCTCCTGTAAATCCCGTTGTAATTGCTCTACAAGATGACTCTAGCGACAGCTCCGAAGGCGAGGATGATATATAAATACCTATAATGTAAGTCTTTATATACCTTTTTATATACCTACCTGCTATGTAAATATTTGCCTATGTCAAACGTTGGAATTCTGTAATTTTTCCATTTCTTAACTTTCAGTCAACATAAATTAAACTCCCAATATAAGTATTTTTTATCCCAAATCAAAAAATAAGAAGATAGTAAAATCCATGTATTGTGATATAAAAACATTATTATTATCGTTCTAAATAAATGCCGCACGCCTATGATACGTCATGAAATTACAAAGGACGCGCCGACCAAAGGTTTTTATGCTAATTCAAGTGACTTCAGATACACCATACATATATCTTTGGTTAAACTACTAGTAGTGAACTTAGATTATGAAAAAAATCTGATGGGAGAAAAATTACAATGTTTACAGATATTGACTGCGAATGACCATGGCGACCCATCAAGAGAACTAAATTTATCTCTGCAACCAGAACTGAGAGTGAAAAAAGTGTCATACCGGCAATATGGCGTCTGCGAACCACCTCAGACTCCAGTCACTCAACCAATGAACTTTTCGCCGTTGCTTAGGAACCCTGTGGACCATGTTAATGCTACTGTTGGAGAATTGCTCATTTACAAAGTCAAAGATGTAAGTAACCGATGATTCGTTTAAGGTACTGCCGCTGGCGAATTATTGTCCCATCGCAATAGGGGATATTCATTGGATTCAAATATCGGTGTTTATTGTTTTTATTAACAGTTTATATTGCTACAGAATGACGCCTGACGATTATTAATTAATAAAAATGGAAAAGGTGCGCGGTTTTAAATATTTGCGACTAACCAGCCAATCCTTTGTTGATTAGTAAGTCCGATTTGTAATGGCAGGCTTTTGTTTTCACTGTAATTGATTATGAACCTGTCAGTTTGATCGAAAGAACACATTTATTTATCGGGTTGTTTTTACAACTTTCTCGTGTGCTTTGGAACATAGACAAACTTATTTCTTGAGAATAGTCTTGCTGAGTGCAATCAGCAATGACTGAAAGCGGCTTATAGTTTCATTGAATTATCTTTTTCAAATAGCAAGTGGAGCAAAAGATACATAATCTTTGTAATCTACGATTAATAAAAACTAATCATATTGTTTGGACAAAATTGTAGTTGTGTGTTCTGTACTTACGTTAAAATAATCTTCACAACAATATGAATTACTTTTTGGAGATATATTATCCCTTTTCATGATTTTAAACCATTTATTTCATCTTGATATTACATAAGACCTTTTTGTAAACTCAACAGCACATTAACCAAACAGAAAAATGACGTCCCCTATTAATATTGCACCTAAGTCAAATGATCAGTAGGGCAGAGGAGAAATTTACAAATCACAACATTGTCAAATGGGTTGGGACTAGAGACTAATTGTTAATGTGCGACCGAAGGCTTCGACCGCGCATGCGGCATTCGGCCAAGAAACGCCGGCGGAAGGTTTCCAAAAAATCAGTACTCACGAGAAGAGGTGTTATGGGGTATTGACATATGCATACGTCTAGGGTTTTTAGAATCAGAATTATCCAAGTGCATATCTTGTCCAATATTAAATGATATACGACGATAACAGAAAAGCCAGTTTACTATGTGGTGTTCATATGCAACTATTTTGTGCTCAGATCTTTAATTAGTTTCAAAACTTTGCGCCGACCTTCTGATCTTTGTTTTGTCAAAAATTAACTTCATAATTACTCGTTGAAGTATTCTTTCATTTTTCTGTAGCTTATTCTACTGTCAAACAGTAAAATGATGTACATATATGGTTGCTTTGTTTTGAAAAGGGACTTTCACCTGGAAAACGTTTTGTCTGTCTTCGCTTTTGCTTTGCTGTTTCCCACTTATTTTCTAACTTATTTTCTCGGTTTGAGTGTTCTATTTGATAACGCTATGTTACAAAGTCAATCTACATACTTGACGTTACTTTGTTTGATACTCTATTTCATAAAGAATACTTTCCATCCGGCACAAAATCAGTAAACGTCGAGCATAATACGGATCCTATTCCGTAGATGGAATTTTATGTCATAAATGTGCAGCTTGCAAGTCCTCATTCTACTTGAAACGTAATGTTTTTTTTTCTCAGGACACTTTCTACGACCATGAAGACGTCGATCCCCGTATGCTCAACATAACGCTCCTAACAGCAGACAGGAAACCAATTCCTCCGGACAACTGGCTGCAATTCGATAGCAAGAACCGAGAATTCTTCGGCATCCCTAGAAAAGCAGGCAGAACCGACTACCAGCTGGTCTGCATTGACAGTGGAGGTTTGGAGGCCAGCGACAGTTTGGAGGTGATCGTCGATCTTCCTGCGAAACGGCACTACAACGTGGAGTTCAGCATGAATGTCACAACGGAGCTGCCGTATCAGAAGTTCGTTAACAGCGCTGCTATGCAGAAGAAGTTTATCGAGAAGCTTATGGTGAGTAGTAGACGAGGCACGAGGCGAGGACTTAACATTCGTTGGAGAAATTTTGTAACTCCCTCTATAATGCGCTAGCCCATAGTTCGACCTCTGCCATGCCTTGTCAAATTGTAGGTTAGGTATGTTGTCATATAGTTCTCAGTTATTTATTTCTAGATATGTTTCGAGTTTGTAGAATTATTCAGTTTTCTAGAAGATTCACATGTTACTAGCAATCCAGTCAAAATGAAAATTAGGTTTGCAAAAATTCCCACAAAGCTAAAAAATGGTAATGACCTTAAATACATCGTTATCAATAATATATCAAAGCTCTTCGTATATCCTTTGAGCGGAACCTTGTTTTATTTGAGCTGAAATGTCAAAAATATCACCTATATCCATTTTCTGCTCGAAACTATTTTCCTCCTTTTTGCGGATTTTGCCCAATATTTTTCTGTTTGTTATATACCTTTCTCCGCATGATCCTTTCTTTTTTGTAGATCTTTTGGCTTGAGGTACCACGGCAAGGAGCTATAACTGGCTGCGTGGTTGTTGTTAGATGTCGCCTTGAGAACTCGAGGTCTTCTGACCATTATACTACAAAAGTGTAGATTGGCTCTTGTTGGTGACTTCGTGTGTTATTTAGTTCCTCTCCATCTTCGTTTCCTCAGGTTACACCCCTATCCGGATGTATGGGCATGTGTGTCTACTTTTGTAGTTTCATATGCGCATTCATTTCGGGCGTGATGAAGCCAACAAGCAGAAATATGTATTGGTTGGGTTACCTATTCTACTTTCTGCTCGAATCCACTGTCCAATTTTTTGGCAGATTTTGCCCATTATTTTTCTATTTGTTATATACAGGATGTAATTTAATTGATGGCTAAATAAAAATACAGGATATGATTCCTTATATCATTTTAGGAAGAAAAGTTTATTTAAACATAATAAGTCCTAAACCTAAACTTTTGAGCTATAGGGTGTTAAAATTTAAAGAAAAAAATTTCTTAACGTAACTTTAATACTGTTGTAGATGTTTTCATATAATTTGGCATGCCTACCTACTAAGCACCACTTGACATTTTTTTATGTAGAATATTTTTTAATATTTCTACCAGTGGCGTCCGTACGGGATGTATACAGGAGATTTTTCAAAGAAAATATGGTACGTCATTGCTTTTTCCGGAAATGAAAATCATTTTTGAAATCTTGATTTATTTTGCAACAAATTTGACCCCTTGACTTTTTTCCGTCGCATAAAAAATAAAAACCATTTTGGCTACTTTAATCAATTGACTACACTTGAATAAAAATTAAACAAAAACACATATTACCTAGAAACTACGACATGAGATTTTAGCGATTTTCCAATGCATGAAAATTCAAAAACAAGTTTTTAGCAAGTTTTGACAATTTCTGTGGATCAAATAAACTAATACTATTTAATTTAATGATCACAAGAATTGTTGAAAATTTCCTCCTTCTGCTAGAATACGGGCTTCAATTATCTTTCTCATGGATTGGCGAATCCTTTCAAAAATTCCAGAGGAATTTCTTATGGTTTGGCAAGAAAGTAAAATTTTCTGCCTTGGTTCCTCTACCGTTTGGTCCGGTCCTAGTCTTGAGGTGCCCCCAGAGAAAATAGTATATAAATCAAGATTGAGTTCCCCCACGTTCTATCCAGCGATTCGTAAACGCTGCATTTAGAAATTCCCTAGCATGAATGCTAAAATGTGCAGGAGCACCATCCTCGAACAAAATTGGCAAATCTTTTTCAAGAAAGTAACGATAGGATAGTCCGTCCAGTCGTCCTGGAAGGAAGAACAGTCCTATGTGGAAATCTCCAACTATTCCAGCCCACACATTCACGGATCACTGCTCCTGATGATGTGACTTCATAATTGCTTATGGGTTTTCTTCGGCCCATACATGGTTATTATGGAAATTTTGAATGGAATTGCGGGAAAACTAGCTTCATTAGCAAGGAGTATTTTGATATCAAATAAAGGGTTTTCACCAAGTGTTTCTAAAAACCATCGCCAGAAAGTTAATCGCAATGGAAAATGAGGCAGCAGTAGTGCTTGAACCCTTTGAATATGATAGGAGTATAGTAATTATCAACAAGTATTTTCCAAATAAGAAAATGGGAAACATTATGCAGTACCGCAATTTTCGTAGTAATTGTTTCTCGATGTTCCTCAATTGTGTTTAAAACAGCTTCCTATAATTCTGGTGTTGTCGCCGCGGGATGTGCCCCTTTGGAACTGTTGTCAATGCTAAGCCTCATAGTTTTATGTATTGTTCTGTCCCCTGTTTTGCCCCCATTCAAGCGACTTCGTATCTCTTACCGTTTCCGGCATCCCATTGGTGAGCATCGAGTTTGAAACACCCTATATATTCCCTATTTTCCCTTCTATGACTTCGCTGTAGGATAATTAGTGGTTTGAGAACTCATCATTGTGATACATATTATAAAGGGTGTCCTGAAAGATGACACTTTGCTTTTCAGAAACAACTACGTTTAAAGTATTAAAGTGGTAAAACAGCACTGAAAATGTAAAAAAATTGATGAAAAATATTCACTATTTTTTTGATACGGCATATTTCTTGACACTTGTTTTGTTTGTAATTACTGCTTGAAGTTTTCGGTGTACGAAAAACACGAGTGTTTTTACTTCTTCCTAAATTTGCAACATTTGGGGTTGTCTAGGTCTTCTACTGTGTCCACCTAGACGGGTTTTTTATGATATAAACAAACCTAGGCAGCTCTGATGGACATATCGAGGACGATGACGACGGTCTGAATACTCAAATACACTCGTGGAGCAACAATAGGATTTTGATGGCGCTCACAGTAAACTAACATTGAATCCATAACTACGTTATTGCTATAGGAATGTACCAATTTCTGTTTTCAAGTGCGGTTTGTTTATAAACTAAGTGGTTTGAATACTGGCTCACAAAGTGATAGAAGGGAAAGGGGGCAGGGTAGGAACAGCATATTTTCGGAACCTGGAATATCGGTTGTCTTGATGATTCACTATATGTGTTACTAAGAAAACATGCTTATTATTGCCTGGCCTATACACCCTGTAAGCGAAAGTCCCAATTTTGAGGACACCCTGCATAATTAATTTTCTCAGCAGTGCTTAAGTAGGCCGAAGTTAAAAATGGCATTACTATCCTTCAGCCTTTTGGGGTATTCTGCATTATGCATTTATGTAGATACTCCAATAAACATTATTAATAATAATATGTCTCTTCTTTCATATAGTAATTATTATATTTCCATTTCAGCATCTTTTTGGTGAGAAGACTCCAAATAACTTCCACTTGTTGCCCTTCAAGCAAACCTATGATTCGATTATAATTACATGGTTTAACAAATCGTTGCCCCTAAACGTCTGCCCGCATGAGGAAATCAGGAGACTTCAGTCAGTTTTACATAATATGAACGACAAGTCAATATCGCATAAGGTAAGTACAACTAATTTAATTCTTTACCATTGTTTTTAATTTGACATATTTCAAGGGTCCCAAAGAACACCACTGGAAATCGGTGTTTCTCGAATAACTTTCAAAAATATCGTGTAATCCAATGAAATTTTGAAAAATAGTAAATAACTAACTTCTCATGATAGTTGTCATAGCTCATTTAGTTCGCCAGTGATAGACTAGCCCTAATGCAATATTGCTCATTTCTCACACCCTGTGTAATAATAGGTCAAAAGTAGTATTTTTAGAAAATTTACTGAGTTTGCAAAATGCGTAAGATTTCCCTAGTTATATCAGGACGTGACGTAACCAAAACCTTACAGTTGGCTCTTGGGCTATTACAAAAATATTAGCAAATTTCTCCGAAATAATTGTAAAGTCTGGTTTTATTGATGCAAATTGTTCAAGGGGGTATTTAAAACATGGACACATAAAGTGGGTACACCAATTTTTGTGGGAAAACTTTTTATTCGACAACAAAGAATGAGAAACCGTGTTTTTTGAGATTCAATCAAAAGTGTTGTCAGGAACCAAAAAACTCTTCAAATAAGATTGTTAGGTATTTATGAGACCTAATGAATGAGATTACACGTGAAAAGAACCGACTAATAGTAAAAAAGATATGACCGAAAACCGAGGCAAAATGCAGGTTATGGCTCTTGTTGCTAATGTGACGATAATTTCACGCAGCTACTTGCAATTCTTCAACTCCGTAGGCTCAATACTTCTAAGTAATCGCGACAAAATTGGAGTCGACTGGTCAAGTATTTTTTGAGAATTTCTAATTATTTATCCCATAACACCTGTCTTCCGGCCATCATTACTGAGGGTTCGTTCAAAGGGCATTTTATAGCGAAATACACGAGTTTACCTGAAGTATCTGCGTGAAACTATCGTCGCATTACCAACAAGTGCTAAAACCTGCATCTTGCTTCGGTTTTCAGCCATAACTTACTATTAGTCGGACCTTTTTACGTGTGGTTTCATTCTGTGGGTCTCATAAATACCTAAAAATCTTATGGGTAGAGTATTTTCGTTCCTGTCAATACTTTCCATTGAATCAAAAAAAAACACGGTTTCTCATTCTTTGTTGTTAAATAAAAAGTTTTCTCACAAACATTGGTGTATCTATTTTATGCGTCCATGTTTTGAACACCCCCTTGAACAGCTTGCATCAATAAAACTAGACTTTACAATTATTTCGCAAACCAGGAGTATTTTCGTCTAATATGATTAGACTATTGGTTTGATGATTGGTCACTGCATATAAATGTCTCTACAGTATATTCAGATAAGAGATAGACCGGACATAAACAAGACCACGTGATCATCGAACGCTGTAACATTCGGCAGGGACGATATTAAGAGTCACGCAGTACATATTTTAGATAGTAGATGCTGCTTTGCGTAACTTTGTAGTAAATTAGCACAATTCGATGTGTATACGATTGGTGATGGATATATGATCATGTGGGGGTGGGGTAAGAAATATATAATGATGTAAATATACATAAGGGTTTCAAAATTTTCGCTTCGATTTCCAGCTTCGGATGCCGTCTGATGTTTGGTGAAATACAGTCGAATATAATCTCAAAATGGCGTTTAAATTAGCCTATAATTATAACAAGGTATAACAAGTACAACGACAAACTCAACAACTTAATAAGATAACAAACGAAAACGTCCAAAGAAATATCAAATTGCAATGATGCACACGACATACGTAACACGTCTGAACCTGAATGTGACTCTGCCTTGATACGACTGCTCTGCCGCTCGGCATAGGCATTTAATTGCGAATTGACCAATGAGGGCTCCTGTTTTACGTCGAGACGGCGGCGTTAGCGTGAAAATCACCCGAACCTTTTGTTTACATCCGGTCTATCTCTTATCTGAATATACTGTATATTTTACTTTAAAGTTCTAATCCTTGACTTCTTTGATCACACTCTATCTTTCTCAGGTCCACGCTGTGATGGAACCTGACTTCAAAGTCTCGACAATCAAAGTCCACATGCTGGGCAACTGCAAATCTAAACACCTCCCGCCACACGAACCTCGTCCAGAGTCGCCACCAATAGAAAAGCACACTCCGCACTCAACCGTCGGTCGCAAATTGCCACCTGAAACCCCGCAGGAGGAACACCGTCCTGACGTGCCCCCAATTGAGGACAGTGCCCCCCAATCCAGAAGCGATGAGTACCTGATGACCTTCATCGTGCCGGCTGTCATCATCTCTATTATGCTGTTCTTGGCGTCAGTAGCTGCGATCGTGTTGTACAGAAGGAGAAGGATGGGGAAGATGAACGTCGAGGAGGATGGGCGAGGAAGTTACGGGAACAAAGGTGAGGACGATAAGGATTCCAAAATTTGTACTTTTGGGAACTGTTATCACCGAAAGCAACTGGCACTTCAACCCGCCTTGGTCAATGTATTTAGATACAAGAGAGGACGAGCGTGGTCTTGGCTGACTAGTTAAGATACAAAGCAAAACGTTCTTTAGGATGCAGCCACACTCATTGAATATCAGGCAAGAAAGAAGGTTTTGTTCTGTGTTCATATCAAGGTTTCAAAAACAATATGCATTTTTTAAAACTGCTCCTTCTTACCTCCGAATGTGTGCATCCTATGTGTCTTTAGGCAAGTTCTATCTTTACTATTCACCCGTTTCTAACAACAAAATTCTTTAATTGTTTTAATAATTACTCCACCTAATAGTATGGCAATAATATGTAAATTTTTTCACTCATGAAGTCTCAAATTGATAAGTATTTTATATTGTGACCTATGCTTTAGATGTTATACATTTGTTGATGTTTTTTCTCCATTTTGGCGGTTGCTCGTCCTGAAAGAGAACTTCAACGTTATAAGTATTTTTTTGATATTGAAATGAATTTAGGTATCAATATTCTTGTAGCGCGTCCTGTAAAAGAAAATAAATATTTTCGAAACCTTGACATAAACACAGAACTACCCTTACGCACATCGCGCGGCATCATCATGGAGGGGAGCTCTGAGGAACAAAGCCCGTTGGCGTAGCTGTAGAAGAAGCTAGATCGCTGACAGCCGGTCGGTGCGAAATGATCCAGAGACTGTCAGAGAAGAGTCATCGGTCGGATCCTCCTCTGAACAGCATCGAGCATGCATATTGTAATCGGGGCGGCAGCACCCCAAATATGTTAGCAGTACTCGAGCCTAGGTCTTACCTGGGCCTTGTACGGAATGAGGAGATCATGTAGAAAATAGTACTTCTTGGCTCTAAACAAATAGCATATCTGTTTCCCAGCATCTGCTGCTACTGACGAGATGTCATCGTGCCAGATCAAGTCCTTTGTGATGTGGACTACTACCAGCCGATATGAACGGCTAGTTTTCTTTTCTCCAGCTCACCGGCAGAGGTCGACTGGTTATTCTGAATTCCTACATGTAGAAGCGCTAAAGCTGTGGGTCGGATTGATCGGAAATATGGTCGCCGATATGTAAGACGAACAGTGTCGGAGCCAAGACCGATCCCTGGGAAACGCCCCCGTTAACATTGGGGGATGAAGTGGAGAACCCGTCAATTATGACGAAAGACCTGGAGCAAGCTCCGCTGCACACCTCTTCAGTACAACGGCAGGAATCAAGTCCTGTCCAAAAGCTGTGCTGATGTCGAGCGACAAGAGTACCAATCTTATGATCTTATGCCTGAACGTTACTTCGCATATAGTGTAAGGAACCCTCTAAATCGACGACACTCGAACATTGGGTTAACGTCCATGGTAGAGTTGGCAGCAAAGATCTTTCGCCTCAGCCCTTGTCGTTACATTCATCCTGATAGGTAAGTAGTGGAAGTCCAGTCTTTTAGAAGTTCCCTTCAATGTGCTTGGTCAGCATCCGGAAACTCTGACTGTCATTGAGCTGGGACATTATCTTACCCCTAATTTTACTTCGTGCTTGTCTTCCCAGTCGTCATGTCCGTAATGCCAAATTGTGCGGCCTGAGCTGCCACAGCCGGTTCTGACCGAAACATGACCTCTACAACACAATGGTCCTAGTTGCCCAGGGAAGACAGGGCAGCAGTGCTGTAAGGATCAGGAAACTCGAGGGAAAAAGTAGGGCTCGTTACCAGCTGGGTCAGTCTTTGGTTAACAGCGAACGCTTCAACAGCACGACCTGGGTAATCCTTCAGGCAAACCAGGGCTCATTATGGATATTAAAATCACCGAGAACCACTTCTGAAGCATGGTAATTGATTTTCAGGAAGACGATCTTGACAGTGAGGTGACCAAGTAGGTCATCCCAGTTATGGTCCGATGGAGACAGATAAAGGCAGCACATAATTTTGGAGGACAAGTTGAGGCGAAGCCAGTTAATGTCCTTCCGACCTCATTCCAAAAAAAAAGTCTCTAGAGTGGAAATAATTGCTGCAGACAAAGTCCTCATCTCCTTTCTATCCTGATATTCAATACGTTCACAGTGTACGCTAGTCGGTTTGCAGTTGCCATCGAGAGACGTGCTATTAGATTGTCTTTCGGCCAAAATTCCAGAATCTTTCTTTTTCCCTGTCTTTATTTGTGACAAGATTTTGGAATTGATTGCATATTAGCATTGCAACTTTTTCTCCTCTACAAGGTGGCAAAATTAAAATTTCAATATGTCTTGTCTTCAATCATCGTCTTTGTTTTTTCTTATAAACTTTATATTGAATTTTTACACAGAGTTTCTAATCCTGATTCCAAAAACGTATATGTCATACATTGACATCGTCAAACCTTAGTTATTTTGCAAAAACTAACACTGCTTCAGTTTTTGAGAAGCTGGTTTAAAGGTCGTTCTGATAATTTGCCCATTTAACAACTATAACAGCACAACAGAGCCTCTCTACATAACATTTGACGTATGCATCAGTTTAGATACGATGGAAATGCTTAGCAACCTACACATCGTCGAGGCTTTCACTTATTCTAAAGTGTTTCTCAAAATTAAACCCTAATACCAACTATAGGAAGGTTAATTTTTATAATAGTAAAATTAAATTAAATATGATACGTAAAATTAATCCATTTCATATCTACAATATCATATCATTAAAATCGAAATAGGGACTGTTTATACAATGTTCAATTTATTTGGCAGTTCCACCTCAAATAAACTCAGGAAAAAAGAAAACGATTTCGGGAAAATTCGTTTTTTCATGCTATCTCTGAAAAAAATTTGAATTGCGAAGTTTTGCACCCATTTATCCGACTTGACCAAATTTGAAACTCCCTGTAGTCCCAGTAGAGTTTTCCGCAAGTCAAAACGAGGTTACTAGCTCCTTAGCAGCTACTTTCGCTAAGAATGAAAAAGCAATGCAACTGAAGTCGAAATCGATTCGACGCCGAGTTGCCGCCGGTTTGCTTTTGGTGAGAACATGCAAAGGAGATAGCAGGTCAACACTACTGGAAATTGTTTTTCCCCTAATAATCTTTATTTTTTATTCAGTGATGCAGAGGAGGTATGAACCTATCAGTGGAGAAGGACATTTTTCAGAGTCCGTTAGTTTTGGCTTTGTTTGCAAGGTAATCAGCGTCATAAAGCATAAGTGTTGCTAAACTCAATCACTATATCACACTAATTTACTTCATTTCTTCCCACTCGTCTATTTCATGTAGCAAATCCATATGACTCAAAACTCAAACACGCACGATCAGCCACCGACTTCAATAAAATTTCAAAATTTTACACCACCATTTCTAACCTGACTTTTGGAAATATAATCGCATTTTTTCTGCACATATCTCGGAGAAACTGAAGGTATTTTCTTCTACATCACTGGGTAAATGTGTCATTTTTCTCTGTTGGTTATGGACTAGGTGGGTTCTGGGTACAATTTGAGGTTATACTAATATAATAGTCTATAATATAGCGTGGTCCACATTTGCTTTTACTCCTCAAGGTGTCTTACGTTCTATTCAGCTAAATGTTATTCATTTGCACGATTTTTATGTCTAAAACTAAAACTAACAATTCTCTTTCTTTCCTCCAGGAATCCCGGTGATATTCCAAGAAGAACTAGAAGAGAAACCCGAATCAGGTACCAAAGCCCCTGTGATCCTGAAAGATGAAAAACCGCCCCTGGCCCCACCAGAGTACAGCAAGAGCGGCAGCGTGAAACTCAGCGACGCAGATTCAACGGAGCCCTATCAGCCCCCGCCCCCATTTGCCCGTTCGCAGGATTCAGGAGGCAGGCAGCCGCAGAGACCCCCGAAGCCTACCCCCACGTACAGGAAGCCCCCGCCGTATGTGCCGCCCTAACAGTTGCACTTTAGGTTCTTTCAGCAGTAAGGGGCTATAAGGGGCCACCATTAGCACTTTAATGGCCTACGCTTACTTACGGGAAGCCCTCGCTGTACATGCCGCCCCAACAGTTGAACTTTAGGTTCTCCCAGCAGTGAGTGGCTATAAGGAGACCGTATCGTACCCTTAGGGGCAATCATTAGCGTTTTAAGGGCCTTATATGTTCTTCTAGCAGTGAAGGGCTTTAAGGGGCCCGAGTGATGCCCCTAAGGACAACCGTTGCGCTTTAAGGGTGCCCCAAAGCATACCCCTACATACAGAAAGCGTCTGCCGTATATGCCTCCCTAACAGTTGCACTTTAGATTCTTTCAGCAGTGGCCGGTACGGTACCCTTTAGGTGCTGTGGTGTCGCCTAGGGGCAGCCATTAGCGCTTCGAGTCTTACAAATTTTTGGTGAGGCTATTTAGCAGAATTGTCACTTCGAGATATGAAGGTGAGCCTTATGTTGGAATAAGGTTTCTTAAAATTACAGTTTGCAGTCAATTAAGATCAAAATATAACCATTAACTTTCTCCAGTCTAAGCGATAATGTACTTTGATATAATGATTATAGTCTGTTAGTATATCTATTATTTCAAAACTTCGAGATTAACTCTGTACCTGAGAGGTAAATAGTTGTATGTCCATAAAAGAGAATGGCCAGAAATGTGCAAAACAGATAGAAATGCTGGCTCAGTTTACAATTTGATAAATGTTCCATAACTGTAGTTATATGTTATTTTGGTATTTAAGTCAACAATATGAGCTCTTTCAAAACCCATTTGTATTATTTTATAAATATCTACCTGTACTTTGATTTTGGACTTACTGCTTTTTACCTGAATCTAAAAAATAGGTGTTAAGTAATAATAAAGCCTTCTATTAGAAAACTATTTCCAATGTTTAATTAGAACACTATTGCAATGCACTGAATAATGAAAAACATGTTTGTACTTCATATCAAAAGTTCAGTCCAACAAAAAATTTAAGCATTCGTTTCCTCTTCGGAACTTTCTTCGCCATCCTTCTTGCAAACCGGGATATTTTTATAAAAATGATGGAACTGCTCAGGAACCAACTGTAAACTTTTTATCAGAAAATCGTGCTTTTTCTTTGTTATTCCTTTTAAGCTACTGCGCAGGTCTACTAACTCTACAGGCAATGGGACTGAGTTTCGCATGGACCTTGTAACATTCAAAGTTTTAAATTCTTCATAGCTAAACTTTAACTTGTAAAACACTGTCCTGGGATGATCAGCTTGAATTCGAAAATATACAACGTTTGATATAGGAAAATCTTCTTTTTGAGTATTTTTTTTCCTATTAATTAACGGGGCTTTAGGTTGACTGTACAAGTAATCCACATGTTTGAAATTAGCAAGATTTAGTTTTGACAGTTGCACCTGCTGATCTAATTATTTGCTGCCAGTCCCAAGGTGTGCAAATTTCCATAGTTGGTTGCTTTTTTAATGATCTTTCAATCAGAGCATGTACGTGATCCGCCTCCAAGTGTGTGTGACCTCGTAGTAAGAATTTGTGTTCAACAGTCTTTAAATTTGGACAAATCTTCAATAGCCATAGATAGGTGAGCATCATAACAATATTACGATTCTGACCGGGGCAGTTGTCCGACCAAATTATTAGATGTTCTATGATGTATGAGAAGTGGTTTTTTTTTTTTTTTTTAAATCGAAACAGCCGCGCAGGCAGAAGCCTAAATGCCGGAACACCGCGGCTGCTATGATGATCCCAAAGAAATTTTGTTAATACGATTTTTGAACTGCCTAAGGTTAGTAGAACTGGGAAAAGCTTCCTCCCGTAGATTGTTCCACAATCTAGACACCCTCGGGACAAAGGAGCGGTCGTATCGGCCAGTTCTGGATGTACGAAGTTTGACACGGTTAGGATGGGATGCCGAAGTCAGGCGGGTCTGTCTGGCAGGCGCATCGCGCGGCGGCATCATGGAAGAGAGCTCTGAGGAGCAAAGCCCGTTGGTGTAGCGATACAAAAGAGCTAGATCGCCGACGGCCCGCCGGTGTGAAAGAGTCCCGAGACTGTCTGTTAGAGAAGAGTCATCGATCAGTCGGACCGCCCTCCTCTGGACAGCATCGAGCATGGACAATGTAGTCGGGGCGGCAGCACCCCAAATGTGTGAGCAATACTCGAGGCTAGGCCTTATCTGGGCCTTGTATAGAGTGAGAAGGTCATGCGGAGAAAAGTACTTCTTAGCCCTAAACAAATAGCCCAGCTTTTTCCCAGCAGCTGCAGCTATTGAAGAGATGTGTTCGTGCCAGATCAGGTCCTCGGTGATCTGGACTCCGACCAGCCGAAATGAGTGGCTCTTTGGTAGAACTCGACCGTCCATCGAAACTGTATGAGCGCTAGGACGCTTTTTGTTCGTCAAGGTACAGTACTGTGTTTTGGAAGCATTGAACTGTACAAGATTGTTGCGTCCCCAAGCAGTGATAGCCTCCAGGTCTCTTGTCAGAGAAGAAGTCGTCGCTAGTCTTCTTTTTTCCAGCTCAGCGGCAGAGATCGGCTTGTCACTCTGAATTCCTGCATGTAGAGTGCTGTCATCAGCGAAGCTGTGGATTGGGTTGATCGTGCAGGAAAGGAGGTCGTTGATATGTAAGAGAAACAGTGTTGGAGCCAAGACCGATCCCTGGGGAACACCCGCGTTGACGTTGTGGGATGAAGAGGAGAATCCGTCAATTACGACGGATATCTTGCGGCCAGAGATAAAGTCAGCCACCCATCTGCAAAGCTTTTCTGGGAGGCCGTAGGATGGAAGTTTGCTTAAGAGGGCAGCGTGCCACAGCTGATCGAACGCTTTCGTGATGTCAAGAGCAACGACATGAGCCTCACCATGAGACTGGATGAGTTTACTCCACAGTTGCGTGACGTAAGCTAGGAGGTCCCCTGTGGATCGTTGGTGCCGGAAACCGTACTGCCTGTCGCTAATCAAGCTGTGACGTTCGAGGTAGTCCAGAAGCTCGCGATTTATGCACCTCTCCATCACTTTACTTATAACAGAAAGCAGAGCTATAGGCCTGTAGTTGTAAGGGTCGGTTTTAGATCCTTTTTTTGGGATGGGCTGTACATGAGCAAATTTCCAGTTTTCTGGGAAGGTGCCGGATTCATAAGATATCTGGAAGAGACGCGAAAGAACTGGAGCAAGCTCAGCTGCACATCTCTTCAGTACAATGGCAGGAATCAAGTCCGGACCAGAAGCTTTGTTGATGTCGAGCGACAAGAGCACTCGTCTTACGGTCTTATGCCTGAATGTTACCTCCCGCATAGTGTGGGGAACCCTTTGAATTGACGGCACTTGGGCGTTGGTGGGGACGTCCATGGTGGAGTTGGCAGCAAAGATCTTGGCTAGCACTTCTGCCTTGGCCTTTGAGTCGAATACAATAGTTCCATCCTGACACGTAAGTGGTGGAAGGCTACTGTGTGAGAAGTTCTTTTCAATCTGCTTGGCCAGCGTCCAGAAAGACCGACTGCCATTGCGCTGCGACATTACCCTGTGCCTAACTTTTATATCATGCTGGGTTTTGGCATTGCGAACCGCTTCGTTATATTTGTTTCTGGACTCGACGTCGGCTTGTCTGTTCTCTACAGTGGGGTTTTGTAAGTAGGTTCTGTGGGCCTTGATCTTCTGCTGGCGAGCAGTGTCACACGATTTGTTGAACCAGCCGTTGGACCCTGGTTTAGGAACTTTCACTGTGTGAGGGATGTATTCCTCCATTCCGACGTGGATAATTTCGGTTATTGAAGAACAGACAGTCGACGCATCCGCGTCAGTGAAACAGACATCTCTCCAAGGAAAGCTAGAGAAGAAGTCTCTGAGCCCCTCCCAGTCGGCATGTCCGTAATGCCAAGTTTTGCGGCCTGTGCGAGTTTCTGCGGCCACAGCGGCTTCTGACCGAAACCTAACCTCCACAACACCGTGATCTGAGTTAGCCAGGGGGGACAGGACGGCAGTGCTGTAAGGGGCAGGATGCGTGGTCAGAAAGAGATCTAGCAGGCTACTGGCGTGTGACGAGACGCGGGGGAAAAAAGTAGGGCTCGTCACCAGCTGGGTCAGCCCTTGAGTAAGAGCGAACGCTTCGACTGCACGACCTGCTGCATCGGTCTTGTTTGAGCCCAACCAAAGCTCATTATGGGCATTGAAATCACCGAGAAGAACTACCTCTGAAGCGGGGTGATTGATGTTCAGGAAGTCGATCTGGACGGCGAGGTATTCGAGTAGGTCATCCCAGTTATGGTTCGAGGGAGAGCGATAAAGGCAGCAAATAAATTTGGGTGATGTTTTGGAGTTGAGGCGAAGCCACAGAATGTCCTTCCGGTCTGATTCCAAAGAAAGATCCCTGGAGCAGGAAAGAGTGCTGCGGACAAAAGCCACAACTCCCCCGTTCTTTCTCAGATTGGAGTGCACCTCGTAGTTTGGGAAGTTGAGATGGTTAATCGGTGCAGCCTCTGAGATTTTTGTCTCCGCCAAGAAAAGCACGGCGGGACGATTGGATTGCAGGTAGTGATGAACAGCATCAATGTTGCTGTTGATCCCGCAGATGTTCGAAAAACAAATTTTATCTTCGATGTTGTTCCCTCGAGCCCACCCTCCACCCGGACATTCCGAGAGTGGAGTGAGTTTACGTCCGGAGTTTTTAGTGCTCGAGGGATCCATCATCATTAATTTCTTTGTTTTGGTAGATAACCGACTGCATAGCTTAGGTGTGGAAACATGCGGACATTTATAAGACACCCTGGGAAAAGCTAGCGGGTGGTACTGCCTCGGTCGACTGGTCCTTGTCTACCACCTTCTTTTTACGTATTAGTGATGTTAAATAGACCTAAAGTGGCCCGTTGGCGGACTTGTACCGCCACCCGGCAATCGGTACTGAGGTATTCCTTAACGCGTGCGCAATCACTTGGACGGGAAGAAGTTGTATACTGGATACAACGACTTCCGGAACAAGCATTTGCCACGGCCCTCGCTCAGTAGGGGACAAAAATACTTTCAGTCCACTTGATAAATGCAGATGCGATTTCGTTGCCTCCTCTCCCAGCCTCAGATTCAGCCCATACCAAGCAATAGGACAAATTGTTGAATCATATATTGTCAAATTTAAGGTCCAAAGCTTAAGATAATAAAAGCTTTGGTTATTAGAGAGATATGGGGTTGGAAGACATTTTTGCAAATCTAGCATTATAACCTTGGTGCTGTCTTTTAAAAGCCTGCTCTTCTCTTTATCATCCTTCTTAATTTTGTATCTCATCTCTGCTTCCTTTAGGTGATCATCATATTCCTGTTGGATAAGAGGAATTTGATTTCCTTGAGAATTGTTTAGTTTTACACAAGTATCAGCTGAAGGTTTTTTGAACTCCAAGTTAAATTCTGTGTTAAAACACTTTCTGAATATCCAAAGCTTAGCTATGTGTTCTTTGGGAACTTGATCTTGTTGACATCTAGCTAAATACAGCTTGTACATCTTTTCTATGTTTAATTCTGGGCCTAAATATTGTCTGCTACTTTGTTCAAGAGTATAATGGCTTTTTTAACATGGAAAGGATTTGATATGTGCTCTGAGTCCATCAAGAACAACCTCAGGTAGTTTTTTAGGCAGCGCATGTCTTCCTCTCATATCTCTTGAAACAAAGCCACCAACAGTCTGTTTCTTTAAGGCATTGCGCACAATTGTTTCTGAGATACCTAAAGTATTTAAAAAAAGTTTTACATGTCTGAACTTTTTTAGTAGCATTTTCGAGCTGCATCTGAAAAAAGTATTTTATGGTATGTTTTTTGCTACTTTTACTATTGTCTCTAGGTCTACGACGTTCTATGGGTGTCGACTCAACAGATAAATTGTCTTTTTATATCCCAGTCCTTCTCCTCATGAAAGATCTGTTGTCTAATACTCTCAGGAATGTTTTCGGTACAGTTTTTTCTGCACGGTGCACATCCTGACTTCATTGTCTTTCAAACAATCTTTTTTCCTGATTTTGTCATATGCTCTGCACCTCTTAAAGTTGCTTTGGATCTTTTTGTACTAATCCAGGTTTCTAGATGTTTGGTACGCTTCCTTGATTTCAGCTTTTCTAGTTCTATTCTATTTTGTTGTGTGTAACTTCAACTTCTTGTTTTCTTTCTTACTGTGCAACCTGCACCTCTTGTTCTTCACTTTCTGGCTCAATAGCGCAATTTTCATCTAGAAATTCTTCCTTATCGTCACTAGCGTCGCTGCTTGGACAGTAGTTTAGATCCTTGTAACTATCATCACTATCTTCAACATATCCAACAGGACAGCACCTCGAAGTAGACAGCTGATCTGGGACTATAAGATTACTAAGTTATCTATAAGCCTTACATGAAAAATTGATTTATCTTACTACACTCATGAAAGCTCTCATAAGTTACTTCGATAATAGCACAGTAATCGAAATGAAAGTTATAAAGTGTATAAAAAGCTTTATATAAAATAAATACATTAGTAAATACATACTAATGAAGTTAGAAATTATATATCATAACATCACTACCTTAAATTCTTCTATCAATATCAGTGGCGGCCGGTGGCTGTGAGAAATGGGGGGCTATTGTAGGGAAGGGTGGCCTGCCGCAGTCACCGCCGGAGGCAAAGAATTTTTACGGTGCCACGCCCAAAAACTTCCATTTTGAGCCTTCAAATTCAAATATACATTTTTAGAGCTATAATTTTTTTGCATTTTTTATGTCCTGATTTTGTGGATGGATCAGTTGGCAATCCTATACCTATATATTTTATGTACAGTCCTCTGTATAGGAACAAACATATTTTAGATACGAGAACTTATCGCAAAAGAAAGCAGCATCTAATATGAAAGCAACAGAGCATCTATTATCAAAAGAACAACAGTACTCAAAAGTATAGTTTTTCACTTTCTTACAACACATGTAACTATAAATAACTGGAAAAGAGAACAGAAATACGGTATACCTAAATGTATTATTGTATTATAAACGACTAAGTATACCTACCACAGCTAGAGCAAACATTGTGTTTCAACTGTCACACTTCACACTTCTATTTATTACAAAATATTTTTTAATGTTTATATGTAAAGTCTAATCTTCTGTCTTTCTGTGAAATAAAATGTTCCATCACTTTTTCGTCGAAATTGCTGATATTATGTACCAGATTCTTATTAACAGACATCATTGCCAATGCATTCAGTCGTTCATTGCCCATCGAGTTTCTTAAAAACGATTTTATCCTCTTAAGGGTTGAGAAACAGCGCTCTGCTTCGGAAGTTGACATGGGAGTAGTTATAATTATTTGCAACAACTTAGTTACTTCGCTAAAAGTTTCCTCTAGGTTGTTATTAGTCAATAGGGACAGCAAATTCAAACCACCTGTAATATTTTTGAAGTCTTCCCTCATGTACATTACTTCTAATTCGGTTTTCAGTTTTTCTTTATTTACCATTGGATAATAAGTCACAACTGAATTCAGTATTTTTGCTGGAAAATATCTCGAATAGTTTGTGAAGTTTTGTGTATCTAATAAAGATGCAGCTTCTAGATGACCCCTGTAAGAAAGTATCTCTTTTGTCTGTACAATTATTATATCGCAAACTTCTTTCGCAATAATACAATTTCTTTCTTCGGGTCCTACTTTTCTGCGTTTATTTCCATTGTCTCCATGCTCATTTTCAACAGTTTGCTGTATATCCTCTGTAGTGTCCCTAATCAATACAATGGCCTTCTCAAATACGTCAATATCTTTTAAAAGTTGTACACTGTCTTTATTCCTACTTTGAAACTGGTTAAACAAAATAGCTACGTGCGGTAGGGTTTTGTGAAAAAAAGTCAAAAAAAAGATGAAATCAGAATCTTCGAGTGCTCTTCTTAAACCGTATGCCTCCTTACTAGTAATTGTTTTATCACATTTATTCTCTAACTCCCGGAAACAATCAATAAGACTTTCACGGTTCTCAAAAACGGCACTGACTGTGCGAATGTTATAATTCCACCGTGTTGGCGCAACCTTTGGCATTTTGGTTTTAACTATTGTTTCCAATAAATCGCATCTGTGCGTGGAGTTGGAGAAGAAACTTGGAATTGCCGACAGGTTTGAAAAAAACACTTTTACTTTTGGATTTTGGCTGGCTGCTCTCTGCATAATTAAGTTCAGTTGGTGAGCGTAACAGTGTATAAAATGAGCGTTCTGATATTTTTGTTTGAACTCCACCACTGCTACCGCTCATTACGTTTGCACCATCATAAGTTTGCGCAATTAATTTGTGGGGTGAATCTTTTAATAATGGGCCTAGTTCTTCTTCGATACACTTTGCCAAACCTTCAGCTGTCTTGTCCGTAACGCTCAAAAAACGCCAAAATCTTTCTTGTATTTCACCTTCATGGAGATATCTAAATATCATTACCATTTGACAATGATGTGAAATATCTGTTGTTTCGTCGCACTGTAATGTATAGCTAAAAACTCTGCTGCATTAATTTGCTGTCGAATTTCTTGTTGGCAGACTTCCAACATACTATCTAGTATTTCATTTTGTACTGTTTTAGAAGTACCCTTAAACAGTGTCGCACTTTTTAAATGTTCCTTTAATATTGTATCCAGTTCGGACGTAAAATTAATCAACTCTCGAAAAATGCCACGATTTTCAGAGTCTTCACTTTCGTCGTGCCCTCTTAACGCTAATTCCAATTTACCGCAAAACTTTATACAGTTTATTATTCTTTTTAAAAGATATCTATTTTTGTCCACTTGCTCGTTGTGCTTAATAATATTTTGCCTGTAAGCGGAATCTAACTGAGCAGCGATACTAGCTGTTCCCAATAAAGCTAATACTGTCGAACAAATCATGTGACGAGCCGAATTTTCATGCTTACTAATTTTCTGGTTTATATGCTTTAAATCTTTAAATCCAGTTCTTGTCCATGTCTTTTCCGCTGCATCTGAATAAAACGGAAAACAAAACAGGGCGTTTAATGTGCCACAACCGCATATCCATTTGTTTTTGTTATAGATATCTTTCTTAAAATGTCTCTTAAAACAACCAGCTTTCGTCGATTTATCAGCCTGAGTAAGGTTGATATATTTGGAATCGGCCTTCCAAGGGATTTTATTATTATTTTTTCAGCAAGCGGAAGCCGAGAAAATTCACCTTTTAACAAATTTTGTACTTCATTTGCCATTTTAAACTTTTTGAACGCCCGAACGACGGCACGGGGACGCGACGAAGCGATTTCGTACACACGTAAATCGGGACTGGCTAAAAATTATTTCGCCACCTCGCGTGTTAAAATCCCGTATAAAACTCGTAAGCGCGTGGGGGGTATGACGTAGCGAGCCACTCAATCAGGTCGGCGATCGCGGCAAAAATTATTCTAGCCTCGAATCGATAGGGAATCTAGCTCGCGACTTCGGGGTATTGGGATCGGATAATATATATATATATATATATATATATATATATATATATTGCGTGTTGCGTAACTGGCTACTATTAAAATTCAGGTTTTGATTGAATTTTCGTATATATCTGGAAATTATTTAATCACAAAATCATATTTTAAATTTTTTGTTAATTCGCATTTTGTCTTGGGGGGCTGTAGCCTTTTCGCCCCTATGGACCGGCCGCCACTGATCAATATGCTAAACAGCTAAATACGGTAAATCTGACTTGAGGCATAACCTGACTTTTATAATATTCTATTGCTTACCTTTGCTGCTATTATTTTCTACTTTCACTTGGTCCATTATGAAGCATGCTCTCTGGCTAACAGTTTTTCGTAAAACATCGTTCCTTTTATCACTTTCCATCTTTAATTGGAACAATGTAACAACAACCTACATACGCGTCACGTTGACGTGGACTTACTACTGTTTACTGCTTGGCAGTTTGTGTGTCTAATACATAAGAACTAACCTTATGTGGACATACGTTTCTTTACCTAGTTCATAAATGGACATACTATGTTTTCAAAACTAAAAATATAGGCAACCAGTGATTCGTGACTTACGATTTTTTGCCACAATAGCAAGTTGAGAGAGCGTAATAGTATTAACTTCATATTGAGTAAAAGTGACTTACGACTGTTTACCTTGCGGGTACAGAGCTATATTTGAACATTGAATTTATTATAAAAAAACGGAAATCAGAAGTTGAAACTCTATGAGGACTCATGTCACTGCCTGCATATTTCTACCATTTTTCTTCTGTTCCAATATTTGTTACAACTTCCTAACCAGTTGGGATCTAACTTTCGTAAAACGTAAAGGAATAAACGTTTGTATACTGGCCAACTGATTGAGGAAAAATAGTATAATTACATATTTTTTGCAGTCCGTTTAAGAAAGTTTCATTTTCCAAAATGGTACGCTGGCAATTCTGCCTAATAAGTCTGAATAAATTCAGAATTGCGGTAATTTGTGAAGGGCGGAATATTTTTCAATAACTTCTAGTACTTCGACTACTAAATTATACTGCTGACAAAAAAGCGTCCTCATTTTTATCAATGGGGGGATAAAGAAATCGAATATCGTGTAATGCACTGCATTTTTGCACCTTTGATTGCGCAAAATGAAAGGTGGTCATATTTTTTTGTCAACGGTGTTCATCACGTAAAAAGTCCAAGCGGTACTTATCATTTTTGTATTCCTTTTTGTTATTAAACTGTCTTATCGTACAGAGTATGTATGAATTGAATGTGTGGTTTTTATTTCGAATATGCGACGTTCATTTGGTAGTTTTTCATATAGGTTCTTCTATCATGGAATTGCACAATAACTGGTGATTTTTTCAATTTATGGATTATGATAGGATGGAAAACATCTACAAAATACATGTATAATTTGCTAATAACATGCTGCATAATATGAAATAGAACCTTTTTTGCATCCACAAATTGAAAAAACCCAATATATTTGTATATTAATATACACCTCAAGATACTTTGTACTTTTTAACTTAGTTTTTTATGCATTTTATATAACAAACTTTTTTGTGCATCCTTTTTTTATAATGTATTTTAACGTCCCCATATATATCTACTCCTCTGTGATATTTCTGCTATTATTTATATAAAATTATATTCATTGGGTGGTTATATTTTTCCTTATGTATAATGAGAGATATCGCAAAGCCAAATTTTGAGAAATAAACTCTTTTTTTAATCTGTAATTGTATATGTACTACCACAATGGCTTTTATAGCATTTAAGTATTCTATGGTTCCATGGAAAATTCGAATCATTAGATTTTAAAAATGAGTTATTCAATACTTCAATACTCTTGGTCCAAGAGCTAGATACAATATAAACGAACTGCCTTGAACCCAGATAGGAAATGCGAAAATGTGGCATTTGTGGAACATTTTCTGACGCAAGAGGTCGTAACCCCATGCAAAATTCTTATAAACAATTTAAAAGTGCTTATTTCGCTCCATTTTGGATTATTCTGAACTACAAAGTTGACCGTTTTCGATTTATAACTTTAAAAATGCTCATTATCAATGCTTAGAGATTCGGTTAAAAACTATCAGTTGTGCGGTACCCAAGAATCACCAGAACCAAAAAAAAACATTTTTTATGTAATCTATTAAAAATGGTCGAAAAAAACTAAATTTGGCAGCTACTAACATAAATCTTAAGTATTGGTTTTACGAAACATATCATTTAAAATTGTATGTCCCTCCTCTAAATTAGCATTTGAGCTGATCAAAAAGTGCTCATTTTCAATGCCTAAAACCAACAATAAAAACTATTATTTTTGAGGTTGCCAAGTGTATAAATTAAAGTTCAAACCATCTGCTACAAGACTCTAATGTTTAGTTTATTTTGAGCATAGTTATTATATTATTATTATTGTGTGCTGTGTCGGGCTCGCGTGTTTCAAAAATGAAAACGCAGTGCTTTGAAGTAAACTAAGCCTGAAGTACTCTTCAGAACCTTGTAGGGGAATGCCTGAAGTTTAATTTTCCCTGTTAAACCAAGTTTGTACGCATTGAAAATGGCCATTTTTTGATTTTTCAGACTGTAAGTCGAAAAGCCTCAATCGAAGAAGGTATCTATGACTTTTTGTTCATATTGAAAAAACTAAAAACTGTCCAGGACGATTTTTTTTATAATCTGTTTAAAAAATCTCGCTAAAGAACAGTATTTTTTTGGTATCTACTAAGACAAGGCAAATGTTACTCAAAGGTTTTTCGAACCATATTTAATATTGCATATTGTTCCCATAAAATAGCATTTGAATTGTCCATGAGAACCTTATTGTATGAATTAGTATGCAGAAGAAATTATTATAGACTTAGTGAATATAAGGCTGTTTTTTTATCATGTAGCGCATCTATTTTGCTTTGATTTCTGAACAGTTAATACTCAAAACCTTTTTGTACCATTGCACAATTATACTATAATCACACATTATTATACAGGGTGACGTGTCTCTACCAAACAATGAGTGTTTACCTGTATACAAGTTCAGAAATTGAAGTTATCTCGTCATTGAGCACAGTTTTTGTATCGAACAAAAACTTTGCATCACATAATGTCATATTTAGTTACCACTAAAACTTCATTGAAGGGACTATATTTTTGGTGCATATTAGTTTTGATGGGTTCATGGGTGTTCCCAAAATATGTATATTGGTGGTCCGCTTAATCTTGTACGTAGATTGTAGCAAAATATACCGTGCGATTAAAAAGATGACAATATTTATAGAGCAGAAAGTACATCTAACGATAAAGTTCCATGGGTCCTGGGCTGTATTTCATAAAAAGTATGGTGTTTTAATTACAAGTGAATTTTCTTGTTACTTATACGAGATATTGTGTTCCATGTAACTTTCAAACACAATATATTAGTACTGATCCATATTTTACAAGTTACAAGACCATATTCACAAGTTTATTTTCCACAAAAGTACAAGTGGTTCTAGTTTGCGAGCAAAGAACATAACCAGCTTCTTGGAAGAAAAAAGGCACAGATGCCGCGCAGGCAGAAGCCTAAATGCCGGAACACCGCGGTTGCTATGAGGAACCCAAAGAAATTTTGTTAATCCCATTTTTGAACTGCGCAAGGTTAGTAGAACTGGGAAAAGCTTCCTCCTGTGATTGCTCCACAATCCACAACCCTCGGAACAAAGGAGCGGTCGTATTTGCCAGTTCTGGATGTACGAAGTTCGACACGGTTAGGATGGGAGCTGAAGTCAGGCGGGTCTATTTGAAAAGTGCTTATTATTTGTAGTATTTTAGTATAGAATTCGAATTCAATGATTAGTACACGTCCAGCGGAGACTAACCAGTTTTCTCGTTAACCAACTCTATAGATTCATTCCCAAATAATAATGTTATATACATCACAACTTGAAGTGTTCTATTTACCGATTCGTCTTTACTTTTCTTAACTCTGATATCTTCTCATTTTTCAGTGGCTTTTCAATGGAGTCGTCTCAGTACCGGCTTCAAAAGTATCATTCAATCATTGGACGACGAGGAAGTTGTTCTAAATTAAAGCAAAAAGCATGTCTGAAAATTGAAATTTCTTTGTCGGTGATATGTGGAACAAAAAAAAATTATTTGACCATATTTACAAAAACTTGTAACTTAATAATTTACTAGCATGTTTTTTTACGAGCCCCTATTCCGTTACCAAGATACAGGGCAAATTTCTACGCCACTGATAAGACTGGTTAAGGCCAAAACATGGATATAGGATTTACTCTCGTAATACACATACAATTTTTAATGTCAAACTTTACTAACTTCATGGTATTTTCAAAATAGAACAGGTGAAAGACTTTTACATGGATTCTACCCCAAATATATATAAAATATAAAGGGGTAGTCTGACCAAAATTTCTGAAGTCAGGCGATTCATGTCATATTAATGCATTAGATGTTTCAAAACGCACAGGCGTAGAAACTAATTTTCTTTTTCTCTTCTGCAGGAGTCAGTATTAAGCATTTTTCCGCCACTGGTGTAATTAAAGTCACAAATATTTTTGTATGACTTGTTTATACATTTACTACATGTACAGAATTTTAAACCAATATACCTCAATTCAATTACTTTTTTTTGAATTATAACTTCAACACCCTGAATCTCTATAGGGGAGATTTTAAACTAATGTCCATATGAGCATTTCGTGTTATTTCTGCCCTAGAAATATTGTCAATGTTTTCCACCATGTGTAGACAAGCCTATACAACCATGAAATGAGTTTTGACTCACAACGTGTATTTCACCAGGAAAATATAAATATTACATCAATTATTGCTGGAAAGTAAAGAAAAAATGGAAGAATGCTCGTTAAGTGGACTATTAACTACATTG